ATTTTATTTAATAGGTATATATGCCTGTGGGTAGACATGACATGTGATAACATCATATTTCAGTATATTACAAGTTAGTTTCTGTGAAGCCAAGGCAAGCACGTAAAAATTGAAAATGTTCGTAAAAAAACCATTTAATTTATTATTATATTATTGACAAACATTTACCGTAATTTTTGATGTGTACAGATTCTAAAAACTACGTCATCATGTTTTTTGATTACTTTGTGAAGGACAAACTTACAGACTCAATTTTGTCTTTATAGTATTACTTATTAGTAAAGATAAGATCTGTCCGTAAAAGTGATAAAGAATAAATATGTTGGGACATTAAAAATAAATATAAAAAGATAACGAAGAAATTGCATTATTGCGGTATGGTCGTGATCATAACACTGAACACGTTACTAATGTATATAACGATTTACAAGATATGATTCTGATATACTTGTGGTACGTCACGAGTTCGACACACCAAAGCAAGAAAAAAAGTCGGCCAATTGCGAGTCAAATTTTCACACGAAGGGTTCCTACCATCGTACATGTACTTTTTATTAATATGACTTTTACTCTATGTATGTACCTACTATATATATAGTATATTAATTACTAAACAACTACATTAGTTTCTTGTATTTTTTTATTTTTTGTTGTCATAGCTACAATAGAAATACATATTCTGTGAAAATTTCAACATGAGTTACAGCCTTCTGATAGACGGACGGACAGCGGAGGCATAATAATAGGGTTCCGTTGGCACCCTTCGAGTACGGAACTCTAAAAACGTAATTCCGATATAAGGTCAAGGCGTTATTGGTACTTTCACATCAAGCTTATTTAAAATATCTCATTAAAGACAGTCCATTCTGACTATAAACCAAATGCTATTGAAGCGTGTGTCGCGGGCCCGCGGGCATTAGTTCATAAGAGATAAATGGCGTTCACAGCAACAGGAGTTGGCGTGATGTACGTTAAATTATAATGATACTAATCATACAAAATTGCGGCAATAGATCCCGGATCGGCCCCAACATTCTGCCTTTGCTAGTTTTGTTGTGAACTGGTACTAGTGGATAGTGTATTACAGTTTATTAGTACACATGTCTTTTGAAAACTTGCTAGGTTCTCTCAGACATGCGGGTTTCCCCACGATGTTTTCCTACATCGTCAAGACAAATGGTAATCATGTTTGAAATAATTCGCACATGAAAATATTAGAGGTGCGAGACCCGGGATTTGAACTCACTTCACTCGGTTTCCCAAGCGAGTGTATTACCACTGGTCTATCACTGTCTACTACTGGATACTATATACTACTGGATTAGTCGTATATCTTCTTATTGTTACCTTTAATTGTTACTGCGATAGGCTTTTAAAGTAAGGGTTTTTTCAATAACAAATCTTATTATTGTGATCTACTACTAATACTAACTTAATTTCAATATTCTATTATAATGTAATAATATTCAATTAGATTCATTACTGAGAGAAAGTTTTTGTTTTCCAATATAACGGACTCTACATCGATTTATCTTTAAGTAACTAATTAAACTTTTAAGTTATAACTTGTGTCGTTGTATTTACGGTTACACGTTCCTTACATCGGTTTTTAAATTATTCAATACTAGCGGAAAACAAAAACAAACCTATCCCACGGGAACCGTATATTTTTCCGGTATAAAAAGTAGTCATGAGTTATTCCATGCGCTCGCGTATTATCAAGTGGGGCGGGGATCAAAACTTTCCTAGGTTCGTCCCCAGGATGCATTTTATGTCCTCACCAAATTTCATCGATATCTGTTTAGCAATTCAAGCGTGAATAGGTAACAGACAGACTTACTTTTACTTTTATAATATTAATCTATGATCTAACTGACCCGACAGACGTTGTCCTCTCCAAATATCAATGTTGCTTGTAATAATTGAGCTTATACAAAATTCTGTAGAAATCTTTCTCTCTCGCTCATTTATAATTATTCCTACATTTTCTAATTTTCCGGTTAACTTAACAAATTTTTCCTAAAAATCTTATTCCGACTATAACTAATAAAATATAAACCTATAAATAGGTCTAAAGTAGATACTAGGCTTAACAACGAACATAATTTCATTTTTATTTATATCGATCAGTGGTCAAATTAAGTCCATATTTCTATTCTAATGGGAGAATTCTACAAGAATAATTTTTAGCATTAGTAGTCTGCGCAAATGGATCAAAAGTTTGACAAGCAGCGAGTGACGATGCGTGATAAGAATACTATAGCGTTAGGCCGGCCGCATATTATAAAATTATTTCTGTCAGAAAATTTCTGACGCCCGCCGGTATCACTTCGCACACTCATCAGAAACTTCTCTCCAGCGGCCTTCTCGACAACTGATGAGAATTTCTGACAAGTTTGTAGGGTTTAATGCAAAATGTATATAGAGAGAACGCCCTCCGACGCGACGTTCTGATCAGAAAAAATCTGACGTCCGATCGATTGCATCCGGGACTTATCAGAAGTACACCGCAAACTATCAGAATTTTGACGTGTCTGACATCCGACACATCAGAATTCTGATAGTATGCGGGGTCTAGACTAAAATATATGATCAGAGTGAATTCCTATGGGCATCAAAAATTTTCTGACAGAAAAAATCTTATAATATGCGGCCTGCCTGAATTGTAAAAGATGCGTTAGTTAGTCCTGAGAGCGTGACGCAGAGACAGCAGACTTCTTTCTTTACATGACATAAGGGATAGAAATTAGTGTTGTTGTTGCTCTATATAAATATTTATTTTATTTAAACATGCTATTTTATGTGGTAACGTGCAGAATATAAAGCTGGAGTAGTATTTTTCAACCCACTCTATTAATAAAATAATTATTGTCATATGCGATATTGGATTAATAGTTAAAAACACACAGATTAACAACAATTGTTTGTAAATCAACAGGAAATAAAGAATTCAAAATCGCTTTATAAACAAAATTATTGTTTATGTATATATAATAAAAAAAGGAAAAAAAATAGTATTGTATGTATGTTTATTTAGGTATATTAAGTTTTAATGACTTGCACTTATACACCTTTCCGCTCTTTGCACTTATTTTGTATCTTTTTCTATCGGTTGCCTGTAAGGGATCGCTTTTAGTGATAAGGCCGCCTTTGCACATCTCTTTAACTGTATTTTTTAATGTATCATTTTCCTGTGCAATAAAGTGTTTTAAAAAAATCCGCCTTAAGAAGTGCTCAGCAAATAAATAACGGCTTCTATAATATTAAGTGACTTTAATTATGTTTAAAAGTTAAGTTTAAAATTAAATCTATCGTCAAAATGATGAGATAAAATACTCAGACGATGAGATGAATATCTTAATCAAATGTTGTATTACATCGTGACTGCTAGAAATTAAGGCAAACTGGATAATTTATTTTTCTAGTTTTGCCTAATAAATACTAAAATGGCTTCACACGCTGTTATAAAATTTACAACGAAATTGCTTTATACGGACTTTGTACGCACTTTAGTCTTTAAGAAGTCTTAATATGCAATACATATTACCGTTTAATTAGCAAATTCGATAAGCAAAACCTAATAACGGGTCTGTCGCTTACCGTTTACTTTAATGGTCACCGGCGGTGCTTGGCTTACTCTTGCGTCAGAAGTCGTTTGCTTGATTTCCACTCGTGACAAACAATCAAGTTGATATTATAATGAATTCGAAAGTTTTAGTATGCGACAGACTTTTGCCCGATTTCACCAACGTCACCTAAGTTTAAGGGATGCCCTAAGCATGGTTAGGGGGCAGTTTCTCTTTCACCGACAGTTAGGGGGTCACCTAAATATTAAAAGGTCCCCTAAATTTAGGTGCTCGAAATATGGGCTTAAAGACGATCGTAAAACGAAATTTAATTTAGGGGCTAGTTTAGGGGACTTTTAAGCTAGGGATCCCATACGTAGGTGGTAGCTTATGGGTTGTTGGTGAAATCGGGCATTTGTTACCTAATTATGACTTAACTAACGAGTTCTCGTTTTGCTCGGTTGCTACTTTAAGTGTTACAGCAGGTAACATTCATAGTCTATCTGTGTAATTCATTCAAGCCGTTCCAGCGTAAAGAATTAACAAACACCACACATCCACATTAGACGATACGTTTGTAGTGACCCTACTTGCTGTGCCAGCGGTCGCGGGTTCGAGTCCCGCTGGGGGCATTCATTTGTGTGATGAGCACGAATGTTTGTACTCCAGTCATGGGTGTTTATATTTATAATATGTATGTATTTAAAGTTGCATATATGTGTAGTGTATTAACTATCTGGTATCCATAACACAGGCCTCATAATGCCCCAAAAAAATTATTATTTGTATAAAAACATTAGCCTTTATAACAGTACACCGACTAAATATACGACTTCTTCGAAAGTATATTTAATTGCAAGGATTTTTTTGAATCCTCCTTACATCCTACAGCAGATGTATCTGCAAAAATAATGGACACGATATTATTAGATTTTTATTTCTGTTTTACATCTTCACGTATCACCGAGTAAACACTAAACATATAAAACACCTTGAGACTTTTAGGTACATACCGAGTCTCAAAACAACCGAACGTCGAGCTTTGGACTTGCTATTCATATTGATAAACACACACTATATATATATATATATATATGTACGCAAAAACTGCTCAAACACAGCTGCAATCTTTGTACACTCTTAAATAATTAAATTCAATGTTAATAGTATATTAGTATAAATAATAATAATAAATAATAAAAATCTTTATTGGGCACGTTTTAAAGATTACAATTTTTAAAATTATGTTCGATAATGGCTACATTAGTTTAAACTGTGTCGTAGTCATTAACGCCAACCTCCAGATTAAAAAAAATACATTATGTTCCAATATAAGATTTAAAAATTAAATTAATTTAAGATATTAGTTATGATATCATGTATAATATTGTTACTATAGAAGTCCTGGAAGCTAATATTTAATATTCTTTTCAGGTATTCTCAGACTTAGGTTTAGATGTGCTTGACAGCGCGTTCGAGGGCTACAATGCGTGCGTGTTCGCGTACGGTCAGACCGGCAGCGGGAAGACTTTCACTATGATGGGATCCCCCGTAAGTATGAATGCTAAAAGCTATATATTTTAGGACCTACGCAGACTACGATTGTTTGTATCGATACGAACGCTAGCACTCTGCTTTTTTTAATTCATCAGCGCAAAATATACGTAAAAGATGTAAAATACATTTATGAGACGCACACCGTCGGCACGTTTATTAAACGTGATGTGTAAAGACCCTTAAATATAATAATTTCCGCAGAACAAATGCCTATTGGTCAGTTTTGTACATATATTATTTAAGTAATATTTTAGGGATGTTCAAGACGTTGTCGAGTTTTATAGAGGTTTAATTTTAAATAGTGGAGTGGATTAAAAGATAAGATAAAAGATAAAAAGTGCTTGACCCGTCTCCTTTTACATAAGTGGTTCCGGGTTAAAAGAAACGAGCGACTCACCCACGCTTCGCTTCTGGTTTTTCCCTAGACAAAACATATCTATCCCACGGGAACCGTACGTTTTATATATAGCCTTTAGCTTTTCTCAATAAACGGGCTATCTATCTAATACAATTAGAATTTTTCAAATGGGGTTAGTAGTTCCTGAGATTAGCGCGTTCAAACAAACAAATAAACAAACAAACAAATTCTGCCTCTTTATAATATTAGTATAGATACATACATGTAATATATCTGTACTCAGGCAAAGTCGAACGCTAGTTGACATGCTTGAAACTTGAGTAAAATAATAATGATTCACCACACACCGTACTGCGAATTGCGATAGAGATAATAGTGTCGTGTCAGATCGTAAACAGTAACGGAAAATGTTATGTTATTGCTTTCAATCTTTACGTAATTTATTCGATAACTTAGTTACGTTTTAACGTTTAGTATAGATTTCTCAGAGATTAGATTTTTTTTACGTAGTTAAAAGTATCCTATATAATATGTTGACCCGGACAACCGGCTATCATCCTATCAAATTTCGTCAAAATCTGTTCGGTGGTTTTCTCGTCATACATTCTCAGACAGACAGACAACATTTTTAAAAACTATAGACTCGGCCTCAGTATCGATAATAATGTCTATTTCAATAAGATTTTCCAAAAAATATTTAATGTACAGATTCGACTCAGAATTTTATTATATCTATAGATTATAAAGAACAATATTTTATAGATATAATATGAAAATTTATGTTAAACTAGCCTTTCTTGAATTATAGTATTTTTATACTATAATTCAAGAAATAATAATAGAAGACCTATAATAATAGAAGAATATGTACCTATATGAAAAATAATTGAAAGAGCGTATGGCAAATGGCGAAGTATAAGTTATTTTATTTTTTTAATCGAAATCTTAAAATATTGTCCATGTACATAACTACGAGTACATAGGTACGAGTATAAAGCAGTTTTTCTCACAAATAGTGATAATATCTTGTGAGTCACCTATTATATTATTACACATTTGGATCTACATAGATGGAACCTACTATTATATTATTTTTAACATTGTAGGTATGTTTTTTGCAATACTTAATTCTTACAACCAAGGTCGGTTGAAGTAACTCGTTTGAATATTACAAATATATCGAATTTTATGAATCCAGTAAAAGGTTCTAGATAAAACCTATAAGTCCGTGTCGCTTCGCGTAACGATACATATACTCACTTTATATAGGGAGGGATTTTGATGAAATTTGGTATGATGATAGCGGGTTATCCGGGTCGACATATAGGATACTTTTTACCGCGGGGAAATATCTCATTTCTGAGAAAAAATACAAAAACTGTAATGTAAGAGTATACTAATATCTGAACGCGGGCGGAGCCGCGGGCAATGCTAGTTATATTATATATATCATACAGTAAACATGAACCTGGGTTTATAAGCGAGCTCGTTGAACTTGGAAGTTCATTCAGTAACTTAGATTAACTTTATTGAAATGAGTCTCTAATACGTTTGTATACAAATTATTTCGCACGTGTATGAAAAAATATGGAACTTAATCTAGCCATGAAGATAAATATAAAAAAATAATAATTCATAATTATTTTGGCATCATTACAATTATTCTTACGCTTTATTTTTTATATATTACATAATTACAGGAATCCCAAGGCTTAATACCACGAATATGTCGTCAACTGTTCTCACGCGTGGCCGCTGGCAAGGAGTCTGGAGCATCATATCGCACGGAAGTTAGCTATCTTGAGATATACAATGAGAGAGTGAAAGATCTACTAGCTACTGATGCTGGACATTCCCTTAGAGTTCGAGAGCATCCGAAGTTGGGACCCTACGTTCAAGATCTGTCCAAACATTTGGTATCGGATTATGATGATATTCAGGTGAGTTTCTATTGAAATATAATTATAAATAACATTTAAATAAATAAACTTGAAAACCCACTTATAAGTATGAAATTAGAACTAGTTTATAATTATTTTTTGCATTACCAACACTTTATGCAATAATACTTTCTTAGATGTACGCGAATGTTTGATATTTTTAAATAAAACTATCTTTTCGGATTATTTCGCGGATTTATTTTGATTTTTGGTTCCCGACGTTTCGAATGCTTTACAGCATCCATGGTCACGGGAGAGACTGAGGTGTTACATGTCTTGAATGTATAGTTGTTACAGACAGCCTACCCACAATTAACAAAATGAAAATTGCACCAATTACATTACAATATTTTTTAAGTGAAAATTGCATCAATTACATTACAATATTTTTTAAGTTCCTTACTTTTCCTTACTACCTCAGTCTCTCCCGTGACCATGGATGCTGTAAAGCATTCGAAACGTCGGGAACCAAAAATCAAAATAAATCCGCGAAATAATCCGAAAAGATAGTTTTATTTAAAAACACTATGCGTTTATATCCATTCTAATATTACAAATGTGAACGTGTGTTTGTTTGTTTGTTTGGCTGTCTGTCTGTTTGTTTGTCCTTATATTCTGGAGAGTGGCATAGGCTACTTTTTACCGCAGAAGATTATCTCATTCCCACGGGAAAGAACAACTCAAAAAAATATTATGATCAGAATTACTTGAAACTTGGTATTAATGCTCTTCAATACAATCCCATGAGAGGTTAAATACAGGACGAAATTTTGTATGAAATCTAACTTTCTAGAGTTTCTTTTGTAGTTTTAGCGCGAGCGAAATCGTTTTTGACTAGTCATATGTCTAGATTTTCAGATTTAACATATTGTTTAGCTTAATCTATTTTTTTTAATTATATCTATAAAAATACGTTATCTTTTTTCTAAATTGTTACTCAGTACGCAAACATAGTTAATTAAATGTAAATATGATAAGTACTATATATATAATTGAACAAATATTGCACCGGTCCGACGCAACAGACCAAGGTGGTTGCCTCATCGCGACGTACTTGCTTGATTGGATATATTTTTTTACTTAATTTTAATGTTCTTTTTTTATTTATTCATTAAAATATATTTATGAAGATATTTTTGAATTTTATATTAATCTATCATATCCTGCTTTCTTTCAATCCTCTTTACTTATAATAATGTAAAAATATATATATTAGTTTTGAATAATTAATCTTTTTTGGAAAATTTTATTGAAATAGTATTATCGATACAGAGGTCGAATCTATAGTTTTTAGAATTTTTGTCTACTACTGGATAGATTTTTATGAAATTTGGTATGATGATGGCTGGTTATCCTGGGCAATATATAAGATATTTTTAACTGCGGGAAAATATCTCATCTCTGAGAAATCTATATTAACTGTTAAAACGTATTTAGGGACGTGAGTCGCTAGTATATTTTTATAGAAAATATTATTGTGTCAGATACTCAGATTAATAAATGAAATGATTTTCCTTTCAGGAATGTATGCACCGCGGCAACCTACACCGTACCACAGCATCCACTCAGATGAACGACGTGTCATCTCGATCTCACGCCATATTTACAATCACATTCGTCCAAGCCAGCTACCTGCGTCACAACAACATGCCCAGCGAGACCGTGTCTAAGGTTCACCTCGTCGATTTGGCTGGAAGGTGACATAATGTTTGATATTTGAATAAGATTTATATACATATTTTATAATCATATGACATTTAACACTTTCTTAGATTTACGCGAATATTTGACATTTTAAATAAAAGTGTCTTTTCGGATTTTTTGCTTTGCAGCAATCATGGTCACAGGAGAGGTTGAGGTTTTAGATGTCTCAAAGGCATTATATAGTTGTTACAGACTATTTTGTGGGTAGGCTACTAGGCATGCCTTTTAAGTTCTGTCGTTTGCATATTTCCCGGCAATATTGAATTTGGAACTGTTCTATCTTCGAATGTGCTTAAATTTTGAATCTCAAAACAGTTAAAAGTATTAGGATTAATGCTATTGTTTAGTCACAGCGTCGATTGGAATCTGTCAGGTTATGTACGAAAATGAATCTTTCTAAGGAAAATGTTCGTGCAATAATTTTCTACAACTTTAGAAGAGGCCTGACACGGCTTCAGTGTTTTGAAGAGCTAACATCTGTGTTCAGTGATGAAGCCCTATGTCTGCGGACTGTCGAACGCTGGTATTTAGAATTCCAGCGTGGACATACTAGTGTTAAGGACAAATCTCGCGAAGGACGCCCAAAATACGCCTTCACTGAAGATAGCATCATTGCTGTGAGACATCTAATTCTCGAAGATCGTCATGTGACGTATCGAGAGATAGAGGCTCTTTTAGGCATCTCAGGGACAACCATTCAGAAGATCTTGCATGAAGCGCTTGGTGTGAGAAAGCTAGTTTGCCGTTGGATACCGCATCTGCTTTCCGACGATCACAAGGCGGCCCACGTCAGATGGTGTAAGAAAACTCTGCAAAGGTTCAACCGAGGAGAGTCAATAACGTCTACGACATCATCAGTGGTGACGAATCTTGGATTTATGCCTACGATCCTGATTCCAAACAACAATCTACAATCTGGGTCTTTCAAGACGAGCCAAAGCCGACTGAAGTTGTTCGTTCTCGAAGCACTTCAAAGAAGATGGTGGCCACGTTCGTTGGAAAAACCGGCCATGTTGCGACTATTGCACTTGAAGATCGTAGAACGGTTAACGACAGAAGTGGTATACCACAGTTTGTTTACCATAAGTCATCGCCGAACTTCGAAAATCTAACTAAAAGCGAAGCATCATCCTGCACCACGACAACGCAAGCTCACACAGCGCTCGTCAAACGATTGAGTATTTGAAGCAGGAAAAAGTAGAAATTCTTGACCATCCTCCATACAGTCCTTTTTTTTTTTTTTAACGTTGGGAAATGCATTTACGCACGAAGTGTGGGACTCACCGGCGAAGCCAGTACTACCCACTAAAACCCAACAAGACCTTCCCCCGTCTTAATGGGGCGTCGCAGGATCGCTTACGCATTCAAATACGACGCCCCGACGGCAGGTCTGCCGAAGCAGACCACAAGAACCACGGGGTTGCTCCACAGTCCACTCTGCTATCATAGAAGTACCAGGAGCAACCCGCATGGTACACTGCCCTCCGAAGAGGGCCACCTCCCACCGCCCACCGAAGTGGGCCACCTCCCTGTGCGTTTCTTGGCTTCGCGCCCGGTTGGGTTGCCGGGCACTACTGAGCCCCCCCACCACGACAAGGTGAACGCACGTTGGGGGGGATCCTCCATACAGTCCTGACCTAAGTCCTAACGATTTCTTTACATTTCCTAAAATTAAGAAAAGTCTTCGTGGTCAAAGGTTCCAGTCCGGTGAAGAAGCAGTCGACGCTTTCAAGTCAGCCATTTTGAACACCCCCACTTTAAAGTGGAATAAATGTTATAATAACTGGTTTGAGCGAGTGGAAAAGTGTATTAAGCTACGTGGTAAATACTTTGAAAAACAATAAAAAGTACTATATGGTTCTAGTTGTGTTTTTTTCTTCAAACGACAAAACTTAAAAGGCATGCCTCGTACTCACAAAATAACAAAATGAATTTAAAAAAAATGTTAAAAATGGAATCAAAGTACCCTTTAATATCTGGTAATTTAAATTTTAAATTTAAAAAAAGCATTTGAAACTTCGGGAACCAAAAATCTAAATAAATCCGCGAAAAAATCCGAAAAGATAGTTTTTTTCATGTGACGTTTATTTGTATGGACTTAAATACTTATTTTTAAATTTGGTTGCACTTTAGCAGTATTATTTGCTAAATGAATATTCAACTTAATAGTAACGAGCTTAATTTTTTAGTATCCTATCTTACATTCTTTTCTGATTTTGTTGCGGATGTTTTTTTTTATTTTTTGTTCTCGACGTTTCGAACGAAGGCTTTACAGAAAACATAATTGTGGTGTTTACCTATAAAATACCTATCACATTTTCCATACATTCCAGTGAGCGAGCGGACGCCACGGGTGCGACAGGCCAGAGGCTGGTCGAAGGAGCCCACATAAACAAGTCTCTGGTGACTCTGGGCTCTGTCATATCCGCACTGGCCGAAGCGACGCAGCCTGCGGACAGTGAGTACACAGCTTACTGAAAAATAAAAAATAAAATAAACTTTATTTCATTTTAAGTCACCATATACGTTTATTTTGGTTGTGTTTTTAGTAGGTTTAGTTTTAAAAATAAATATAACTTTACTTCATTTGATGTTTTTTGTGGATATAAATAAATAATTTTATTTTGAAAAGACTGGATTTGGTAGGTAGCAGTTAATCCTTTCTATCATACTAATATTGTAAACCTAAAAGTGTGTTTGTTTGTTTGTCCTTCTTACGTCGAAACAGAGTGATAGAGTGGAGATAGTTGGAGTGCTAGAGAGAGATATAGGCTACTTTTTACTGTGGTAAATTATCTCATTCTCACGGTAAAATACGTTATAATACAAAGTACGTAGGGACGGACCCGAGTGAAGCGGGGCTGAGCCACTAGTAATTACATAAATAAAACAATTAAATAATCATACTTTCCAATTTTGCTACTACAGGAGTTTCACAAGGTAATAATTTGGTCTACACTTACTCATATGAACTTATATTTTTTTAATATTCATCTATTTAAAGCATGTCTGTATTTGTAGAAAATTTATTATATATTACATATTATGTTAAAAATATTTCAAGTATTATATAATGTAACATTTTTCTTGTAAACAGGTCGTACACCTAAAAATAAGAAAGTGTTCATCCCATACCGAGACTCGGTACTAACATGGTTGCTCAAAGACTCGTTAGGAGGAAACTCGAAAACTATTATGATTGCTGCGGTTAGTACTTTTTTTGTTTTTTTTTATCAGCTACTTTTATTATCCAGTTTAATTTTTTTTGTATCTGGTCACGAGAGCATGCAATAAATAATACACGCACATACAAATTTTGCAATGAAATAGTAGACTGATTAATGGTATTTTAAGAAAAATGTTTTCTATTGCATTTATTTTTTTATGTCGACGTGCAATCGCCATATTATAAAACTTTGATTGAATAAAATCTGCTTAAAACTGAGTTAATTAACCTAAGCTCCCAACTTCAAATTTAAAAAAATAATACTATAATAAAAAATCTTTTTCTTACATTATAAATATAGATAGATAGATAGAGGTCCGCTAACCCGCACTTGGCCAGCGTGGTGGACTATGGCCTGGTCTCCCTCGTATTGAAGGGAGGCCCGTGCCCAGCAGTGGGATGTTAAAAAGGGCTGAATACATACATACATACAAATTGATAATGTATTTTTTTGTCTGTTTCAGATATCACCAGCAGATTGCAACTACGGCGAGACCCTCTCCACTCTCCGTTACGCGAACCGAGCTAAGAACATAATCAACAAACCAACTATCAATGAAGATCCAAACGTTAAGCTCATACGCGAGCTTAGAGAGGAGATTGAAAAGCTTCGGAAACAGATAACTTATAATACGGTAATTATTATGTAATATTTATTGATTGTGTGCATACAAATACTTGCCTGTGAAGTTAGTAGTTAAATGAAAAGTCATGAACGTATTTAGAATTTAAAAGAAAAGTTGACAAAAAAAAATTTCTATGTACGATAAAAGGAATCTCCATTTTACTCAAATGTGTTGAGTCATTGCAGTTTGAAGAAGTAAGAAACATTAGCCCACTAATAAACTATCACATTAAAAAAAATGTAATGTATTACAACATCTGCACAGATGGCTGATCTCCATAAAAATGATCTTAACAGGTGTCAATCAAGAAGATATTAATTGTATTTCCCATAAGAAATAATCTAATAGACAATAGGGAATACGCGTAATTTTTTATATTTTTTATGAAATAGCTTACATCCTTATGTAATTGTAAAAAAATGTCTAGCTCCAAAAAAGTAAAATTTCATATAAAAAAAACTTTAAAAGTATCATACTGATACGGATACTTTAAACGCCCGATATAATAGAGGCAGTGCTGCCTATTTAGCGCTAAATATGACAACTTTTGTTTAAGTAAAACTCATCATTTTAAGCGAAAAATTGCCAGCACTCGTTCTGTTATATCATACTTTGACGTCACATTCGATCAGACCAATGGCGTTTCGTTACAACTACTCTGATTTTCCCACTTTTTTTCTAACGTTGGGAAATGCATTTGCACGAGGTGTGGGACTCACCAGCAAAGCCAGTACTATCCACTAAAACCCAACAAAGCCTTCCCCCTTCTTAATGGGGCGTCGCAGGATCGCTTACGCATTCAACTACGACGCCCCAACGGCAGGTCTGCCGAAGCAGACCACAACAACCACTGGGTTGCTCCAAGGTCCACTCTGCTATCAGAGAAGTACCAGGAGCAACCTGCATGGTACACCGCTCTCCGAAGAGGGCCGCCTCCCACCGCCCACCGAAGTGGGCCACCTCCCTGTGCGTTTCTTGGCTTCGCGCCCGGTTGGGTTGCCGGGCACTACTGAGCCCCCCCACCACGACAAGGTAAACGCACGTTGGGGGGGCTGATTTACCCACCTACCATTTTTGCATTTTTATCAATTACAATTTTTGTATTTTTAATATTTTTTTACTTAATCAAAAAGAAATACCCAAAAAATATCAATACGGGCTTAATTCAAAATATTTCACTTTATTTAAATCACCCGCATATTCCCTATTAACATTTGTTTAATTTTTCAGGATCAAATTGACACAGAGCCAGGTGTACTCGCGACACTCCAACGTAAAGAAGCTCAAGAGAAAGTCCTCACAGAGAAGTGGACGGAGAAATGGCGGGAAACGCAACAGATCCTACAGGAACAGAAGGCCTTGGGACTAAGGAAAAGTGGTCTCGGAGTCGTTCTAGACTCAGACATGCCACATTTAGTCGGGATCGATGATAATTTGCTATCGACTGGTGTTACGTTGTACCATCTAAAGGTTGGTTTTAATTTATACTAATATTATGAAAAGGCAGAGTTTGTTTGTTTGAACACGCTATTCTCAGGAACTACTAATCCGATTTGAAAAAATATTTTTGCATTAGATAGCTCGTTTATTAATTTTTGGTCATTGATCTTATTTGCGTGGTTTATTACTTATTACTAATGTATACGTATTGATCGGGGGTAGGATATTATGAGATATTTTCATTTCGAATTTCGTTTTGAATTCAGTTGAGCAATTTTAGCGTGAAGCTACAAAAAAAATTATAAAAAATATTTATATAAATGAAAATGAAATGCTATTCGTTGGTAAGCGCATAACTAAAGAACGTCTGGTTCGATTTGGTTAGATTATTTTTTTAATACTAATAACTATTCGAATAAGGTTTATACGGGGAAAAAGGCCACTAAATTGCATTATAGATGAAAGTGTTTTAAGACCTTTATATGAACAAAATTTCAAAATTAAAAATTTGAACAAACGGACGGACAACGGATAATTTAGTAGTGATGATGTGATGGTCACGTGACACAGGAGGGCGAGACGCTGATCGGCAGCGAGGAGTACTCGCCGACGCCGGACATCGTACTGTCGGGCGCGGGCGTGCTGCCGCTGCACTGCCGCGTGGCGCTGCGCGACGGCGTGGCCACCATCGCGCCCGAGCCCGCCGCGCAGTGCTGGCTCAACACCGTGTTGCTCGACGGGCCCGCTAAGCTTAGCCAAGGTTAGTTCACTTGGCAAGTTCGATTAATCATTAGTTGTATGGTGATATGTTTGAGCCCCCACAGATGCGGTAGCACTTTTTGTTAGTAATACTGAGCTGTGTGCGTAATTCCATTATGTAATTGTTATTTTTTCATTATATGTTCAAATTTAGATTTTTAGTATGTATGTAAATTAATAATACTTATTATTATTATTAGTCCAAAGTATTACATTATTCAGACACAAACAGACAAGAAAGGACGAGATAATTTTTTGCCAAAATAAAAGTATTTTTTTTTATTTATTATTAAAAAGTATACATATAATACATACATATATCTCACGCGGGTAGGCTGCATCCTGCTGCTGGGCCGCACGAACATGTTCCGCTACAACGACCCGGCGGAGGCGGCCAAGCTGCGGCAGGAGGGCGCCTCCGCCATGAACCTCTCCCGCCTGTCGCTGCTCTCCTGGTCCACCACCGACCTCGCCGCCAGCACTGAAAACCTCAATAATACTTTATCGTATGTGTTTTGTATATAACAAGCATCGATGAAAAAAGTACTACATAGATACACAATCAGCGACAAAAAATGTTCTCACCGAATGAGCGCTCATTTGAACATTTGAGCGCGCTTTTTTTGTGAAAACAACTTTAAGCTTTGCATTTAAAGTCCAATTTACATTGTTGTATATTTATTTCAACTAGAATAATAACCTAAACACAATTGGTGACAGTTTTAAGAGAACTTTAGCATGGGATTGTGTATCTAGTACTTTTTTGATCGATGTACAAGTAACATCATAACTATTTCATAGTCCGCTAACTTTTATAAATAGTACGTGGGCGACCGAGCTTCGCTCGGAGTTTTTGGCCGAAAAAACCTAAAAAAAAAACAAACTATAAATTTATCTATTTCAACTAAAAAAAAAAACAAAAGTAAAAACTGTATCCGACCGGAATACGAACCCAGACACTTATGATTGTCACACTTGCGCCTTGGCTGCTTGACCACGATGCTAAGTCCTAGCGTGCGAATTAGCCACCATATTTTGCGTGGAATAATGCGAAACAAAACCGCTTGAAAACTCGAAAACTCGCGTTTTCTCAGACATAAGACTAATTTAGATAGATTTATCGCCCCCGAAACCCCCTGTGTGCTGCATATCATGAAAATCGTTGGAGCCGTTTCCGAGATTTAGGTTATATATATATATATATATATATATATATATACAAGAATTGCTCGTTTAAATATATTAGATTAGATATTATTGACTTACCTCGCTTCGCTCAGGTTCAGCCCTTTTTCCTTGTTCCATTAGCTTGAATGGTTTAGGAACGCATAAAAACTAACGTACGAAGAAAAAATTTTTTTGGCGTCAGGAACCTTCGCAGGTGTATTCTGACTAATCTACCAGAATTTCATCACAATCGGATCAATGATATAGGAATGTATATAGGACAAACATATATAATAATATAATAATAATATAATAAATGTTGAGACATTAACACACAGCGCCATCTAGTTCCATGGTAAGCTACGAGGCTTGTGTTATGGATACCAGATAGTTGATACACTACACATATATAACTTTAAATACATACATATTATAAATATTAACACCCATGACTGGAGTACAAACATTCGTGCTCATCACACAAATGAATGCCCCCAGCGGGACTCGAACCCGCGACCTCTGGCACAGCAAGTAGGGTTACTACCAACTGAGCCAAACATGTCGTCAAAAATGTATGAACATACATTTTTATTTATATAAAATATAATGGTTTTGCAACTCCGCCATAACGTTGTATTCTGCCCCTTTTTAACGTCCCACTGCTGGGCACGGGCCTCCCTTCAGTACGAGGGGAATCAGGCCATAGTCCACCACGCTGGCTAAGTGCGGGTTGGCCGACTTCACGTTGATAACATAGACTTGGACTTGGTGTTTATTTATTTGTCCAAACGACCAATTTACCGAATCACTTTTTATTAGAGAACTTTAGTATAATATACACATTTTACTTTATATGACCCAAGAATGTATTTTATCTATATAAAGTATGTGGGATGTGGAAAAGAAGGATGTTTTGTAATAATGACGACACGACGATACGCGTAAACATTATTATTTGTAATTTTTAGTATAATAAATAGTCGGTGTTAAAGCGTTGACCGGAACGTGTGGGGAAAGAGGCCGTTGAAAGAAGCCTGTCAGAATTATTCGAACAGCAACGCTCGCTAGTGAACGCTAAGAATCTTAAGACTGTAAAGATTATTGTTTGCACTATATCTTGTATAATTGTACTAATAAACAAGTAACAAATAAACCAATCTTTCAACATTGGTCCTTCGAGCCGGATTTACAATTAACAAGAACCAGAAATATCAAGAAATTGAATAACGATCTACTTATTCTTCGCTATACAACTATAAACTACATCACTCGGTGAGACGTTCCAACCAGATTATTCCATCAAAACTCCATAAAACCTTGTGCTAATACTTTGTGCTAATACCAGTGAATATTGTCGTTAAATTTATTAATTATTGAGTCGTATTTAAAAGAGTACTTGTACTTCATAGAACTGCTGTCGTCATATAACTTACAGGTAACTCCACTTCTAGTAAAGCACCAAAATGTCCAAAGCTGAGCTTACATTGCCTAAATCTCCAGTTTTAGATCCCACAGCTCAATTTATAAAAGAATTGATTAAACAAAGAGGTACTTTAAAAGGCCGGTTAACTAAATTGTCCGTTTATGTTAATTCTTTTGAAAATCAATTTCTAGACCGCGCTAAAAGGGCTGAGTTAAATTTAAGGATGCAGGGCGCAGCCAATATATTGTCAGAATTTAACAATGTACAAAACAAACTAGACGGGGTTCTTCCTGAGTCACAGGACGATGAACAGCTCGACGAGAGAGAATCCTTTGAAAGTAAGTACTATACTATCTTAGCTCAAGCTAATTGCATACTAGATAATGATAGTAATTCACCCAATGCAAATAGTTGTGGGAACGACCTAGGTAATATGCATCAGTCGGTAAAATTGCCTACAATAAATTTACCTACATTTGACGGTTCCTACGAACAGTGGCTCGAGTTTAAAAATACATATTTATCATTAGTTCATACGTCAAATAATATAAGTACAATTCAAAAATTTCACTATTTAAAATCCTCTTTGAAAGGTCCTGCCGTATTAGTTATTGATTCCCTGGAATTTACCCCGGATAATTATTATGTTGCTTGGGAGTTGCTTATGAATAGGTACAATAATAGCAGACTTCTTATTCACAATCATGTGAAAGCTTTATTTAATATTAAAAATTTAAGTAATGAGTCACCTATATTATTACGCAAATTAATTGACATTATACTTAAAAACCTGCGATCTCTTAAATTATTAGGTGAACCGACGGAACACTGGGACACTTTAATTATTTATATGATTGTTTCTAAGCTTGATAATACTACTGAACGCGAGTGGGAGAAATATAGGAGTGATCTTTTGTTGAATGAACGTCAAAACGATTGTAAGACGCGAGTACAAGTAAATGATTTATTACAATTCTTAAAAGCTAGGGCTGATATGTTAGAAACGAACACCCTTTATCGCAGGCGAATTTTGCAACTCGAGCTATTCATCTTGAGTTAGTGGGTGACTTATCTACTGATGCATATTTACTAGCGTTAAAGCGATTTATCTCTCGTCGCGGCAAACCATCAGAAATATTTTCTGATAACGGAAGAAACTTCACTGGTTTAATGACAGAGTTTTCAAAATTTTTACACAATTGCGCAGATAATATTAAGGACTATGCTATTAACAATAATATTAAATTTAATTTCATTCCGCCATATTCCCCACATTTTGGTGCCTTATGGGAAGCAGGGGTGAAATCGAGTAAACACCATCTTAGGCGGGTTCTAGGTAACGCTAATTTTACATTCGAGGAGTTCAGTACGGTATTGGCACAGGTGGAAGCCGTTCTAAACTCTCGTCCCTTATCTCCCATGTCTACAGATCCAAATGATTTTTCCCCGCTCACTCCAGCTCATGGTTGGTCGTCCATTGACTTCACCTGCTTGCGAAAATTACGAGCAAATCGCACCGCATCGACTCACACATTACCAAAGAGTGGAGCAAGTCCGGCAGCACTTCTGGACCCGATGGTCAAAAGAATATGTATCGGAGCTACAAGTGAGAACCAAGTGGATGAAATCTGGTGACACACTGAAGGAAGGAACTCTTGTGCTGATCAAGGATGACAACAGCCCTCCTCTCAAGTGGTGTATGGGACGCATTGTTTCTACCTTCCCCGGAAAAGATGGAATTTCTCGAGTAGCATCAATCCGCACAGCTTCTGGAGCCATCACGAGACGAGCTTTTTCCAAGATCTGCCCCTTACCACTCGATTCAGCAACAGACCGTGGAGACTGTTGGAAGTAGGACCTTCCAAGGCCGGGGGCATGTTAAAGCGTTGACCGGAACGTGTGGGGAAAGAGGCCGTTGAAAGAAGCCTGTCAGAATTATTCGAACAGCAACGCTCGCTAGTGAACGCTAAGAATCTTAAGACTGTAAAGATTATTGTTTGCACTATATCTTGTATAATTGTACTAATAAACAAGTAACAAATAAACCAATCTTTCAACAGTCGGTGAGCTATCAAGTGGTTTTATTTGTATTCTCTGATCCTGTAAGTATGTATATACATTTTAAAAATAAACCTTTCTAAATAAATCTAGGGACCTGGAAAGTGAGATCCGGTGCGAGCGCATTTCAGCGCAGCGCGCGGAGCTGGAGCGCGAGCGGCAGCAGTTCGAACTGCAGCAGGAGGAGCGGCAGCGGCGCTGGCACCAGGAGCGCGAGCAGCTGCAGCAGGCGCAGAAGCTGCTCGATGAGGTACCTACAGCTGGATGTTACTAGATGTTGCATGGGTTAGGGGTTTGGATTGACATGTGTAATATTGTGTGTGGTGTGTTTATAATTGTTTTTTTTTAATTATGTTTGGTATTTATTTTATTGTTTTTATATTGAAAGTATTGATATTAATTTGTTTATTGTTTGTGTTATCGATTATCGATTATATTTAATAAATAGAACAGATTTAAACGTTTTTTTGAAGTTATACTTTTTTATATTTATTATTTAGTTGAAAGAAAGGGTTTATCATACACAAAAAACATACTGCAAAACTCGCGAATTTTCTTAATCCTTAGTCCCGTGACGCCTCCTTAAGACTGGGCAGGTTGTACTGGCTCATTTGAGCTATGAGTCTCATCACATAACAACCAGTATGTATGTAATAATTAGTATGCGTACCGATTAATCTTGATAATTGTGAAACCGGGCATAAGAATGTACAAGTTGTATTTGCTTTTAAACAGTTATGCATAATAGGTAATTAGGTGAAATATATATTTTTTAATTTTTATTGTTTTTGAATTAGGCGTATATCAATATTTAATGTAATTTCTTTTTAATTAAGAAAATAATTATTAAAAATTGTAAATATAGGTGGGATTATTCAAAGTAGTTAAAACGCAAGCCATTGGTCAGACCGTATATGACGAGTATTATTATAATAGAGCGATTAGCGATTTTGTCGCTACAAATTGAGTCAACATTTTTCTGTGTATATTATACCGTGAAATCACGCCGAACGCGGGAAATGGCGGGCTTTTAAAGTAACCGTATCGGTATAATATTTTAAAATTAAATTAATAATAAATTTTATTTTTTGGAGCCGGATATATTTTTCACAAATATATAACGATGTTACCTATTGTATGAAAAAAATAAAAAAAATCATGCATATTCTACATTGTGCTCTGTTTAAATGATTTAATTTAAATGTTTGTTGTTTTTTTGTATAACATGTAACAGCTATTAGTAAATCTTATTAAATGAATAAATAAATATAAGGCAGGCGTTATTTGATTTTCATTAACGACGCCTGTCTAACAGGAGCGGTCCGCGATGGAGAACGAGTACGCGGCGGCGTGCCGGCGGCTGTCGGGCGACTGGCGCGCGCTGGAGCGCGGCTGGGCGCTGCGGCGCCGCGCGCTGCGCGCCCGCCAGCGCGAGCTCGCCGCGCGCGCGCGCGCACACGCCGCCGCCGTGCGCGACGCCTCCCGGGAGGTACGTGATGGCTCGTGTTTATGTGTTAATGGTTTATTTTTATATATAAAACACAGATGGATTAATACTATAGTAATGTGGATGATAAATTGAACTACGCTATTTTGGATTGTTCCTCGCTACACGAAAGGTGCGTGCTATGTTTATTTATATCAAAGATTTATATTGCTCTGAAACGTTTAACGTTTTTATAACTCCCTTATTTATATGTTGCCGTGGTAACACATAAATAGACGAATTGCATGTCATATCTGTAAATGAATCCTGTAGGCTGCAATATTTAAATCACAGAATTTATTAATTTAAATTTACATAACATTTGCTTAAACATTTTTTTTTATCAAAATACAAATAGCGCGATAAAAATCAAGTCATGACATATTACACATAATATGTACATATGTACAAATATAGATAGCCAATCCTACACAAAGAAATTAGAAAGCGCTAATTTTTTATATTTCTCGCTACTAAAAAGGTGTGTGCTATGTAATATATTCTATAGACGCGGTCTATACTTTTGAATTACAGATTACATATTACTATACTAATGCAGATAAGAAATTCGAAATCAGAACACCGCTACTAGCGCTTATTTGGACTATTTCTCGCTACTCATGAGCGATATGTCTATTCATATTTATATAAAAGATTTTATATTTATAGATTTAGTCTCCAACGTTTAAGTGTTGTTTGTCACGTTTTCGTGGTTCGTTTATTTATGATAACTTTTAGCATTTAAGTACTAAAACATACTGAAAATTGTCTATCTAAACACTTTCTCTGTCTGTTTTTTACAAATAAATACAACACATCTTTCACTTTATTACGACATTTCCTAGATGTATAAAAAAGCTCTTCACCGGTTTTAAGTCGTACATTCTACAAAAATAAATAAATGTCACAATGATGCTATCTATGAACAACGCGAAACTCACTCACTTTTACGCACGATGTACGGTGAAGGAAAATTTAAAGATATAAATTTTTGATTAGTAGTATATTTTTTTAAACCCACAATAAGCAGTAATCGGTATGCGACCGACATGGTATGCGTAACATCAACAAAAGGTATGCAGAATATATTTATTAATAGTACTAACGATTTACTCTCGCTTCATTCGAGTGCGTCCGTAGGTACGATTTTGTTCATGGGATTTAATTTTTTTGCGCGGTACCTTGATTCTTTTTCCTTAATAAAAGTAACTTAAGTTACTCCTTATAACATCAGCTATCTGCCAGAGAAAGTCTCGTCAAAATCGGTCCAGTCGTCTCGGAAATTATCCGGAACAAACAAATAAACAAAACTTTGCATTTTTTGTTCTTATTCATACCGTATACGTATATTTTCATATGCTAAATGCATGCAAAAAAGAAGTTATTTTGACATTACAAACAGACACTTCAATTCAATTTTTTTTGATATAGTGAAGGATAATCGTATGGCCTGCGTGATGGTAAGTACTAACGGAAACTTATATATACATTTAGAGGTGATAGGTTAGAAAAAGAAGGAAAATGTAAGAGGAAGAAGAACGTACGAGTTCCAACATGATTACCACTTGCCTTAAGCTGAAGGAATAGCATTATGAGAACAACAGCATGTCTAGAGTTCATTCCTAGCAAGTTCTCGAAAGTCATGTAAAGACCGCCAACCCGCACTTGGCCAGATTGGTGGACTGTGGTCAGTTCCCCCTCGTATATATGGAGGCCCGTGCTCAGAAGAGTGACGTTAAGAACTTATACATATGTACATACATACATACATACATACATAATATTTATTTTCATTAAATACCAGGTGTGTAGAAAAAGAGTGCATATAGTTTTTTTATCGCCGCAATTTCGGTTCTAACTCATAATATTGTAAACATCATGCAATGTTTTTTACCCTCGATGAAAAGGGTATTATAAGTTGAAAGATGGACTGATGGAATGCGATTTTTATCACGAATTGCGCTTGTTGTCATTTTAAAACTTGTTTAATTTTGAAGACTGATTTTTATTTAATTATAGATACTCAATATTTATTTGATAAAAATCTCTCTTGTTACTTATAATTTGTGAGCTCTTTTCTAAAGAAGTATTTATATATAATAATAATAAAGTTTAACTTATTTTATATATTAAATCTGGATTTGACTTCAATTTGGGCCATATTTTTGTAAATTCGGTGGTCCCACAACGATATGGTGACTTTAGGTGCTTGTAAAGTATAGATATATTTTGTTTTCACGGTAAATTGTTCTTGATGGTCGCATTACCAATTTATTTATGACTAGCATTGCCCGCAGCTCCGCCCACGTTCAGATGAGAAAAATCTAATTCTTAGGTTTTCGTTTTACATATTAGTATATTCTTACATTGCAGTTTTTGTATTTTTTCTCAGAAATGAGATATTTTCCCGCGGTAAAAAGTATCCTATATGTTGACCCGGATAACCAGCTATCACCATACCAAATTTCATCAAAATCCCTCCAGTGGTTTTTCCGTGATACGGTAACAGACAGACAGACAAAAATTCTAAAAACTATAGATTCGGCTTCTGTATCGATAATAAAGTCCATTTCAATAAGATTTTCAAAAAATATTCAATGTACAGATTCGGCTTAGTTACGATTTTATTATATGTATAGATATTGAAACAAACGGTTTGCAGTTTATACAAAATTAAACCTAGATAGACACAAGATACAGAAATACTGGAGATGTTTCTCGCGTTATCGGTCATGAAAGGACACTGATGTGTTCACAAACAAGCTACCAGTTTACTTACCGCTGTTAAAATATTTACTGATTAATTTTGAACTGCATACGTTTAATTTAGTACAACGGGCTCACGTTTGTTAAGTATAAAGAAAACTCGCGAGTTTTCATTTAAAACCGTCTTGTATTTGAACTAAAATTGATACCTATTCGGTACGACAAAATTGCTATAACTTTTGAAACCACTATCTCCTGAATTTTTGGTTTTAGAAATAAATAAAATATTGTATTCAGCCCTTTTTTAACACCCCACTGCTGGGCACGGGCCTCTTTTTAATACGAGGTAGATCAGGCCATAGTCCACCACGCTGGCCAAGTGCGTGGCGGACTTCACATGTCTTTTGAAAACTTGCTAGTTTCTATCTATCTATCTAGACATGCAGGTTTCCTCACGATGTTTTCCTTCAACGTTAGACAAGTGGTAATCATGTTGGAAATGATTCGCACATGAAATTAACAGAGGTGCGAGACCCCGGGATTTGAACCCGTTTCACTCGGTTTCCCAAGCGAGCGCGTCACCACTGGGCTACCACTGCTTTAAAAAAAATATTAGCCTTTTTAAATTTATTTTTACGATAACTTTTACCGTTTAATAGTTATCAGCGATATAAAACTGTTTTCTAGGCCTTTGATTTCGAATAAAAATAATCGCATCTCGGACTCGATCGGTATGTACTTTTTACAAGATGTTTTGCAAATTTCAGGACCTTTCGCATATTTCCGCTCAGTGCGGATTTTTACTTGTAGGAATGGCCGTACTATATTACTAAAATCATAATTATGTAATTCTGACCAGTAGTTCTTAGTGTACAAATAAAGAGGGAGAGACGTCGTGTAAAATATTTGCTAAGGTAGGTGACATTGTTTAGTATTTTGTACATATTATGTATATACTATTAATAAGACAGCGTAGACGCACCATATTCGATCAAATGTGCAGGATTTTTACAAGCCAACTTTAGGTTTAACAGCATTGATTTTGATTCCCAAAATAGTTTTTTAAAGGAGAATTAAATGTACATTTAATATCATCAAGGAAACTAGCGACCGCTCTCATGTGTCTAGATAGTCTTCTCATTTATAATATTACGGAACATCTCAAAAGACACTCACAGATATCAACGTATCGGTAGCTTATTTTCGTAAAATGGTTTATAATAACTCAAAAATCAAGCTCAGCTTGGAACTAAAGCGGAAGGACTATCATTTACGAGTATAATATGTAGTGGTCCATGACGGAGTTTTAGCAGGTAAAGTGTTTTAGACATTTTGGTTTTGGATCCCCAGAAAAATGTTTAATATTCGTAAGTAACAAAAAATTGTACGGTATGATTATGGGTCTTTATTACGAGCATTAGAGAAATCAACTAGATTAAAGTAAGTATGATTGTTAGTTTCAAAATATAGTTACTAAAAGTAAAGTCTAGATGTAATCCAGTAGTTATATGTTTACTGCCATTCGCTTAACAATGCCCAATTAAGCTCTTGCAATATCTTGTCTTATAGCATTGCATAGAAAAACCTCCGCCATTTTTGGTATAAGAAAAAATTATTTATTTGATATGGAGCGATCATTTTTTATATTTTTATTATAAATTTTACTTTTTTGTAATAAATAAATACTACTTTCTAAATACTATAAGAAGCAAATTTGATAAAAACGTAAAAACTCACAACTTTACTAAAAGAAATTTTTTTTGCATATTTCTTAATAATAAAATCTCATCAAAATCGATTCAGCTTCTAGATTAGTTTGTACTTGTAACAAATGACAAAATCTATTATAAACAGAATGCAATGAAATTCTAATAAATTGTTATTTATAACTACAAATCGTTGCTCAGTTTTTTTACATACACAAATACATAAAAAATATATGAGACTACGGCTATAGTAGAAAGCGGAAAATCAACTTAACGGACATGTCATTATATAATTATGAATAATTAATAATCTCTTTACTGATGCCCTAGCAGTGCTTTTAATTCACTTTTTCTGCTGTTTTATTTAACAATGGTCTAGAATTCCCACTTGTCATCTCATATTTCCGCTATTATGCATTTTTATTGAATGAACATAAGAGTAATTCAGTTAGATAAGACAAAAATGCTTTATAAACAAATATTACGTCACACTGTCTGTAATCACTCGTGTCGATGTCCCCCACCTGAGCTACTACCGTTTCTCGTTTTTAAGTTCCACTAATTTTATATTTACTAAACTTTTATTTGGACTTTGTGATAGTTTTGTTAAGAATTTTCTCTATCTCGAACCATTTTTTAATTTTTTTTTGTACTTTTATGATTTCTTATAAAATTGAACTAATATAAATTCTCTGTACACTTCAAATTTTAATAATTAAAGTCTAAACTATTATTTTATTTAACTAAAAAAATCGTAAATAATAATTATTGCAATAAACGAAGAACGACACGTTGCGATATATTCCTGTGAAAGTTAAAATAGATCTCTCTCTCTCTCTAAATTAACAACATGAAGGTCAGGTTATTTAAAATTGTTTTGAAAGAATAGTTACCAACAAAAATGGTACATTCATCTTAATATTTTTCTCACGCTTATTTTATTTATTAGTAATTCGATCGAGAAACATTAGTAGCGTTCAGCCGCTGCACATTCACTTTTATGTAAACAATACTAGTTTTTATTTTCTCATAATCGAATGTGCCGTCCCAGTTATTGGACGAACACACTCGTGCCTTGTGTCTCCTATGTGCTAGTTTTTTTTTAGTTTTTTTTTATTTGTTTTGTTACATGGAGGTTTCATTTCAAGTTTTAATTAATTCATTAAATAATTAGTGATTGGTGCCGGTCTATTGCTTGGACTAATTTATTTGAAGGCTTGAATTACGTTAACTAACGTGTGTGTGAAGAATCTAATAATACGGTTCTTCTAATATTTATTAGGTAAATTATTAAGTAAACAAAAATACATTATTTTGCACTATACATAAATAATTAGCATTAAAACATGTAGAAGAAATTGATGAATTATAATTATTTAAGAATCTATGTATAAAAAAAAAGATTCTCTTGAAAAAAAGATCTTGCAATAACTTGAAGTGAGAAACTCCATTTTTACCATTATTTTGCTACTCACCTTCCCCGTAGATTGAGAAAGAAGAGGCCCAGATATCAGAACTGCAGAGTCGTCTCGGCGGGAGTAGGCAGGAGTTGGAGCAGTTCGTGAGGTACCAGGTTCAGGAGTTGGTAGCGAACGGCTGTAAACTCGATGAGGTAAGCTGTGGTTTTTTAGAAATGCCATTGCATTTAATACTGCGATAGTCTTAATTGATACTCTGATTAGATTGAAGTAAACTGAAAAAATATGAAAATTGATACGCAAGTAATGAAGATATCGCGTAACATACGCACAAAAAATATGTAACTGAATTAAGTACCTCTTCGTTTTCGAAGTCGGTGAAAAATATATAACTTAATATCCAATTTATGACTAACTAGACTGGGTTTGTTTTTGTTTTTTTTTTATTTATAACTAGCGGCTTACCCTCGCTTCGCTCGCATCTAGAAAAACAGAAACAAATCTATCCCACGGGAACTGTGTATGTATGTGTGTAGCCTACGTGCTATTCCAGACTAATCTATCACGCTAAGTTTTATTCAGCTCCGTTCAGCCGTTCTGGCGTGATTGAGTTGAACAAACATCCATTTAAACTTTCATATTTATAAAATAAGTTAACGACCTGTTTTAAATAAAACTATCTTTTCGGTTTTTTTCTCAACTGTATAATGACCTTTGAGACGTCTAAAACCTACGTTTCTCTCATGTCAATGATTATAGTAAAGCATTCGAATCTTCGAAAAAAATCAAAAGAAAACCGCGAAAAAATCCGAAAAGATAGTTTTGTTCAAAATGTCAAATATTCGCAATCTAAGAAAGCATTAACGATCTGTTTCATACGATTCAATCATTTTAACATTAAACACTCACTTTATAGCCAGGATATGGCAAAGTAGAACATAGATATCTATTTAACATCATAATCTAGACTCGTCTAATACCTATCATGGTATACCTACATTTATATAGGTACCATGGATGGAGGACATTAGAAACTCATACTCAAAGAACAAACTAATTTTATTAAATACTCCCTTCACCGTATCTCAATGTCGGACAGACACGCTATTACATATTCAACAGTTATTTGTTATACTTTCAATAAATTGATTATCTCACGTTAAACTAAGTTATATTACTTCAGTTTTATTTTTTAATAGCGACTTTTACGTTACGTACGAATTTTGTTACCTGAATCCTAATTCCTTTTCTAGTACCTAGTTAAATAGAAGTCTGTCAGTGAAAGTCCCGTCAGAAATACAGACACACAGAACAAACAGACAGACAGATAGACGGACAGACAAAAAATTAAAAATTGTGTTTCTCTTATAAGTACTGTATATAATTTCATATGCATATAATAAAAAGCTGTTGTTTTATAGTATATAGTAATATTACAAACAGACAATTCAATTTTATTTATTTTTATAGATTACTAGCATTGCCCGCGGCTCCGCCCGCGTTCAGATGACCAAAAACTAAATTCTTAGGTGTTACATATTAGTATACTCTTACATTGCAGTTTTTGTATTTTTCCTCAGAAATAAGATATTTTCCCGCGGTAAAAAGTATCCTAGGATCGCGCGCTACATCGCCCGGTTTATATAGCTTGAGCAGGCGGTCGAGCGATGCGGGGCAGAGGGGATGGACTCGCCGTAGGCATCTCAATGCTCGCCAAGCATTAAAAATGTTTCGCTACTAATTACTTCTAACAACGATATCTCAAAAACTATTCATCTGATTGATTTAGTGTAAAGAGCAATTTTAATCTGCATTAAATGACTAAGCTAACTAAAATATTCATTTGGATAAGGATTAATACCGAACTAAAGAAAATAACTTTGAAAGTAACGTAATGTTTTTAATTAAAAATGTTAACATAAAAGTGGTTATTGTAAGTCAACCGTAAGAGATAGAGATATGCTATCGCGGACTTTTTTGTAGCATTTTTATAGATTTTGAATTCTCTAGTACATTACTTAACTGTATCTTTGCTAGTTTACGCGGCGTTCGCGTGGAAAGTTCCCATTTGGCGAGATTTTTTGCGACCTCTTCAACATTTGTCGCCGTATTTCAGCTAATTTACATAAAAGCATAATAAATTATATACCTAAACCTTCCTCAAGAATTACTCTTTCTATTGTTGAAAACCGTATAAAAATCCGTTCAGTAGTTTTCGAGTTTATCGCGTACAGACAGACAGGAGGACAGAAAGACGCGGCCGGGGGACTTATTTTTATAATAAGTATAGATAGATTTATAGATAAAAAAATATATTATGTCAATAGGTTGTAGAAAGTTATAATTGCAAGGGAACTATTTTAAGTCAATACAGTTGTTTAGACATTGAAATTGGGTTGATGCGAGTGAATTACTCGTACGTATCTATATATTTTATGTAGACATGATATCCCATCCCAGGCGGCCGGTCATAAAACTTTTGCCGAATCCTTTCAGCAGTACAGAAGATGTACTGCGCCGACTCCAAGCGATTGGGAAATGGGCAGGGAGAAGAAGATATCCCATATAGAAGGAATAATTCCTTAATATAGTAATTATGTGTATTGGTTTTTCGTAACTTTAAAAATATCAACAGCGACACAAACTTCTACCTTATTTACACATCAGTCAAAAAAGTACTATCTATACACAATCCCATGCAAAAGTTCTCTTAAAACTGTCACCAGTTGTTTTTAGGTAATTATTATAGTTGAAATAAATATACAACAATGGAAATTGAACGTTACACGCAATGCTTAAAGTTGTTTTAACAAAAAAAAAACTAAAAGCGCGCTCAAATGTTCAAATGAGCGCTCATTCGTTGAGGACATTTTTTGTCGCTGATTCTGTATCCAGTACTTTTTGATCTATGGATTTACTTAATATAATTTTTTGATAATTGATTTGTTTTTTTTACACAGAGTCTAACACCGAGTCCGGACAGCCCGCCATCGGAAACCTCTACGGAGAGCTTAATGCATCTCTTGCAGCAATGCGAACCTAATACCGCTAACAGCATCAAAGAGACTGTAGAAAGACATGTAAGCTTTTTTAATATACTAAAGAATGCTACATACATAAATAGCACAAGTTTTGATGTTACATTCAAAATTCTTAGTAGTAGTTAGTAAGTTCCATAAAACAGCATCAGAAATTTCATTGAAATTTATTTACAACCAATTTTTTCCACTATAATATTTTTATTTATCACGGAAATCATACAAATCATGACAAGCCTTCTGTGAAATCATCATTTGTTTTTTTTTCAGAAAAAAGAGTTAGAAAACTTAGAGCAAGAGTTGCAAGGGCGCGTGGCGAGCGTGGCCGCGCACCGCGTCAAGATAGAGAGGCTGCAGAAGGAGCTGGCCCTGCTCGCGGCGCGGGAGCGGGGGCTCACGCGCGCGCTCGCCGACGGGGGTGGGTACATCTAGGGGTTAATCCTTATCCTTAAATATGACCCTCATTCAGAAAAATCGAGAAAAATCTTAGTTTTGTTTCCCAAAAATCATTCAACACAAAGTATTCAAAATTATTAGCTTTTAATTTTAAACATATGTTTAGATATTAATATCATTCGCGTTATAGTAAGATTATATTTTTGGTATAATAAATATTATTATAAGTATTAAAATTTTCATTTATGATTTGTTCTTTTAATTCAAACATAGACAAATGGGGATCCGTTAAAAAAATATGATCGATTAGGGTTCCGTGGCCAAAAAGGGATTAGTAGACTGCCACTTGCAGCTAAAACATTAACATTATATATTTGATTGTATTTTCTCACAGACGTGGACAGCGACATGTCTCCGCTAGAAGGGGTGAAGCGCAGCAAGTCGGAGCTGGTACTGCGCGCGCGCCGCGACGCGCCCGAGCCGCTGTCCGCCGATGAGAGGGAACACTTCCGGAATAAGAGGCTTAGGTATGCGTTATATTGGATTGTGTGTGCGTGTACACACACGCACACACAATCCAATATTGTAATATGAAATAATATAAAATAATGTTTTTACTCCTTCACTCTGGAACAGCTGGGCAGATTTGGATACTTAGAATACTGACTAACTGTGAGATATAGGCTACTGTTGGACACATGTACCCGAAGGAAGTGAGGATAAGTCGCTAGTGTTATTAATATTTATTTCAAGTTTAACTAGCTGACCCGACAGACACTGTTCTAAATTTCATTAAAATGTCTAAATTTCCATTTTAATCACGATCTCGGGTAATGTAAAAATCTTTCAGCATATTTCTCCCTGTAGACCTTATTATGTGTTTACCGACGAACATTCCACATTTATATATACGTTTTGATAGTAATTCAATACACTAACAAATACTACCACACCCACAGCTTAAGCCTCAGCCTGGACCCTCTCCCCTCCCCCTCCACCCTCTCCCCGGACACATTCCACACGGCCTCGTCCTCCCCCCCGGAAGCCATCTCCTCCCCCCACACCCCCTCCACCACGGACGTGTCGGGCCTCCTCAGCGAGGAGCCTCCTCTGCCCAAGTTCAAGCTGGGACCAGCGCCCGATGATAGTGATGATATGTCCAGTACTGAGGATTATCATAAGGTGAGTGAGTATATGTAATTTAATGTCATTGATATACATATAAAAGCATAGATACACATTTGTTTATTGTTTTACAATTTAAAAAATAAAATAGTTGTCCTGAAAAATAATATCATTGGCTTTAATAAAATGTGCATATAATTAAATTGGCGTGAAGTTAAACTTAAATGTTTTTTTAATCTTCTTTACAAATTTTCAATAATTTGGCCACTGTGACATAATTTAATTAATTATATTAATGATGCTCCATACAAAACAGTTTATATTGAGCTTGTAAGTTGTAACAAAAAGATGTAAAGTTTTTTGCTCGTTCAAAATATCTATTTCTTCGAGTTTTATAAAATCAAAATTTTCATAATAGAGAGGAAACTGTTTTGCAATTATTTCATTATTTTAAACATAAATTATTTTGTTTTTATTTAAATTAATTTATAACATAGATTATGTTGTTCTAAAAGATGTGAAATTCCAAAAATACCTTATATAAATCTTATATGTAACTAGCATTTCCCGCGGCTCCGCCCTCGTTCCAATGATCAAAACCCAAATTCTTAGGTTTTACATATTAGTATACTCTTACATTGCGGTTTTTCTATTTTGTCTCAAAAATGAAATGTTTTTCCGCGGTAAAAAGTATCCTATATGTTGACCCGGATAACTAGCTATCACCATACCAAATTTCATCAAAATTCCTCCAGTGGTTTTCCCGTGATGCGGTAACAGACAGACAGACAAAAATTCTAAAAACTATAGATTCGGCCTCTGTATCGATAATAATGTCTATTTCAATAAGATTTTCCAAAAAATATTTAACGTACAGATTCGACTTAGAATTTTATTATATGTATAGATAGATGTACATACATATAATATTTTATAGTAACTTGAAAACATAGTAGTAAATTAAATCTTTATATGTAGTCATTTAAGTGGATTCCACAAATCGATTATTATATTGTTATATCGACTTATCAATCTATAAATAAGGAAAATGTACTGGCTTCTTGTACATTGTATATTATTAATAGACTTATGATACTAGCAGCACATTATTGTGTGGGTTTTTCTATAAAGGTGTAGAGTAGCTACTCGAGACAAGTGCTATAACCAACATTTACCATACATCGTTGGTAAAACCTAGCATGTATCAAACTCTGACGGTAAAAGCCTGAAAGATTGTTTTTATAAAATCCTTACATTTACCAACTCGTGTTGGTAAATCCTAAGATTTACCACTATACGGGCTTTTACAGTAACATATGTAGGTATACATAGGTATAATGAGTTGTTGTTGGTTGTATTACAATGTGTTTCCCCGTGAGAATGACCTCCCGCTGTAAAAAGTAGCGTATGCAACTCTCCAGCCCTCTAACATCTCCATATAATAATCACGCCAATCCGTAATTCTCTTTCGACGGGAAAGAAAGTCAAACAAACAAACACATTTTCACATTTATAATATTAAGTATGGATATTAATAGTGTTAGTATATTATTATTATTATGGATTTTAATTATTTATAAGTAGAATACTGTTAGCGTTAACTTTATATTATATACATATTTTATTTCTTAGCCGCGAATAGTAGAAGGGCAGTCGTCCAGTTCGGTCGAGAGATCGCCAGAAGACAGACATCCGAGGACCAAATACAGGAGACGTATTAGTATGTATCATTTTTATTATACTTAATAATTCATAATTTTAAATAAAATTAAACCGATTTGAAGGAGATAAAATAATTTAGTAATATTTCTATTTTTGTTTATAAACTTCGTATCATTGGTATTGCGGTTTATTCGTATATAGAGTTACCGTGTTGTGTAAAGACCGACAGATGATATTATTATCACGTTGTTGCGAATATCAAAGCTGGGTGATTTGGTTTTCGCATTACCCATTGAAATATTGAATCTTCCTTCTTTAATGTACGTTTATTTAAATTATATAAATGTAATATGGTAGAAAAAAAACCTAAAAACTCGGAGTCTGCTATAAGAAAAAAATCTATAAAAAAATACATAAATATTATATACTAGGAAAACTTCCTCAACCATATTATTACTCGTAACAACTTTAGTCAATTAATTTGAAATAAATTACTGTAAGTTTTTTCGGATATTATCGCGGTATTATTTTGGGTCTACATACATATGCGATGTTTCGAATGCTTTAATATCAAACATGGTCACTAAAGAGACTAGGGTTTTTGACGCTTCAAAAGTCATAGTTGCTACGGATGATATCTACCCACATAATTATACAATAATTATGAAAAAAAGAGTTAAAAAATAAATTAATGATTAAAAATATTTGACAATTCTGTTTAGGACTTTTATATTTATTTATTATTATACAATATTAAATATTTGTGTAAATCTAACAAGGTATTATTAAATATCGACAACAAAGATTTGAATATTTATTTCGTTTCAGCTGATGGCAAATCACGTCGTCAAGTGACAGAGGCGGAAGCACTGCGCGCGATGCAGAGACTGTGTTCGAGGATTGCTTCTCAGAAAATGCTCGTCATATCGTCTCTGGAAAACGACTGTTCTAAAGAAGAGCTTAATAGGCAAATAGCGGTGAGTTTCGTTTGTTTTGTGCCAAATACGTTGAATCAAGATGGCGATTGATTTTTATAGTGATGTTACTTTGAATGGCAATTTTGATACTCTTCTCTGCATTAAGTTTAAAAAAAGTATTTGTTTATTTATTAAGTAAAATAACCCATTGTTTTATGTAACAACAACAGGTTCTACAAGAGCTCCAAAAGAAATACGTCCGTTTAGAAATGGCGTTACAGTACTCATTCTTCGACAACCAGCCCAAGCGCACCATAATGGTGACCCCCATACAGGAGACGCCCTCGCTCACCCTCAGCGAGAGCGACATGCAAGTGTCCACTGAACAGGTCTCTGACACTCAGAATGGACATATTGAAGACCCCTTGCTTAGCAGGTCAGTTCTGAAACACTTAAAGATGAAAAGGTGGATGAAATACTATATGGTACAATGAATAATTAAACCTTTAACACCAATTTCGGTTAATTTGTATTGTATTTAGCCCTTTTTAACTTCTCACTGTTGGCCACGGGCCTTCCTCCAATACCTTGGAAAACTTGTTAAGTTCTCTTATACATGCAGGTTTTTAAATAAAACTATCTTTTCGGATTTTTTCGCGGATTTATTTGGATTTTTGGTTCCCTACGTTTCGAATGCTTTACAGCGATCATGGTCACGGGAGAGACTGCGGTGTTAGGTGTCTCGAAGGTATAGTTGTTATAGAAACTTTCGAGACATGATTGCTGTAAAGCATTCGAAACGTCGGGAACCGAAAATCCAAATGAATATGCGAAAATGACAGTTTTGTTTAAAATGTCAAATATTCGAGTAAATTTAAGAAAGTATTACATACAGGTTTCCTACGTAACCGTAAGATAAGTGGTAATAATGGTTAATTTGCTGAATGTTAAAATTCAAATTCAAAATTCCACTTCAAATTCACGATTACTTTGTATTACTAAGATTTATAGGGATTGTGCGAAGTTGCCGTACTGGGCCATAGAAGTTTTTGGATTGGAATAAATAGTTAACATTACTTCTTGATCTTGCTGGTGTATGGCTAGCTTGTATTCTTCAACAACCAAGATTTTTAATGATGAATTAAATAAATTAATCTAAGACCCTAGCTCACTCTCAGTGTGAACAACAATATATATGGTAATTTGTAATCAGATTAAAAGAAACGGAAGTGGAAGCATCAGACAACGTGTCTACCTCCAACGACGAGCTGCCCTCGGAGCAGTCGTGGCGTGACCCCCTGCGGGACCCGCTGCGGGACCCCCCGCGCGCCCGCGACCTCACGCGCGACCGCGACCCCCCGCACCTCCCGCACCCCCTGCACTCTTCGCCCATAGCCATACCTGTGAGTATTTAAAAACAAAGATGAAACGGAAATATAGGTGTACATTACAGTTTAAATCCCGATATTGATTGATAGTAAGCACACACGAATAATTATTGGCGAAAGCGTACAATAGTTGAATGTGTAATATATCTCCGAAAAAGCCAGCATTATATTTCAAAACTTATATATTTTAATTAGATTTAGTTACAATTTATTAGAAAACATTAATTCTCAACTATTACTTATTTCCTTTTTCCAGTTAAAAATCACATATAGCATCCACCCATGTCGACTTCAAGACAACCGATGCCCTTATTTCAGTTTTAGTAGTCTTTCTATTTTTTATTTGTATTTCTTTCTTATCTCTTTCTTTCTCGGCCTGCCCATTCTCGTGATTTTTAACTGGCCGATTTATGAAAGTATCTGTAATTTGTGCATTCGCGTCGTCAGTGTAGCCAGTATAAACAATTAATGACTGTTTTATTATACATTAATATAGCGAAAGTTTTGTACATTAAAAAAGAGAACTTACATATTATAAAGTAAGGCTCGGCGCACACTACAGTGCAATCTTCATAACCTGCTACAGGTAAATATTTTTTTAAGGACTCTTGCCTGGCAGTAGTCTGAAGATTGATGATGTTTTTTTGGATTTATTGTCTGAACTGTGTTATAATGTGTATATGTCTTTAAGGAATCTGCTCGCTGTCAATCATTTGATATAGGATATTGTAAATGTCAAATCAAATTGCCATTATTAATTTATATAATAGTTCATTTCGTATTATGTGTATCGTATTATGAATATGTTTAGAGAGTTTTATATAATTTAGTTTCCATAATTATGTTTGTTGTGTCGTGTTGTAGTTTTGTTACTATAACTTCTCTTCTTTTTCTAGGATTATGGTATGGAAGGTCTTATGCATCCTGTAGATTTTTGTAAGTTCATTTTATCTACTTATTCGTGTATATTACATAGTTTCTATTGCAAATATGAAACTAATTTAAATATTTATTCAATTTCTTGATATGAAAATATATAAAAAAATTGATACTTTATTTTCCTTTTTTTTAAATCTATATTTATAATCGTATTCTTATTTTTTATATTAAAAATCAACAATTAATACTAAGTAAAACAAAAAAAAAAAAATTCTCATATGACTTACACAATTCAATTCTTTTGTTAATGGCTTCAAAGCGTGTCAGTTGAGCACACTTTTCACATAGTCCAGTCGAATTAGGATTTAATTAGTTGTTCAATAAACAAAATTTCACCCCCTCTTTTCGGGTATAAATCGAATAATATCGAACCTACGAAAAAATTGATAAGTACCAAAAATGTAGAAAATTTGAATTTAAACAACTTTGCTTATTACACTTTTTCGCGTCAAATTGAAAAGAAACGAGTTATTCAATAAACAAAAATTCACCGAAAAATATCGATCGATAGGAAAAAATTGATGAGGATCAAAGTTGTACGAAATTTAATTTAATACAATTTTTTAATAACTGTTTTTTGTGTAAAATTGAAAATAAACGAGTTATTGAATAAAGAAAAATCAACCCTTAAATTCAAGATGGGTCTTTTACCCCAAAAATCTAAATTTAGACTTCCAGTGAGTCCCCTCAAAGAATTCCGAAGGAAAATTGTTGTTAAAAATTTTTGCAACGTTTGCCCCTTTTTTGAGCCAATTCGACTGGGCTAATAAGACATAGGAGTAATAAGTAATAACAGTAAGGAATGGCACTGTGCAGCGCGCGTGGTGAGCGTGCCGGGATGGGTGACGCGCGGCGCGGGCGCGCGCACGCACCACGAGTACGAGGTGCGCCTGCGCGTGCCGCCCGCCGCCTGCGCGCTGCTGCGCCGCTACCGCCGCTTCCGCGACCTCTACCTCGCCGCGCGCGCTCTCTACGGGGAGAAGGTGCGCCCACTCTGCATACATCATGTTGTTACATGCGAATGTATCTATGGATTGACTTAAAGTCTGATTTTTAATTCCACGGAAATATGACAGCTATCATTCTTTGACAATTCAGATATCATAAACCTTTTCTCCTTGGTATTTTTTAATATAAAATAACAAAAAATATGAAACAGAATAAGATAAAGTAAACGATATATATGACATTGTAAATAGTGTTTGTTTTGTGCAATCAATGCACGCTGATTATAATATAAATTTTTAACGGTTAAATGAATAAAACAGAGTAAATAAAAACAAAATATTTTACAAACAAAGGGGTTTTATTAAAAAAGGCTTGCAACCTATGGATTATTGGACAGGGATTCCTGTAATAGAAAAATAATTTCCTTAAGAATTATTGTAACTTCAATAAATATTATGATAATAAAAAAATAATTACCATTTTAGAGTTGTCAATAATTTTTTAAGTCTTAGTTTTTCTAATTGAAGCCTTAACTTTAAGAAAAGTTTATTTTTTTATTTTGCTAAAATGCTTTCCGTTTTTAAAGACAATGTTTCAAAGTTGACAACACTTCTGAAATGTCAGAATTCCATCGAATTAAAAATCAGACTGTAGAATAGTACAATTACAATTGAGAATATCTTAATAGTCTATGTCTTACTCCAGGTCTTAATCCTACATACATATATATCATATTTTTCAGCGAAAAGATGTAACAGACATACATATACACGTACAGTCGTACAATCATTCGCTTTTATAATAATAAGTAGTTCAGATTTTCAACCCTAAACCTCGTCTTAGTTTGACAACTACGTTTACTTAAATAAAACTATATTTTTGTTGTCATTTCTCTTTTGTATAAATTTTTAATATAATTTTATTAGTAAATACCATCTGTTATGGCTACGTATATAATATCTTTGGGATGTCTAAAACCCGAGTTTATTCGAAACGTCAGGAATCAAAAATCTGAAAAGATAGTTGTATTTAAAAACCCATAAATCCATGTGACGATCGAACACTGTAGGTGGCGGCGATCCCGTTCCCGGGGCGCGCGCTGTGGTCGTCGGAGGCGCTGGCGCGCGCGCGGCGCCCGCAGCTGGAGGCCTTCCTGCGCCGCCTGCTGGCCGTGTGCGCCGCCGACTCGCGCTGCCCGCTGCACGCGCAGCCGCTCACCAGGGAGTCGCTCGTCGCCTTCTCGCCCTTCTTCAGGAAGGTTAGTTGCCTGCTCTTTTCGACCGCACATTTTGAACGGGGTTGATTTGGTTTGGTATAATATAGATGGTCATTTTGACCACAGATTTTGAATAGGGTTGATTAATTCGTGATACCGATGTGGATAAACGAGAGGTAGTGGAGAGATAGGTATGATATTCGCTGCATTTTGTGGTGCTCAACTCCTAACTGTCTGGTTTTTTTCGTGATATTATCGTCATACGTCGCGACAATATTTTAAGATATGAATGTCTAATACGTAAATATAATTAGGTATGGACTCTAATGTAGTTAAAATATTAACACATACATCAATTTGTCATGTATTTTATCCATCGAAATATATTAGATTTGCTTTGCATCGACTGGCATCAACTTCGAAAATATCTGATTAGGTATCTGTTCTAAATGAAAACCCCCGCTTGCTTAGTTATTTTTTACTTTTTAGTGCCTGTAATTTGGTGGTTTTCATTGTAAACAACTCGAATCTAATATTAGTATACACGTTTCACATTATATGTATGTACCCATTTAATAGTTTATGCACAAAAGTGTATACAGCTATTAACAACGCTTAAAACCAGCGCAACCAGAGAGTTTGAAGTTTGGCGGGCCTTTGACAGTTTAATAATGTTGTCTTATCAAAACTATAACACACAGACTCACGAAAAAAGAACTTTTCTCTTTTCTATCTTCGAAAAATTAAAATCCAATTTCGTCCACATCAGGGCGTGTTCGAGAGCGGCAAGTGCGGCACGGGATGATGGCGCGCGGAGCTAGTGAGGCGCGCGCTGCGTCGCGACGCGCGCCGCCTCGCGCGCGCGCTGCGCGCCGCCGCAAGCCTGCTGCTGCGCTGCGCCGCGCTGCTGCTGCTGCTGCTCGTGCTGCTGCTGCGCGCGCGCCGCCGCACCTGATACTGCGCTCGGTGCGCTTGGGGCAATCATACGTACTGATACGACTGCTGCTGCTGCTCCTGATGTTGTGCTGGATATACTTAAGGCAAACATACATTTTTTTTCACGAGAAACCCGCTATGGGGACTCTGTTAACCGTCAACGGGCAGGGTACTGTGCGACTCCTACTCACTTAAAACTCACAGTGGAACCCGTCGCCGCAGTGCAATGGGGCGTTGCAGGATCGCTTGCGCACACACTACTACACCCACGCGGAAATCATACATACGTACGGATACAACTATTCTGCGGCTTATCGCGTCCGTGACGCTGATGCCGACGCGGGTATACTTAAGGAATACAACTGCTACTGTTGCTGGTAGTGCACCTGGTATTCGCAATTGGACATACTTGGATATGTTTACTGGTAATATTATTAATATATGTGTATGACAGTACATACCTATACAAACAAAACGTACTGTATTTATTGATATTAATGCGACTTGTTAAGTGTGTTCTGATACACACGATAGTTATGCCAATGTGAACCACACGTACTGCAGGACCTGCTAGTGCTCCCTATGATACCCATTATACTGGTAATGTTAACGATATGTATGTATATATATACAATATACATAGACTGTTACACATTATGTTTTCTCTTCTACGGGTCTATACTATACTCGTATTATAACTGTGCTGTTCTTAAATTAGGATAATAAAACAAATCACGAATGATACAAGTCAGGAATGCTACGGTACGCACGTGCATTTTTAGTGGTGATATAGATTCCTAATTTCCTTCAAGGTTTTACGATATGGCATTATATATGAGTATGTACTCATATGATGACTTTACACAAGTCTATTTTTTTTTGCAATTAAGTTTCCTATATAAAATGTCACTGATTTTACTCTATACAGGACTAATAATACTACTTCATTAGTTCACATATAATGATAATTTAAAGTTATAGTACAAAATAATATAAATATAAATATTCATTCATTCATCATTCATTCATTCGAGTGATGATCATTCGTGAAATTCGTACAAGTGGCTTTGCAATGCGAAAACACAAAACATTACCTTTAGCAGTGTTTTCGGCCTATAATTACTCTGTATAAGCCTAATATTACAAAACTATAATACAATGTCAATTTAACATTACTTAGGGATAAACAAAATATGACAGCTACAATGAATAGTGATGTATCTGTTTATCTTTCAGATATTAACATCAAAACTACAAATTGATAGGTAACATTAGTGATGTACCCATATGATGCAATTATTTAAAATATTTGAAAGTTCTTGTACTAAACACAATATCGTCAACTTAATGTAAAGAGCGTCAGTGTTGTCAGTCCGCGAGGAAGCTACCACTGGCTCGGAGAGCAAACCTGCTAAGAAGATATAATAATTTTATTTACAAAACATCAAATATTCATATTATTATGGATATTATTCTAATGGGTCCTAAGCGAGTTTGAGTTTAGTAATGTAATTACAAGCATTAACTAAAATAATTAAAAAAAATCGTTTTCTAAATATCCTCAGTATATTTTTAATCTGAGTCTTGGCAGTTTAAGGGCTGACCTCAATACCTTTAAATAAAACATAATTTTTGTACAAAAAATAAATCTATTTACAAATGAAATAGTCCCTATATCTTATACGTTGTAGTAATTGATGTGAAGACTTGTTAAACTACCCTCTTAGTCCCCTGTGCCTTTGAATTCAATTAGAACATCCCCTAGAATTTTGTTTCGTAGACGATTTAGAAAGAAATATAATATATGATTTGTAAGAATTATATACTGGAGAGTTATACGAGTACGTTATGTAGGTGTAGATGTAGGTGCATGCGCAGGCGCAAGCAGCAGCGGGATTTGTATACCTTATGCTATTAGATGTGGGCAATTTATTGACAAGTAGTAAAAACTATTTAGTAACATTTATAAATGGATATTTAGTTTTTTTTATTTGTTAATATTTGGCATATTTAACTGACCAAGGTATGTCCTTAACTGACATAACTTTTTTATCATTCCCAATGAACATATCGACTTTGACTTTCATTTTCGTTTCTTGTTTTGTGCCAATATTTGCGTTTTAAACCAATATTTAAATGTAGCTCTACCCTGTCCCTTTCTAAGATGGACGCTGTTAGAGAGATCATATTATTTCACTATTGGCAGTTTTCAGAACCAAGGACAGACGTTCACTAAGCATTTAGATAATCTCCAGTATTGCCATAAAGGTTTCTTTGAATTCAAAATCATCCACAGACTAAATAGTTTGCTAATTTTAAATTTAAAAGAGAATTTATTGAACAATAATTGGTATTTTAATCAATTTTATTAAAATACAAAACAAATGAAAATGGCTCGTTATCTCTCGTCTATAACATAGTATAACGACTTGTGTTCGATATTTCAAATTGATTTTATTTTTATTGAAGCATCACGATCAAATTTCTTTAAAAGTTTTATGTGCCTATTTCTTAAAAGACATTTGCGTATAAGTTTGTTTACAAACGTTTGTATCTATGTTTCTACTTCTTGTTACTTCTTAGTTCAGTTCATCATTAAAACGTGTTTTTATTTTTTTTTAAATATAATTTATTTTCCATTTTTTAGTTTGATCTGCTATAAAAGCGTGATTTTTTAAGTTTTTTTTTAATTATAAATATATTTTTTATTGTTGTATTGTCATCGGTCCTTGTTAAATGTACAACGTTTCAGTTTAATCAGAAGTTTTGAAGTGGGAGAAAATCACATTCAAAGATTCCGTCAGGAATAGAAAGATAGATACAGATAGAAATATAGATAGATAGATGGTACTGTATGTCTATTTGCGATAGCTATATGTATATTTTGAGCAATTCAAGTTTAGTTTAAGTTTTTCCTCTTTTCTATCTATCAATTGAGGACAATTTACCTACTTAGGTCGTATCGATCAATAAAGTACTAGATACACAATCAGAGACAAAAAATGTCCTCACCGAATGAGCGCTCATTTGAACACATAAGCGCGCTTTTAATATTTTTTTTGTAAAAACAGCTTTAAGCAATACATTTAAGGTTCAATTAACATTGTTGTATATTTATTTCAACTACAATAATTACCTAAACACAATTGGTGACAGTTCTAAGAGAACTTTTGCATGGGATTGTGTATCTAGTACTTTTTTTATCGATGTTAAGTCGATACAAAATTGAAAATGTGTAATAATATCTCAATTATTAATGTGTTAGGAATACGATTAGCGCCCAAAAGCAGTACATACGCGTCACTAGCTCCCTAAAGTCTCTCGACTCGATCGAGCAAATTTTTAAATATATTATTACTAACAAAATAGCTATGTTATCATCATCCCTTTAACACAAAATCCACTTAAAGTATTTTTATATAAAAAAAAACTTAAAATTCTATATACATCGATCGTAGGTCGATTAAGAATCAATAAAAAATTATAAAAGCATAAAACTATTTACACTTAAAATTAAATAAAATTATTGTAAATACTTTGAATAGTAAATGATAGCTGTATCTATTTGTGCAATTTGTTTAGTTAAAAACTAACTTTTTAAAACGTATATATGTTTTATTGAATTTGTTTCCACATGATAAAAAATAATTAGTACTTTCTAAAGGTGTTCGTATATGGCCTAGGCTAGCGTTGCTATTTGATTTACGCAGGCACAAATAATATATTGGAAATCCTATAGCATATATAAAATAAATATTTTGGTTTGTTTCATCTTCATAGATTTATCTTCCAATTATTTAATCTGTCAGTAACAATAAATTGTTATAGTAATCGATAAACATGTTGATAGCTGACTTTGACCGATCGATGACCGGCTGAAGCTGTTTTTTTTTAATAATAATTAATTTTCTTTAATAGAACAGCAAAACATTTACATTATAGGATTGGATGTACATATATAATAAATATAAATTACGTCGTCTCAGTACTTATTTGTCCAAACGACAAATTTAGTTTTTAAACGTCAATTCTATTGGTATTAAATATACGTTTTATTGTATTACTACAGCCGAAAAGTGAATTTTATCTATACATGTATAATATATAAATAAAGCTTTGTTTTAAAATAGTAGAACATAACTCTGTACTGTAAAGTACAATAAGTATTGGTCGTTTATATTATAGGTTTATATTTATTTCACTAAAGCTGCGATTAATTAAAACTGTGTTGTATCAAACCTGCAATAATGCAAAAGCATCGATCAATCAGTCGCTAAATTTTTCCATTGCGCCGCATTTTTCTCAAGGTGTTTGCCGGTTACCATGACAATTGACAATACTAATACCCGATTTCACTAACGTCACCTAAGTTTAAGGGATCCCCTAAGCATGGTTAGGGGGCTGTTAGGGGACAGTTTCTGTTTCACCGACAGTAAGGGATTACCTAAATTTAGGTGCTCGAAATATGGGCTTAAAGACGATCGTAAAACGAAATTTAATTTAGGGGCTAGCTTAGGGGACTTTTAAGCTAGGGATCCCATACGTAGGTGGTAACTTATGGGTTGTTAGTGAAATCGGATATAAGTACTACTGTGTACATTGTTTGTGCAATATCCAATACATATATTCTTATATCAGCCTTCAGTGTTAAAATGCATAAAAATATTTTTTATATTATTCTGTCGACCTGTCTGTAGTTTAACTCGTGTGTTGATAGTTAAAACTTACAGGGCTGAGAAGTAATTTATTTATAAATGTCGTAAAGAATGTAATATAATATATAGCTAATAACAAAATATTTTAAACACTAGCTTTTGAAAATATTCATTTTTTTTGGCTATTAATAAATGTCAACAAGGTGAATAACTACTAAATTGTTCCAATAAACAAAATACTTAACGGTTTCTTATAAAAAAATTAATGCATGCTACCCTATATATTATGGTAACCTTAAAATGTCTTTGTATGTATAGAATTTTCATGTTTGAACGAATTTAATAAATATAAGGTCATAAAAATTGGCATATCTGGCAACATTGTTAAGTGTTGCACGTTTTAATATTTTAAAAAATTGTAATTTATAATAATTGCAATTAATCCTCATTTTAACTTTTTTCAGAAAAGAATTGATAATTAGAAAATATAAAATATTTGTAAGTAATAAGTACCGTGATAGTTTATTTTAGTACAAATATCGCACATTCTCACAAGTTCTTAGTTTTATTACATTTCGATATATGAATTATTTAATGTTTTACATCACGTCAGAATTACATTATTTATTTACTTTTTGTATTTTCAACTATAAAACGTATGTTTTTGTGTATATTTAAGTAGCAAATTTAATTCATTTTTTTTCTTTACTTAGATTTAATTTTTTACTTTAAGGTTGCCCACATTTTACTGTCAAAGTTAATTAATGATTTTGTTCTCTTTTGCACATTTTTATATTTTATTGTTTAGTTTCACACAAACATAAAATAATTTAACACCAAAATAAAATAATTTTAACAATTGAATATTATTTGTTATTTATTTTAGTTTATGTATAATATTATTTAGTGTAATTTATGAAATGTCCAGTAATTTTATGGCCTTTGGTATGTTAAGTGTGGTTCTAATATTTTCTACTTATTGTACGTGTTCTAAAGATAAATAGTTTAATTAGATTAGAATATAAGAATATATAATAAGTAAATTAGTGAATACTTAATATTTTTTCAATGCTGGTAACCCTAGCGAGATGAAGGCCTTGTTTAATTAATTAAATGTGTGGTTTGTATCGGTATATAAGATATTACCTTACTTTCCAATAAAACTATTTACAGTTAATCTAGTTTAACAAATTTGTCTGTATGAATCAAAAGTTGGCAGTGGTAAAGTACTATGGGAAACCATATTATAATATGAGAGATACCCGTCAGGAAGCCTACTATGTATTTAAATATCTACATAAATGTTATACTGGATGATGAGACACTAATATATGTATTAAAGTAGTCACAGTGTTTGTATATACTGTTACTGAAATATATTTTTATTATAAACTATATTCTTAGTATCACAACAAGTGATGGGCACAAAAATGTTTATTACAGTATGCATATTTTAACTGCTGCTTTGAAATGGAATAGCTGATAGAGAATCAGTGCTGTTCGCTTGAAAACCTTCTTTGGTGATATTAAAATTCTTAGTTTATTTGAAATGACACAGCAATATTCAGAAGTGGCATGGATATGATATGCGTACTGTATTTAAGTGCTGGTCTATTTCTAATGTTAACTGAGTTTAATGCGAGGCCTTTGTGAATAAGATTTATCTGGAACAATGTAATTTTGTATAGATTCATTTATTGGGAGTAAGTTGTTTAGATCTAGAGAGTTGTTGCTGCAGAAATTTGAAAGTTTGATTATTATTGGTATTTAAAATGTTAACCCGCATAATATGACAAAGGAATAATTTTGTGAACAATAAACTACAAAATGTTTTTGAGAAATGCCTTTTATTTAACTTTCCCTTAAAATCTTGTCTTAAATATATACAAGGTGGCACTTTTCTTTCATGTCCCATCCATTTGCCCTATCCTGTATATTGTTTACATTATATAAAGTTGTTATAAATAATAACTTATGCAATAATTAAAACTTTACTTCAATATCTACAAATTATTTTTGGCTTTACGTCATCTCAAAACTTCATCCAAATTGAAATTTGCATAACAACAGAACTCATTAGCCAAATTATTTCGATGTTGCGGTTTAAATTCACATTGTTTTAATTCTAACAACTTCTCTACATTCTCCTTCATGATAGCTCCAGTGCAAACTATAATCTTATCTTTAGCTAACAGTTTTATTGTTTGAGAAGTTTTAGAAATACATTCTTCTGCAAGGAATGGAGGATCAGCCACAATTATGTCATATGAATGTGCCAAATCTGCAGGTACTTTTTCTGGCCACTTATAATCATAAAACATAAAGTCTGTCCCGTGCACTTCAAAGCGTCTGTCATATTCGAATAGAGTCACTGAAAAAAGATAAATATTTTACAATGTTTTCCATATTTTTATCTCTTAATGATTAACACATATTATTTATTACTAGGGACTCACTCTCGCTTCTCTCATGTTCATTCGTAAGTACATTTTAACGGTTAGTATGAAATAGACTACATATTATAATATCATGATATATAGCCTATAGCTTTCTTATATTAAATATTAATAAACAGGCTCTCTAATGGAAAAACAATTTTTCAAATATGATTAGTAGTTCCTGAGATTAGTGCATTCAAACAAACAAACTCTGCCTCCATAATATTAGTATACAAAATAATGTTTAATGCATTTTTTATTCAATCAAATGTTTTAAATAATTTTAAATTATTTTTGATAACATACCATTTGCTCTATTCCCAACTTGTCTCTTCACTGGTACAAAAAGTGTTGGACAGGATATAAGTGCTACCTTTCCACTATCTGGTAGAGATTTATCAATCACTTTCACAAGTGCTTGGACTGTTGCTTCATTATACCAGAATTGACTCAGTTGCTAAAATAGGAATAAATATTTACAATTTTATTTATTATAAATAAAGATAATAGTTAAATAAAATATATAGTTTAATTAATGGTGTTTTACCCAATTCTCTTCGAAGATTATATTTTCATTTAACTGCTGTTTTGATTCTAACTTTTCCAGTATCTCCTGCCTTTTTTGTTGCTCTGAATAAAACTCTTGTAAAGCTGCAAAGGTCTCTGCGGAAAGTGTAGGTACATCGTCGTCCTCTTCCATTGAAAAGGAGCCTAGAAATTATTATGAAAAAGTAATTTTACAGTAAAACGTACGTAAAAAATATAAACATACCCCGATCTACAAATAACATAAAATAGTAATTGTGTAATGTGTTGAACCTTAAAAAAAAATCAACTCCCAAATATAACAACTTGAACGAAACGTAGGTATAGCGATTAGTAAGATTGTGACAGCTAAAAATAGGTTAGTTTTTTCCTAGCAAGCATGGAAGCAGATACCTCGCAATTTTTATTTGGAAACAAATCTAAAAGACATTTGCCTGACATCTGATTATCATACCTGAATATATTGTATATTAAATCAGTAAGTACACAACAATTTATTTTGTTATTTATATATTTTAAACAAATTATTCCACAAAATATGAAATCTACAAATGACAAGATGACATTTCGATTTGACAAGTTGACAGTGACATGTTATTTTAAAATGTTCTATTTAGCACAATATTTATTTTATGTCCAGTAAATAGAATGTATAAATTTTATAATAATTATCCTTTTGAATTTTACAGGATAAAATGGAACAAAATAATTTGCAAGTGATAAAACTACACGAAAATCCGCAATATTTGAAACCTTGCTGTGAACTTATCAATGATGAGTGGCCTCGCAGCGAAACCGCTCGGATGATGTCGCTTCAAGCTTCTTGCGATCAATTGCCTACTAGTTTAATATTAATTAACGATCAAAGGCTTCTTTTAGGCCATTGTAAGCTCACTGCCATACCGAGTATGCCGAAGAGTTGTTTTATCGAAACAGTAATAATATCTAAAGCAATGAGAGGCATAAAGCTTGGTACTTTTTTAATGAAAGAAGTCGAAAAGTATTGTAAAAATGTATTAAGATTAGATATGATTCATTTGTCTACGAAAGGTCAAGAGAATTTTTACGCTAAGTTAGGCTATGAATTATGTGCCCCCGTTTCTATATATGGTAGTAGTGTTGTTAACGATATCAAAACGGTATCTAAAATTGATTTTGTACCAAAACATAATGTTAATATAAATAATTTGGTTTCGGCACCGCTACCACCACCCCCACCCCCGCCCCCACCGATGCCGAAACTTCAAAGTGTAAATAGTAATATCAAAACAAGTAAAACATTTATGTTCAAATATATAAGTTAAGTAGGTAACGTGTTTATAATTTATATAAAAATGAAATAATTTACTAATGTAAATAATTAGAAGAAACCTTTCAAAGGTTTTTAAGAACTTTATCGAAATAGTTTTATACTAAAATATTTGTATATAACATATTGTAATACATACGGAATTAAATAATAATGCAAAATTCAAATTCAATTATTTATTGATAAATTAAAACTTGGCTTTATCTATAAATTCAAGGGCGCGTTGTCGTATGCTTTCCACTTGATCTTGGTCTCCGATCTTCTCTTCCACTTCTATCCACTTCTTGAATAACACTTTCATTTTTCGAGCTGGCAACTTCTGTGACGTCATACGCTCCATCACTTGACTGTGACCAAAAAATGATCTATTATTTTAACTACATAAAATGTCTAGTTCTTATTCACAGTATATTCCTATCTTTGCTAATAAACAACCACCTATATATAATATATATAATAAAATTAAGGTATATATAAATAAGGTATATATAAATTAAGGTATATATATATATATATATATATATATATATATATATATATATATATATACCTTATAGAATATAACGAATATAAATACTATTTATTTAGCAACAAATCGAAGAAAATGTCGCGACATATGAATGTTGTCGTAAATAATAATTTTTATTTATTTATTCATATGAAACATTTAGTATATATATAAAAAAACAACTTAACGATATAAATACATTAGTGTCAAACTGTGTCGCAGTTATTAACGCTCGCCTCACAAGCGTCATGTATGACAATAAATTGAATCCTACACATATTAAACAAAAGTAAGCACAGCAACAAAATCTAATATCCAACAGGGAATATGCGTGTGATTTAAATAAAAGTGAAACATTTCTTTTATCACCATTATTGCTTTTGAATAAATTCTATATCAATATTTTTTAATGTTATTAGTTTTGGATTAAGAAAATAATTATTAAAAAATGTAAATATACGTAGGTGGGAAATTCAAAGTAGTTGAAACGCAGGCCACTGGTACGAACGAATATGACGTCAAAATATTATCATAACAGAGCGAATAGTGATTTTGTCGGTACAAGTTGAGTCGTAATTTATCTGTCTATATCATTCTTTAACGTCACGCCAAGCGCACGAATTGGCGAGCGTTTAAAGTATCTGTGTCAATATGATATTTCTAAATTTTATTTTATACTAAATTTCAGTTTTTTGGATATTTTTTACATAACCATGTTAGCTATTGCATAAAAATTCACGCATATTCCCTATTAAACAAATAAAAAAAAGAGTTATGATGACATTGATGATAGACATATGTGCGAGCGTGCGCACCCGCGCGTGTTTGTATACATATATGTGTGTTTGTGTGATAATATGTGTGTAGAAAAGTCTCAAGTTATAGTGCCAAAAGGTCTTTCTTCTTCAATTGATAAAAAATCGTAAACCTTTATTTTTTTAACACGCAACACACATACATCACCTCAAACAAGATGTCAAACACAGGATGAGGCCCGTTTGTGCCCATATATATCTCCCCAAACAAATGCTACTATATACACTCACCGAACATGTTCAACGTCCCTGAAGGCCAGCAACATGTCCACATAGGCGCAGCACACGTCCACCCGCTGCGGGTACACGGCTATGACTTGTTCGAACAGAGCCTCCGCCCGCTCGCGCTCTCCCCGCAGCCGCTCCATTTGGGCGAAGCGTACCAGCAGAGAGACGTCTGGAATAGAATGTTTCGCATACATATATTATGTGTTTAAAAACTTAGTTATTGCTAAAACACAGTTTATTTTTTTAATTATTATGTACACTTTGATAATATACAATTGACTTTATTAGCTTAACATAAAGTAATCAATCCTAATTAATAGACGAGATCCATCAATAGCTTTATTTAGTAGTGTTTATTTTTATTATAAATATGTGTATAATATGGGTTTCATATACTGATTTGGACCTTTCTTGGTGGTGTAAAACTAGCTCTATGTGCCAAACAGTAGCCTATGTGTTACCCAGGTTATAGTCAACCTTTGTATTCACCTTGTCGTGTGGACGGGGCGGGGGTGGGGGGGGGGTTGTCTCGTTAGCGTCCGGCAGTCCAGCCGGGTGCAAAGCCAAGAGAGACACTGTTGCCCACTTTGGTAGGCGATGTGCCATGTAGGTTGCTCCTGGTACTCTACTACTTCTGACATCAGAGTGGACTGTTGGAGCAACCCCATGGTTGCCGAATGCGCAAGCGATCCTGCGACACCCCATCAAGACGGGGGAGATTCCGTTGGGTTTAAGTGGGTAGTACTGGCATTTCTAGTCAGTCCCACATAACCACCTGTAGGTATGCAGGTCGTACAACAAACATATTATTGTAGTCTGACGAAATAGATTTAATAAATATTAAATCATGAAAGTAAAAAAAAACTTTACTATATAGAAAAAATCCTTATACAGTTTATAATAAGAACATAATTAGGTTATAAGTAATAAGTATATTTTATAATAGTTATACATATATTTTACTTACGTTCCTTCTTCTCCAACGCTGCTATACCCTTCTGCATTACATATCTCGCCTTATCCACGAGGCCCGCCTTATAGCATGCCTCCCCACACCTGATGTAGACGTCCAGGTCTTTCCTGTACTTCCTCATCATCAGCTCGACGAGCGCCACCAGCTCCTGGTGCTTGCTGGTGTCTACCAGGATCTCCAGGAGCTTTGAGTGCACTTGGTATGTATCGTTCATTTGGAGAGCGTCTTCAAGAGTCTTTTGCTGGCTTTCCTATAATATATATAATGGTAATTTATTAAGTACTTAATATTTTAAATTTTAAAAAGAATGCCCCCTATGCCTATGTGTTCCTAAATCAAAGCCTGTCTGTGCTCTAAATTTCACCCAAATCTGTCTGTCCATTTTACGCAAATGCACGCGCACACACACATACAAACTTTAACATTTACAATAGTAGTCTGTATTATCTATACTAATATTATAAGGCAGAGTTTGTTTGTTTCAAAACGCTAATCTCAGAAACTACTAATCCGATCTGAAAAAATATTTTTGCATTAGATAGCCCGTTTATTGAGGAAGGCTATAGGCTATATATCATTATGCTACTACGCAAAGGAGCGGAGCAGTAATCATAAATGTCTACAACACGAGCAGAATTCCATACATTATTACTAATGGCATAAAGCCAAAGAATATTTTTTGTAGTTTTAGCGCGAGCGAAGCCGTAGGTTCTGCTAGTATATAATATTACTAATATTAATAATCTTATAACAAATCCAAGCTCACCTTAGTACCGAAGCGGTGCTCGAGGCTGAGCAGCGCGAGCCACACGTTGAGCTTCTCTGCCTCCTCGCGGAAGTTGATGATGTTGAGTGCCTTGCGTCCAACCGCTCGAGCTTTCTCCATTTCTGTTGCCTGATGACAAGTGTTACAATATTATTAACAGTTTTCGATATCGATCAAAGAAAACTAGATACACAATCAGCGACAAAAAAATTTCCTCACCGAATGAGCGCTCATTTGAACGTTTGAGCGCGCTTTTGATCTATTTTTTTTGTGAAAACAACTTTAAACATTGCATTTAAGGTTCAATTTACATTGTTGTATATTTATTTTAACTAGAATAACTACCTAAACACAAATGGTGACAGTTTTGAGATAACTTTTGCATGTCATTGTGTATTTAGTATTTTTTTTGATCGATGGATGGATTTCGCCGAAATATGTTATAAAATTTATGCGGACAGTAGGAGTGATGTACAGTCCGTACACTAAGTAGTAGGAAAAGCTACTAACTGCCTTGTTAGGCTAGTCACCTAGTGGCTAGCATTACGACTGCAGATTCGGAGGTTCTGGGTTCGAGTCCCGGGTCGGGCCAAGTTTAATTACTGAGTTTTTCTATTAAGATATTCTCAGTAATAGCCCGGAGTTTTGCACCGCCGTGCCTCGGCAGTCATGTGTCGCGTCGCCCTGCGCGGTGCCTCAACTCTTATCGCGAGTTTCGAAGTATCGTCCCATTAGACTTTAAGAGGAAAATGAATAGAGAGTGCACGTTGTGTCTGCGCGTAGACAATCACACACACGCTGCACTATAATATCTCCTGCGCAGTTGGTTAGTCTCAGTGAAATTATCCGCCGTGGCCAAAATCGATCAGGAGGACATTAGGAGAAACGAACTACCAACTGACCGACCAGCGAGTTTTGCCTTCCTCTTGTCATCCCACACCCCCGCTGTTAAATCTACTCGATATAAACGATCTTCATTTCTAATCTCATTCAAATCCGATGACCGTTAAAAGTAACAAACAAATACACTAAAATATAAAAAATATATTGCCTGTTGCGAGAGAACCTACTTGTCTGAAGGAACATTAGATTTGAAAAGACGCGTAAAGTCCTAGAACTCATATTTGATGAGGGAGTGCCCTATAGCTTAATCCCACTCGCATTGAGGATAGGACGCCCTAAGTATGAAAAAAATATATAAATTTTATAACTTGACGTTTCTATAACATTCGAATCCTTCATCTCCTCAAAATAATTTTTACATACTAAGACTCCCTATCCAAGAATACCACCGACTCCTCCAGAAGTTGCGTTCCATATACTAAACTGCAGCCTATTCCTGTATACTGTATATCCCACAACGAAATATTAAAAATTTAAAGCCTCTTACGAGGCTACCTTTAAGTTGAATTTATATAGAAAACAGAGTAATATTACTGTGTGAAACTCATGTCACTATGTAAATTTAGTTAGTAATATAATATTAAAAAAAAAGTTATAATTTTTACCTGTAAATGGAAGGCCATGTAAGCGATCCACAGCTGGCTGCAGTTGGGTTCGGAGAGCAACGCCCTCTCGAAGTGGTCGCTCGAGCGCGGTGCGTTCTCACTTTCAATCGCTCTCTTCTCCATCTCTCTTATTCTTTCCTCTTCTTCTCTCGCTTTCGCTGCTTTCTCTGCTATGGAGAGCTTCTTCCTTTTCTTCTTAGGCTTCTCTTCCTCCTATATGAAAATGGAAATAACAATACTTGAAAAGAAAAATACATTATTTTTATTTATACAGTATTTTTTTAACCAATTTTTTTGTTCCTGCTATATTAAAAAATATAATTTAAATATTTGGAATACATACGCAAGCCAATGAATATTTTTATACCTAATCTTCATCTGTTTCCAATATATGCGCTATTTGTAGTATGAAATTTATTTTTAAGTGGTCTCACGCAACATAAATAATACTTTTAATTTTTATTAACTATGATGATGTTCTCCTGACCGATTCCGGCCACGGCGGCCAATATCATTGAGATTAGCCAACTGCGCAGGAGATATTATAGTGCTCAAGTGTACGCGCAGACACAGGTGCACTCTCTATTCCTATCACTCTCATACTCCGGGGGCTCGACTCGACACGACCGGTGAGAGTTAAGGCGCAGGACCGACGGCTTTACGTGCTCTCCGAGGCACGGGGGTGAAAAACCGCCAACTTCCCAACTCCGGGCTGTTACTGAGACTTACTATACAGAAAGACTCAATAACTAAACTTGGCCCGACCCGGGACTCGAACCCAGGACCTCCGGGTGTGCAGCCGTACATGCTAGCCACTACACCACCGAGGCAGTTTGATTAATTATAATATTTATATTGTAACTAGCGACTCGTACGTTTTAACGTTTAGTATAGCTTTCTCAGAGATAAGATATTTTCTCGCAGTTATATGTTGACCCGGATAACCAGCTATTTCTGGTGGAGCTATAAATTTCATCAAAATCTGTCCAGTAGTTTTCTCGTGATGCATTCAATGACAGACATACAGATAAAAATTCTAAAAACTATAGATTCGGCCTCTGTGCCGATAATAATTACTATTTCAATAAAAAAATCCAAAAAATATTTAATGTACAGATTCGACTCAGAATTTTATTATATGTATGGATAATAATAATCGTCATACAACTAAGCCAAATCCATTCATTTCAAAAACAATGAACATACCTCTTCCTCACTACTGCTAGATTCTTCCTCCCTTGTATTATTGACATCTTCAGCACTCAAAGACCAGAAGTCTTTAGCACTTGGAACTTCTACAATGGGCTTCAACACTTCAAGTACCTTCACTTTTCTTATTTTTTCTGTCTTTTCCTTGTTTTCCTCATCTTTACTATCTTTGCCACTTACTTCTTTATTATTTCTCTTTTTCCTTTTACTTTTTTCTTCATCTTCGTTATCTTCTAAATCTTTTTTTGTTTCAAATTTGCTAATGATCTTTGCAGGCAACTGTAATTTTTTTTTCTTTTTCAAATCTTTGTTTGATTCTACATCAAGCTGTTTGAATTTATCTTGGGCGATCGTAAGCGTTTCCATAAGTTTCTTTATTCTTTCTTCAATGACTAGCCTCTCCATGTTCATAGCTGTGTGATATTTTTTATTTGCCGCATTTAAACCTTTTTGCTCTATGGCTTCTATCTTTTTTTCCACTCTATTTAATCTGTTAGTCCTAGCTTTAATAGCCTTAATTAATGACACCACTCTTTTTTTATAACTTTTTGCCGTGTCACAGTCGGATAAGTCGATTAAATTCAAATCTTGCGGTGTCAATATTTGGTCACTGTCTTCATGTATGTCAGTCTCTATCGCATCACTTTCTTCCGATGCTTCTTTCGTTTCTTTTTGTTCTTTTATTTCTACTTGAACATCACTTTTTTCTTCTTTCTTTTTCTTTTTATTTTTCTTTGATTTATTTTGCTCATTGCTCTCAACATCTTCTTCAGTATTAATTTCATTTGTAATATCTTTTTTATAACTTTTTTTTATTTCTTTTTGTTCTTCTTGAACATCACTTTTTTCTTCTATCTTTTTCTTTTTATTTTTCTTTGATTTATTCTGTTCATTGGTTTCAATATCTTCTTTAGTGTCAATTTCATTTGAACTGTCTTCTTTATTTAATTTATCTTTGTTTTTCTTCTCTTTCTTTTTTGCTTTTTTAGTTTCAATTTCTTCAGTTTTATCAATATCTATATTTTCAGATTGATCTTTTTTATTTCTCTTTTGTTTTTGTTTCTTATTACTATTTTCATTTATTTCAGATTCATCTACGTCCATTTCGGAATTTTCATTATCTTTTTTAGCTTCCTTTTTCTTTATATCTGTTTTTTGTTTTTTAGAAGGAGGTGCTGATTCCTTATCTTTTCCTTTTCTTTTAGTGGGTTTTTTAAGGTTTTCCTAAAATATTTTATTACAACATCAAAAGTATAAATAATCAAATAAAAATAATCAAAATTTAAATGGAATCTTATATATTTATTTATATTTGTTTTACTTACAATCGGAGTAAAAGTCTTTGTTATGAGACTTCCGGACATTTTTTTTGTCTCTGCATTTACTGACATGATCGTACATTTTACCTGCAATATATAGAAAATCATTGTTTCTTTAACATTAATCATATTTAAATGTAATATATTTTGCACATAAACAATTATATTGACAATAAATTATAAAAAACTTTAAAAAAATAAATAAAACCGACTTCCAGGCACTAAAATGTAAAAAATAAGTAAACGGGGGTTTTGATTTAGAATAGATACCTAATCAGATATTTTCGAAGTCGGTGCCAGCCGACGCATAGGAAATCTAATATATTTTGATACGTAAAATACATATTTACCTATTAGATATTCATATGTTAAAATATTGTCCGCTAACACCGACTTCGAAAATATCTGATTAGGTATCTATTCTAAATGAAAACCCCCGTTTAGTTATTTTTTACATTTTAGTGCCTGGAAGTCGGTTTTTTTTTAAGTTTTTATTTTTATACTTTTAGTGTAGACGTAATAAGCAGGTAATTCGTAGGAAGAAAGGTTTTAATAACAAGTTTTTAGTTTAAAAAAAAAGAAGATTAATTGTACTTTAGGCCAAAAACTTCGAGCGAAGCTCGGTAGCCCAGGTAATTATATATAAAATAATATATACTTACAATCTGTCCCTGATGAAAGGCATGTGTAAGACTGTCTATGGGTTCGGTGGTAACCAGCCTGCGAGGCACATACGCCGTCACATTGTTAAAGAACGATACTATTAAGTAATCTCTGATATGCTGTAAACAAATAAAATTAAATAATCTATACACGTTAGGAAACTGAAGTATATTTTATATGGAGTTAAATAATTCAATTCAATTTTTTTTATTATATTTGACCGACGAATATATTTTTAAATAATTACCTACTTCATACCTGAAAAGTTACAATGATTTTAAAAATGTGAAGTATGGAAATGGGGAATTTTTTTCAATTTTTTTCTTTGCGAAATTATGAAATCTGCGAAAAATGCTTTATAGGACCAATGGCTATAACATATAAAGATCAAGAGCCATAACATATTATGCACTTGTCACAACATACAGCATGACAACAGGCTGAGTATCCGGCCGCCGGATATCCGGCCCTTCGACCTTACAGTTTGCCAGTTATCCGGTATCCGGCCAAACAACTATTCCTTTCATCATTAGTATTTATCCTCACCGCCACAACTCCAGTATACATTTTCCCAACTTGCGCCTCTTTGTAGCTCTTTAGAACTTCCAGGTCTTCTTCCAGCAGCGTGGGCTTCAGGGAGAGGGTCAGCTGGTGCTTGGTCAAGTCTATCGCCAGCACGCGAGCCTTCACCTCTTGTCCCACCTTGCACATAACATATTAATATTTTAAGTAATATTATGTAGAAAGTTTAAAAAGTAACTATACATGTATCATCTGAGCATTTAATTTATTGTAATTCTAGTTCACTTACCTTAAACTTTTTCTTGGGCAACTTAGAGTGCGTGGCTTTTTTTGGGTCGATGAAAACTCCTGTGTCCGTCATATGGGATTGTGGTACATAACCTAAGAGATAACAAAAGATAAACTTTTAAATCAATTAAATAAAAAAATAATCACATATGTATCTCAATATATGTCACAAATAAAGCGATACGTAGATAACGTTATATAACATATAAAAAAAATAATAAAACCTTCAGCAATAGCAAACTTATGCACATTTTATTCAATTTCTCAGACTTTTAAATAGTTTAAAATTTCTAATATAGTTAGCACAATGACAATAAAAAGCTAATCAAAAAGAACCCACTCACCACTAACCCTTCCAACGTTAACCCTCAAGTGGTTATCGGCAACAGAAGTGACCGTGGCCGGTACTATGTCCCCGATGTTGAGTTGCGACAGGTTGAAGTATTTCTCATTCAAAATGGCGGCATCGTCGCTCAAAGAGTACACGTAGTCGCTGAGATTGTAACATAGAACTCGCACTTTATGAGTGCTGCCTGGAAGAAAACAAATATAATAAATCACTGGCCATTTTAGAGATGTGCATATGGTTTTTATTAAGAGAAAGAGGGTTCTTTACTAACATATCATATCTATACAGATAAATAAAATTGAAGTGTCTGTTTGTAATGTCAAAATAACAGCTTTTACTAAATGCATATGAAATGATATAAGGTACTTATAAAAAAAAACTATCTGTAAAAATTTATTTTATCTATTTATGTGTTTGTATCTGTCTGTCCGACTAATCCCCGAACCGGCTAGACTGATTTTGAAAGGACTTTCACTGCCAGATTGCTGATGTTATGAGACTTAGGCTGCTTTTATTTTAGAAAAAGAATTAGGGTTCCGATCTAAAAAAATAAAAGGACCTGAGCGTAGCGAGGATAAGTCGCTAGAAGATCATATTAAGGAAGCATGGGACAGTAGTAAAATATTATTCATTAATGACTCACCAATGGGATAAGATTTTGCTAGCACTTGTTCATCGGTGAGGTCTTCATGTACGGCCACTCTGCGCAGACTCAATATCCCTATACTTCCTTCGCCTAACTTCATATGGATGGACCGACCAGCGATTTTTAGAACCTATTTGTGAAACATAATATAAATACTTTATAGAAAAACGGTTAAATAACGAAAATAGATTACCTCTTGACCGATTTTCAAAAATTAGGTATAGCACCTCGGGTTGGTGTATATTATGTGATGTTATTGCTAATTGTAAGCCGGATAAAAAATTATATTTTTTTTATGAATAGGTTTTACGCCAAGGATAATAGGGAATATGCAAATGTGAAATATTTGTTTAAAATCTTTATATGCCTATATCAAGTAATTTTAATGTAATTTCTTTTTAAATAAAAAAAATCTTGTTTTTCTTAAGCAAAAGTTGTCATTTGTAGCGCTAAATTGGCAACACTAGCTCTATGTATATCATACTGTGACGTCACGTGAAGCGCGCGAAATGGCGGGCGTTTAAAGTATCCGTATCGGTATGATATTTTTAAAGATTTTTTTATACAATATTTTATTTTTATACTATATTTTTGGAGCTGGGTATTTTTTTACAATAATATAAGAATGTAAATTATTGTATAAAAAAATAAAAAAAATAACGCATATTCCCTATTCTATATAAATAATAAGAAAACGAATTAATTATATATTTAGGTAAAATGTTATTATTTTTTACCTTAGCTTCTTCAATAATGTCGCCATCTTTTAACTTTTGCTCTACACTCAAGTCGGGGAGGGTGGATGCGAATATGCTTTTCATTGTGAGGTACGGAGTATTCTTTGGAGGCACTACATACAGTAATCTGGCTCTGATCTGAAAATATAATTTAGGTACTATATTTCAGGCCTTTTTAATGAATATTATGTAGTTTTTGTCTACAGCTCCACTTCCTTTGGAAACTATAGATGGGGTGGAGTTAAAGTATTTTATATCTTGTCTCTGTGTTCCTATTGATGCAAATCTGTTTAGCCGTTTGTGTTAAAAAAAACAAACAGACAGACTTATTTTCTCTTTTATAATATCACTATGCGTTGTATACACATAATATTCATATAACCACATGAATGTGCTGTTTTTGGGTGAAATGCCATCTATTGTTAAATATTTTATGACACCCATCTAATAAAATCGACGTTTAAACGAGAGTTACTAAACATGCAAGTGGATTTTAAATTAATTGTGATTCGTTTTAATGGGTATATAACATACATAATAATATAATATCTATCCATACTAATATTATAAATGTGAAAGTTTGCGAGAATGGATGGATGTTACTCTTTCACGCCAGAACGGCGAAACGGATTATAGTTTGGATAACACGTTTTTATTCCGTGGGATAATTTGTTTTTGTTTATTACTAGGGACGAACCCGAAGCGAAACGTACATGAGTCACTAGTATATTTGAAGTATAATACATACTTAATTTGTCCTGCACTAATATTACAATTGTGAAAATCAGTTAATGTGTTTGCTATACCATTGTTTTTACAGCTCAACACGTTTTAAATAGAGTTCAAAGTGGAGGCGTGCAAGTAAAGCCACGGGCACACAATAAGTTTTACAATCATAAACATACCTTCTGTCCGAGAGCTGGTTTCTTTCCTTTAACTAAATCAGCCTGATGTCTCTGTATGTAGGCAGTTGTGTTGTCCAATATGTGGCCTTCTATACCATTGTCTAATGGCTGCAAAAATAATTATTTCTTTCACACCGTTAAGAACAATTAAGAAAAATTGTTCTTTGGAGGTTAATATTAAGTTTGGGATAATTAAAGGATTGGATGAAAACATTTTTGAAGTTATACTGCTTTTGGCATATTTGAAAAAATTATGAAAGTAAAATTTTTACGATGCCCGCGCACACCGACAGCCAAAAGGCGACATGATGAAGTTAGCTGAATGCGACATGATGAAGTTAACTGCATTCCTTTTAAAAACAGAAAGTTATAACGTACGGCATGAAATCTTTAGCTATTTTTGTTCTGTTACGCCAAAGAAGTATAACTTCTTATGTGACACACTTTTTTTTTAATATTACAACATTCAATTTATATCTGATTCTAACTTAAAAAGAAATAATTAAATAGTGCTGTGTACATATCAATTATTTTATATAATCAAACCAAATTTTCTTTTATGGTCTAAAATAGAAACCAGGTACAACTTCTAATGAATTTTTTAAAGTATAACCCATGTCCATGGATAAATTAAATAAGTGTCACTTAAAATCATTTTATCAATTGGACAAACAACATAATTTTCTAAATAGTATGTACATAAAATAAAATGTTACCTTATCCACAGTAAAATCCAAGGCCGTACCAGGGAAAAGTGTATTGGTTTTACTTTTTTGCACTCCTCTCTGTAAATCTGTTAATATATTACTGAGTTTGATCACGCTGCTGTCAACTGATGGGTTGGATTTAATGGTGACCCAGGTTAGCATACCAATATCTAAAAAAAAACAATTAAAATATATAGTCACATTATAATACTAAATTAATGATTTTCTTTTTTTTAATGACTTTTTCATCACATATAAAATCAAGTTAAGGCTTAGAAAGAAATATATAAATCTTAAAATATTCTTTGTGAGCAAAATACAATTAAGATAATATTTACCCAATTCAATTTCAGGATTTGCAGAATCCTTTGGTAAAAATGTCCTAGTGTTTGGTATGCCAATATCCATTACATACCCATGGTCTTCTACCGATAGTACGGCAGCTTGAAGAAGAGCTCCTGTTAATAGACGAGAATATGTTGTATTAATATTTACAAGGTTTTTTATTTTATAGTATCAAAATAAAACATAAACAATATATACACATGTACTCTCACACAGCCATGCTTAAACTTAAACGTTTTACGTTATGTTATGTAAAAAATAGTAATAATATTTTGTAAGGTAAACTATTAGCTATACATATAATATATAAACATATTAAATGATATATATTTGATACAAAACATACAATGCCCAAAAATCTTAAAATTTTGAGTTTATAATACCTTTATGCAAATCACCAAGCATTCTGCTACTGTTAATATGTTGTGGCATCATAGACAGCATGAGGTTTTGTTCTGCCACCTCTAGGACTTTTACAGCTACATACTGCCCAGGTCGGAACATTTGTGGCAACTCTTTCACTGTATCTGTCTGTGTTAATGAATTAATTATTGTAATTTTAATTTAGATTATTGAATTTAGAATATTATCTGTAACATTTGACTTTTAATCTGTATTACAAAAAATACCATTGATAAGGTATTTTTGGGTCCTTTAGTTTCACTATACATATATAGTATACAAGTATATTATTTAAGTAGTAATTTTTTTAATGATTCTATAGTCTGAATTCTAAAATTAGCATATTATTACATTACCTGATCATTTACATATGCTTCTAATATTTTATTATAAGCTTCACTTATGTGACATGCCATAACAACACCACTCATTCTACATGGGAGAGCAATGTATATTTTAGTTTCTAGCACTTGACGGATTCTTCCCAATAGAAGAAGACCTTCTTTAACCACCTAAAATTGAATAAAAATAATGAAATTTGACTACTTTAAAATGAAATAAATTGTAACAATATATAATATACTCATTTTAAAAAAAAAATTGGGATGAAGAAACAAGCTTTTAAAAGTTTACAACATTTATTTACCTTATAATTTAACCATATAGAACAACTTTTAAAAGACTGATCATCTTCTGTTTGCACTTCGTCAGATAAATATCCATCATCATTTTCTGATTTCCTTTTTATCTTCTTCTTTTTTCTTTCTCCCTTTTCAGCAGCTCCTAAAAACTATCATTTAAACGATTTTTACTTACATTACAATTTTTTATTAAAACCTAACAATAAATTCTGTTTTGATTACTTACATTTTCACTTTGTTTAAAATAAGTTGTTGTAGGTTTTTTGCCTCCACGTGGAAAATATTCCTCAGTATCTGCCATTTTATACACAACTAATAGGTAAATTAATTAAATGTTATCAAATGATTCAAAATTAAAAACAACACAACAGTGAACAGGCATGAATTTTTAAGGTTATAAATATAATACGTTTCTTTATACATATGTAACTGTCAGTGAGAACTGAGAGTTAAGATTTAACAATATAACTTGAACACTTTTTATAGTAATTCATTAATATATATTATGTTGAAAAAAATGGAACATATATCACAATTTATAATCATGGAAATAAGTATTTATTTATATTATATAATAAATTAATTCCTAATGATAAAAATATTTTTATATGGCCACATTATTATACGACCATAAAATATGCTCTAGAACTTCAATCGGCTAATTGACATTACATGTTTTTGACTCTTTTTAACATTACATAAAATATAGAGATGAACAATATACATTTGCTATTTTTTTATTATTAGGAACATTTTAAAATTCCTTACATAATACCATGTGTCAAATAAAATCACAATCATTTTATTTGAGATAATTTATTCATCGAGCGGTATTGAGCGGCAAATAAACCTTGAATTGAATTTATTTCTACTGATTTCCTCAAAACATTTAAGTTAACCTAAGGTAGTGTAAATGTAATGCTTGTGTAGAAGGGCGGTCTCGGGAGCTTGATAGAGATTGATTATATTAATCTAAATCTTTTTAAAGTGTATTAGATCGTATTTTAAATTGTTTAATTGTGTTTAACAGTGAAATTTATAACTTTAGTTCATTATTAACAGATATGAAGAAAGTCGTGATTTTCGGTTCCACCGGTAATACCGGTCTTAGCGCTGTAGAAGCAGCAGTTAAAAAAGGTATGTAGCTAATTATGTTCATTATCCATATATTGCAACTTTTACATAATATAAAAGTGCATACGCGTTAATTTTCTTTTATTAACATTTTATATTTGTTTTATATATTATTAGGTATTAACATATTGATGTGTTATTAAACTTGCAAATTACTTACTAGTCTTTTAAATTTTTCCATTGATAATTAAAAACGACTACTACTGATTTATAAAATTACTATGTGAAAAAATACCAATAAAACAAATAATAAGTTTATTATCTGTGTATTAATTTATCAGCAGATAGATGCAGGAGTATTATTATTATATTGCCTTTATAAACTTATTGTTTGTTTGATTATAAACCTATAATAAACTTAAAAGTTTAGAGAAATAAAACATTCATCTTAATGATATAGGTATATCATAATTTGTGCTTAAAAAACACTTAAAAAAAACTGACTTCCAGGCACTAAAAAGTAAAAAATAACTAAACGGAGGGTTTCATTTGGAATATATACCTAATCAGATATTTTCGTTGGTGTGCTTTGATTTGTATTGGCTGGCACCAACTTCGAAGCCACATAGAAACCAATAAATATTTATTGATTTCTATGTGGCTTTTGTCGCTTTTGATGAGATCCTATTGGAGCTTTTAAATAGGGTTCCTGACTGCCAAACTGCAGGTCACGGATTTGATTACTTGTCTAAATTACTTGTGGATGCCCCTATTTTACGATTACGAAATCAATTTAAAACACAATTAATTCTCCATGATAATTAAAAAAATTAAGAGTTGTCTTAATAATAAAAAAAAGATTATGGAGGCTGGTACTTTATATTTATACTACCAGAACCAGTAGCTTTGCTCGCGCTAAAACTATAAAAAAATCTCTAAAAACGTAGGTTTCATACAAACTTTCATGCCCTTTTTTCTTTCGTTGGGAAATGCATTTACGCACGACGTGTGGGACTCACCGGCGTAATACAGCCAGTACTACCCACTAAAACCCAACAAAACCTTACCCCGTCTTAATGGGGCGTCGCAGGATCGCTTACGCATTCAACTACGACGCCCCGACGGCAGGTCTGCCAAAGCAGACCACCACGACCATGGGGTTGCTCCAAAGTCCACTCTGCTATCAGAGAAGTACCAGGAGCAACCCGCAAGGTACACCGCCCCCCGAAGAGGGCCACCTCCCACAGCCCACCGAAGTGGGCAACCTCCCTGTGCGTTTCTTGGCTTCGCGCACGGTTGGATTGCCGGGCACTACTGAGCCCCGCCACCACGACAAGCTGAACGCACGTTGGGGGGGAAACTTTCATGCCCTGCTTTATCCCCATATGAGATGAATTTTGTAAAATGCTAAAACACGTAATAATTTAATTGTATTGAAGAACATTAATACCAAGTTTCAAGTAATTCTGATCACAAATATTTTTTGTGTTGTATTATACGTGTTTTCCCGTGTTATTGAGATGATCTCCCATGGTAAAAATTAGCCTATGTCACTTTCCAACCCTCCAACTATCTCCACACCTAAAATCACGCCAATCCGTCATTCCGTTACGACATGAAAGGAGTACAAACAAACACACTTTCGCATTTATAATATCATTAGCATTGCCCGCGGCTCGCGTTTAGATGACCAAAAACCAAACTCTTAGGTTTTACATATTAGTATATTCTTACAATGCAGTTTTTGTATTTTTTCTCAGAAATGAGATATTTTCCCGCAGTAAAAAGTATTCTATATGTTGATCCGGATAACCAGTTATCACCATATCAAATTTCATGAATATCCCGCCAGTGGTTTTTCCGCGATGCGGTAACAGACAGACAGACAAAAATTCTAAAAACTATAGATTCGGCCTCTGTATCGATAATAATGACTATTTCAATAAGATTTTCCAAAAAATATTTACTGTACAGATTCGGCTTGTTACGATTTTATTCTATGTATAGAAAGAAGTACGGATAGTTAATTGAATAGTAAAATCAAAACAAATCGAAATAACTATGTTCGAAAATGAATATATGTACCTACAATATCGAGATAAAAAAGTAATCTGCTAAACACGATGATCGGCGGGAAAATACGTAAACTTATGTAGTCTAACGCGATTTTTTATCCGATTTCCAAAAATGAGGAGGTTAACAATTCGTCGGAATCTTTTTTTTATGTATGTTCACCGATTTCAGCCGACAATATTTTAAAATATGAATATCTAATAGGTAACATATTTACCTTTTATTTATTTTACGTATCGAAATATATTAGACTTGCTTTGCATCGGCTGGCACCGACTTCGAAAACATCTGATTAGGTATATATTCTAAATGAAAACCCCCGTTCAGTTATTTTTTACAAATTAATGCGTGGTTTAACAGTTTTTTACAATGTATCGTTTTAGGAAAAAGATGTCCCTCATTTTTGACTTTTGACCAATTTTTGGATAACTTTTGTTTATTATTTTTGGCCTATTCTGTCAGTATCAGGGAATTGAATCCAGTATCTCCGTAGTAATATTTTAGTATGTATGGCGCAGTGTCGCCACATATGATATAGTACGTCGATACGTAATAAAACTGCAATTAGACGTGTCTAAGTAGGTATCTACTATTAGTTATACCACTTGTTGTATAATTTATCCAAGAATGTCAAAGGTATGGAAATGTAGGATACTTATATCTATACTAATATTATAAAGAGGTAAAGTTTGTGATCTTGTGAGTTTGTTTGTTTGTGAGTTTGTGACGTTGTAGGGGGTAATCTCTGGATCTACTGAACCGATTTTCAAAATTCTTTTACCAATAGAAAGCCACGTTCTTTCTGAGTGTCATAGGCTATATAATAACCCGAAGAATGAAAATGCTTTTTCGTGGAAGTCGGATTTGCAAAGTAAGTCGGAGAAAAAACGGTCGAACGAGAACGTTTCTTACGAACGCTGCCTTAACGATGAGAGATATATGATCTTCTAGAGAAAAGTTGTAGAGTTTAATAATGCCTACAAAAAAGTCAGTGACAGCGTATGTCTAACTTTTATATTTAAGTCACAAAAAGTAGTTTTTTATATTAAAAAAATAATTTAAATCGGTAGGTCATGTTTATTGGTCATATTAACAACAATTATGAATTCTTATCAAAATAAGTAAATTTATCATCTAAAATGTTTAAAACAAAAGACTTTTGCCTTTTACTGCATATAATTTGGACAAATGGTTAAAGAGATAATACAACATATTCGTAGGTATGGACGAACCCGAGCGCGCTGTTTGTCTGTTTGTACGGGCTAATCTCCGAAAATATTGAACCAATTTAAATGAAATTTTGCATGGTAGTACCTTATATCCCCGGTCAACATCTAAGATACTTTTCATTCAGAAAATTAAAGAGTTTCCGAGGGATAGTTAAAAAACTATAGTAACTTATACAGCTTAGTACACAACAACTTACGCACCTAATTTAGTAAAATTTGGCATTCTGATACCTTATATTGCCGGTCAAACAAGAGGTTACTTTTCATCCTGGAAAAATGAACGGTTCCCGTGGGATAGATCTGTTTGTGCTTTTCTAGAGGTGAACCCGAGCGAAGCGAGGGTGAGCCGCTAGTATATATATATAATGGTATGATACCAAATGACGTAGGTACATGTTTACGCCATTCAATTAACTTAGTTTGAATTGAAATTTACGTCTTATGTTTATTCATTTAAAGAAAATTATACTATTGAAACAATTTTGTCATATATACATATATACAGATAAATAAAATTGAAGTGTGTGTTTGTGATGTCAAAATAACAGCTTTTTACTAAGTACCATATAAAAATGTGAAAGTTTCTGAGTGTGGATGTCTGTTACTCTTTCACGCCAGAACGGCTGAACGGATCTGGATGAAATTTGGCACAGAGATAGTTTAAAGTCTGGAATAATACACAGACTTTTTAACCCGGAAAAATATACGATTCCCGTAGGATAGGCTTGTTTTTGTTTTTCTAGAGGCGAACCCGAGCGAAGCAAGGGTAAGCCGCTAGTATACAATAATTAAAAGGAATTGAAAAATGAAACCGAAGTACCTACCACCATACCATTTACCAGTACAATATTTTATTAATTTGAATTAAAATATTTTTTATAATATAATATAAATAATAACGGTGTAGTACTATTTAGTGTTATTTAACTTGCCTTGTTATTTTTTGATTCTTACAATTTTCAAAACTTTATTTAAACTATTTCATTTAATGTTGCTATTTTGTATGTTTATACTCGTAAGTTTATTTCTAATGTATATACTACAATATTTAACTAACTAATGGATAAAATAAATTAATCCCGGAAATCATCCCTTAGGAGGATGAAAAGGGGGATGAAAGTTTTTATGGGGAATCACTCATTTTTCAAGTAAGAGATATAAAGCTCATCATATGTATACATATACATATGTACATATATGTATATAAAATACTAATGTATAGTCTTATGTATTCTATACTAACCGTTAAAACGTACCGTATTATAATATATAATAAAAATAATCCTTATTTATTTCTATTGTCCATTAGGCCTAGAAGTGCGCGCTTTCGTCCGCGACCCGTCTAAAGTGCCAGATGAATTGAAATCCAAGATTGAAATCTTCAAAGGCGACGTCCTCGAACCGGACTCCGTTGTCAACGCCGTCGAAGGCATGGACGGTGTCGTCATTGCCTTAGGCACGAGGGAAAACCTGGAGCCTACATCGGATATGTCGGAAGGCACCAAGAACATTCTAGAATCAATGCGGGCGAAACATGTTAAAAACGTTTCCGCATGTTTATCGGCCTTCTTGTTCTATGAACCGGAGAAAGTGCCGCCTCGATTCATTCCAATAACTAAGGACCATAAGAGGATGTTTGAGGAAATCAAAGGCAGCGGTCTCAATTGGGTAGCGGTCTTTCCTCCCCATATATCTGGTAAGTTTTATGATTTATCTCCAATGTTAGGTATATATTTGATGTGTGTTTTTTTTATATTTTGGTCGTGTGTTTGAATTTTATTAATCAAATATATGTCAGGACATTAATACACAACACCATCTAGTTCCATGGTAAGCTACGAGGCTTTTGTGTCCATACACCAGATAGTTGATACATTATAGATATATAACTTTAAATACATACATATTATAAATATAAACATCCATGACTGGGTACAAACATTCGTGCTTATCACACAAATGAATGTCCCCAGCGGGACTAGAACCCGCGACCGCTGGCGCAGCAAGTAGGGTCACTACAAACTGAGCCAAACGTGTCGTCAAAATATAGTTTATTGAAATAGACTTTTTCAAGCACTTTTAAATCATCAATTTTACATTTTAAATTTATATTAAATGTCAGCGTAGTCAGTCCGTTAGGAAGGTGCCACCGGCTCGTAAGGCAGTTCTGCTAAAAAGAGCCGGCGAGAAACTCAACAGCTGCTCTTTTAAAATAATATTTGTTTACAATATTGTAATATAATAATTGTCTACTTTATCCTACGTTAGACTCAACCGGACATTAGTTCCACACATTCATCATTTATCTACAAAGTATTCCATGACAGTGTAATAAGCTTTATTCAATAACTAGCGGCTCACTCTCGCTTCGCTCGCGTTCGTCGCTAGGTACGTTTTAAATAGATATAAATAGTTATTAGCCAGCGTTAGTTATAAAAAAATTTTTTTCGGTAATTTTTCACTTTTTCTCTTTATTTTAAATTCCTTCCGTGGAACATACGAAAAAAAAATTTAGCCGAATTGGTCCAGCCATTTTTGAGTTATGCGCTTACCAACATTACAACATATTTTTTAAATATATATTTAATAAATTAAAAGTTTTTACATCTTCAAACAGTATAGTATGTTACAAATCAAATAAAGAATTTAGTGTAAATCGGAAAACAATCTAAATTAATTTTAAATTTAACATGAACAAACAGAATAAAGAGCAGTTATTTTTATTATACCACATTGTCCTTATCAATTCAATTTGTTGTTCCTAATCATAATTGAATTACACTTATATTGTTTTCGTTAACCGATAACCCTTGACTCTAATTTATTAACAATTCATTTTATAGCAAAACTAGTGACTCACGTTACGTTGCATTATGACGTTTAATATAGATTTCTCAGAGATGAGATATGTTCCCACAGTAAAAAGTATCTTATATAACCAGCTATCATTATCCAAATTTCATCAAAATCTTGTGGTTTGCTCGTGATGCGGTCACAGACAGACAGACAAAAATAAAAAAACTATAGATTCGGCCTCTGTATCGATAATAATTACTATTTCAATAAGATTTTCCAAAAATATTTAATGTACATATGGATTCGACTCTGTTAGAATTTTATTATAATATGTATAGAATATTCAGTAGCTTTTATTAATTTGAGACTTTTTGTATTCAGCCCTTTTTAACGTCCCCATTCGTTTAAGGGGCATCAGGCCACAGCCCACTACGCTGGCCAAGTGCGGGTTGTCGGACTTCATGTGTCTTTTGAAAACTTGCTAGGTTCTCTCAGACATGCAGGTTTCCTCACGATGTTTTCCTTCACCGTTAAGACAAGTGGTAATCATGTTGGAAATGATTCGCATATGAAAATATCAGAGGTATGAGACCCGGGATTTGAACCCGCTTCACTCGGTTTCCCAAGCGAGCGCGTTACCACTGAGCTACCACTGCCTTTATTTGAAACTTGTCACACTGTAATATAAGCTGAATGAGTCAGCGTTCGAGTGTACGCCCTCATTTTATCAGCTTGTAAAGAATTGACATGTTACTCGATATATTAGATAAGCGTGATTGACATAATCTATCGACTGATACACAAATGTACCAAGCAAAAGGTAATTCCCACGTGCACGTAAGTCATAAATTGTCAAAATAAATACTCTCTAACTTCGATTTAATACTGTTAATCCAGTCTCTTAGTGGAAATAACTCAAAATATCACCGGCCAATCTCGAACGTGACTCCTCCATTCAACGTGACATTGGCGAAATAATTTGTGCTCAACTGGTACGCATTAAACCCAATAATCCCTCTACGACCGCGGACACGCCGGACTTAACAATAGATTTCTTTGAAATTTAATTAATTTCTTAGAAATTTACCTGGAAGTATTAAATAAAGAACTGAACTGTACGCTCTAAATTACAGCTACTTTTTAACTGACTTCCACAAACGAGGAGGTTCTCAATAATTCGTCGAAATCTTTTTTTTATGTATGTTCACCGATTACTCGAAGACGCCTGAACCGATTTGGAAAATTTTGTTTGATAACAGCGGCCAGCGGACAATATTTTAAGACATGAATATCTAATAGGTAAATATGTATTTTACGTATCAAAATATATTAAATTTCCTATGCGTCGGCTGGCACCGACTTCGAAAATATCTGAATAGGTATCTATTCTAAATGAAAACCCCCGTTTAGTTATTTTTTACATTTTAGTGCCTGAGGGGCGTTTTTTTTTAAAGTATTTATTACAGTTTAGAAATTGTAACAGTAATTTTAACTTTTGCTTATAACATCTTTGTATTAGACCTAGTTCTGAATCCATATCTTCGTCGTGTTAAACGTTATCGCTTCATCATCACCACTTGTTTATACTTTGGTAGCAATGGAAAATCCCATTTAAGACGTTATTTATGGTGATATCAAAATTACAACTCAATACGATACGATTGTAGCTCTTGGCACCGCATTAAAGAATATAAGCGAGGTTACACATTCGCCCGAATGTTTATTAATACTATTATAAGGATATGTCTATTCTATATTGGAAATTATATTAGTTTAATATTTACCGTGTCCTCAATTTTTGACCTTTTCTTCAACATAAAAAAGTGTCCATCGTTTCTTAATATGTCTAAAGATAAACGCGCTTATCTTCTCTATGTATGCAGAAGTATAACAAAAATCAGCTACTTGACAAAAAAAGTGTGTGTCAGCTCCGACGCACGACTGGAGTTCATTTCTTAAATACGATTGTCTTTGAACATCGATAAAGCAGTACTCTACGCTCATTTTTTTGTAAAAACCGTTGATACCGAGTGTAAAAATCCAATATTTTTCCAAATTTTTGCAAAATTCTATTGTTTTACACCGAAAGCATACCGACGGTATACTAATAAGTGAGGAGATTTGGCCGATATCAGTAAGCTCTCGGTAACGTAGAAAATACAGATACCGCACCTCCAAGTCAGGAAGGGGCCTTAATTTCACTCCTTGTAAAATTTGCATAACAGGGGCCTTTGAAAATCGATTCTTAAGGAGTAAACTCCAATAAATGTGACGATCCGTTAACATTAACTAAGCAGTACCTTCATCGTTCTAAATTGGAACTAGTTATGCAAAGAACAGCCATGTGCGTAAAAGTACCAACAGAGTTATAAGCATTTTTCTGTCGATAGTTGCACTTGGGTTATGTTTTGTTTTTCTGGTTATTTTAAAATTGAACAATATTTATATAGTATTGTTTATTTTTTATAATTATTTTATTTTTATATTAAAATGCTTATAACTCTGTTGGTACTTTTACGCACATGGCTGTTTTTTGCATAACTGGGCCCAATTAGAGTCTCTAGGAACGGCATGAGATCACTTTCTCATGCTTCTTAGACTTCTGAGTGGCAGAGAACTTAGCGGCGTATTGATTACCAGCTCTCAATGCTACAAACGAAATATAATCCAAAGTTTTCTAAACACCTTCGCTCTGATGTATCTACATATATACATACGTATTCGTAATATATAGACATCCCCTTTCTAGTAACTTGATCGGTGCTTGTAAATTGACCCCCTTTAGAGAACAATTTAGTAATAGCAGCTTTTCCGTCGGACGTTGAGTCACTGTCAACGAATGATACTTTAGATTGACGATGTATTATAATATTAGTCTGTTTGCTGTCATATATTATGTGATAGTTGCTAGCTGCCTCATCGGTCTAGCGGTTATGTATGTCTGCCTGTAGAGGTCCTAGGTTTGATTCCCGAAACGGGCCTAAATATGAACACAAAGCACGTAGTTACGTGCTATCGTTTAATATAGATTTATGTGTACTAGGGACGAACCAGAGCGAAGCAAGGGTGAGTCGCTAGTACATCTAATAAAATTGTAACTTTGCTGCCGAATCTGTACATTAGATATTTTTTGGAAAATCTTATTGCAATAGACATTAATATCGATACATAGGCCGAATCTATAGTTTTTAGAATTTTTGTCTGTTGGTCTGTCTTTCTGACACAGAAAAACCACTGAAGGGATTTTGATGAAAATTGGTACGGCGATAGCTGGTTATCCGGGTCAACATATAGGATTTACATATATAAGATATACATATAGGACTTTTTACCGCGGGAAAATATCTAATTTCTGAGAAAAAATACAAAAACTGTAATGTAAGAGTATAATAATATGTGAAACCTTAGAATTAGGTTTTTGGTCACCTGAACGCGGGCGGAGCCGCGGGCAATGCTAGGATATTTATAAATTTAACAAAGTTTGTGGTAATAAAACCTCATAATTACTGTATTTATTGCGTTGCTTAGCAGACCGTTGACCACGTTTCATGTATTATACCTACTCGTACTTACGTTTTTTATACCTCCGATATTGTATCGGTTGTTATAATTAATTATTATCTTTGTACGTAACTAAATATGCATAAGTATATTATTTAATATTCATGTATAAATGTGTACACAAAAACTTTAGTAGAGTCAAAATTTATATTATAATTTTTTCTCATTTTTTTTTAAAGAGATATGTACACTGCCTTTAAAGTCGCTGAAAAGTAATTATTTCATTCTAAGGTGTATTTTTTTAATTTTAAATAAAACTATCTTTTTGGATTTTTTCGTGAATTTATTTTGATTTTTGGTCCCCATGTTTCGAATGCTTTACAGCAATCATGGTCACGGGAGAGACTGAGGTGTTAGATGTTTCAAAGGTATTACCTATATAGTTGTTACAGACAGCCTTCCCACAAAATAACTAAAAGAATTCAAATTTTTTTTACTACATAGGTATTTCTATTTGTTTATTGCGAGATATTTATTGTAATTGTTACGTAACACAACTTCGTTATTGCTGCTAATGACAGGTAGTTTAAAGTTAAATATAGTAAATATGTAATAAGCAATATTGATAAAAATTATTATTAGAATTAAAAAAATGGTTAAACACCTAAGATATCACTGTAATTTAATATTTGGCACAGTTTGTAGTGACCCTACTTGCTGTGCCAGCGGTCGCGGGTTCGAGTCCCACTGAGATCATTCATTTGTGTGATGAGCGCGAATGTTTGTACTCCAGTCATGGGTTTTTATATTTATAAATAATATGTTTTTTTATGTATGTATTTAAAGTTGTATATAGTAGTGTGTCAACTATCTGGTATCCATAAAACAAGCCTCGTAGCTTACCATGGAACTAGATGGTGCTGTGTTAATGTCCCAACATATTTATATGTATTTATTCAAATAATAAAAGTGCTGTCAAAATTCTATCTTCAGTACGTCAAAACGATAGAAAAATTAGTTATTATATTGGACTGAACTGTATGAATACATGCGTAATGTTTATTTTTTCCAACAGATGAGCCAAGCCGCGAGGTCATAGTGGAGGTGAACCCCGAGAAGTCTCCCGGCCGTAGCATTTCCAAGTACGACCTAGGAAAGTTCCTGATCGACTGTCTGGATGAAGAAAAGTACCGGAAATGCATCATTGGGCTGTGCAATGCTCCTCAACAGTGATAAGACTGATTGTAATTTTGTATCTAGCACAAATAATATTTTAATATAAATATTACAAAACTTATGTTAAAGCTCTCTTATGTAAAACTTCGGCAAATATACCTTACTCGTAATATTATTAGTACGGTTTCAAATTGAAATTAACTTATTACATTTTTGTTCATTTATTCTAGCCCAAACAATATCTAAGTGAGTAAATATTAATGTGTATAATTAGCTTTTTTTTAATAAAATAAAATATATATTAAATAACATTGATATAATTTTATTCCGCGAAGAATTTAATTTAAATTTTACAGTGCAAAAAATTTGTGAATTCATAATGTTCTAACGTAAAGATAATTGAAGATTTAATGAAGTTTTATATACATATTTAACAAATTAAATAAAGGTTGTGTAAGATTTGTTTTTTTTAATACCTCTTTTCCTTATCCATAATTCCGGCAATATACAAAAAAAAATATATCTTAAATATGAATTAAGTGTGAATCCTGCATTATAGTTATTTTAATGGCAATATCTCTACATTATATCAATAATTAGAAGATTAATTTTTTTTTACAAATACTACAAGAATGACGTTATTTCTCAATATTGTTAAAGCACGCAATAATGATTTTTATTAAGCAGGATAAATGAAGGTTGTGTAACATTTGTTTTTTTAATACGTTTTTTATCCTTATACATTTCTGGCAATAAATAAAAAAAAAATAAGTATGAATCCTGTATTATAGTTATTTTATTTTAATGGCAATACCTCTACGTTATAACAATAATTAAAATTTTAACAAATATTAATTTAAAATACATGAATAACATTGTTTCTCAATTTTGTTTTAGCACGTATAATGACTCATTAATGCAGGTGTCTAATGTCACAAAGATCATATGTGTTACGACGGAATGATTATTTTAAATACAATTGTATGTTTATAATTAATAAGTTTTAGACGATAAATTCTTTAGCTTTCCATTTTCTCCATTTAAATACTCCAAAGGTTTTGCTCGATGCTTATCTATTGCTTAGTCGCGTTTTCATTTTTCGTTTCGGAAGCCCTTGAAAATCTATAATGCTAGCCTGAATGGTGGACATTCGTCCAGTAAGAATTTTAATAAAAAATAATTTAATAAAAAAATTACTCTAATGCCCGATTTCACCAACGTCACCTAAGTTTAAGGGATCCCCTAAGCGTGGTTAGGGGACTGTTAGGGGACAGTTTCTGTTTCACCGACAGTTAGGAGTCACTTAAATCTTAAAAGGCCCCCTAAATTTAGGTGTTCGAAATATGGGCTTAAAGTCGGTGGTAAAACGAAATTTAATTTAGGGGCTAGTTTAGGGGAATTTTAAGCTAGGGATCCCATACGTAGGTGATAGCTTATGGGTTGTTGGTGAAATCGGGCATAAGTAAAGAAAGAAAAGGGAACTAAAAAGGCAAGAACAAATTGACGAGGAAACAGTATTATGCAGAATAAAAATCTGCATATAAGGTTTAACATTATTAATTTATGAAGGTCTATTCTTGTTGTTGCTTTTTACCTTAATCTATACTAATATTATAAGGAGGCATTGTTTGTTTGTTTGTTTGAACGCGTTAATCTCAGGAACTACATCTGATTTAAAAAAATCTTTTTGCAATAGATACCTAGTTCGTTTATTGAGGAAGGCTTATAAGTATATCATCAATCTACTACCCAAAGGAGCGGACAAGTACCTAATCATAAATGTCAACGAATCAGAGAGACTTCCACGTATTTATTGTTAAACTATATATTATTTATTTATTATTATTTTATTTATTTATTTTATTATATTTTATATATACTGTTATATATTATATTATATACTATTTAAAACGTATTTTATAGGGACTAATCCGAACGAAGCGAGGAACAGTATCTAGTGAAAGAATATAAAAGCTAATATATGATTATTCTAAATTTTCTAAACGTTCCTTATAGATTTATTCTTGGTCCTTATTCCATATTTTTATTTTACACAAACAATTTGTCTTTATTAATAATCGTATTTTTGGAAAAAGTTATAAAAATTGTCGTTTTTTTTTCAGAAAAGACGCATCTCTATAGATAAACTTAAAATAGCAAAACCTTATCTAAATATACGAAATTTTATATATGAATACTAGCGACTTACCCTCGATTCACTCGGGTGCGCCCTATAAAGTAGGTACGTTTTAAATAAATATAAATAATTATTAGCCAACGTTTTTTTTTTCCTCAATTTTCTGACGTTTTAATATTTATTCTGCTTTTCGGGTCCGAGGTAAATCCAATAAATTAAAGATCATGAAAATCGGTCCAGCCGTTCTTGACTTATTAATGTCGTAATTAACCCGACTTTGTTTAATATATGTAGGTACTAGCATCAAACTCTTAGGTTTTACATATTAGTATACTCTTACAATACAGTTTTTGTATTTTTTCACAGAAATGAGGTATTTTCCCGCGGCAAAAAGTATCTTATATATTGACCCGGATAACCAGCTATCATCATTCCAAATTTCATCAAAATCTGTCCAGTGGTTTTCTCGTGATGCGGTAACAGACAGACAGAAATTCTAAAAACTATAGATTCGGACTCTTTATTGATAATAATGTATATATATATCAATTAGATTTTCCAAAAAATATTTAATGTACAGATTCGACTTAGTTACAATTTTATTATATGTATAGATATAGAAGATACAAGAATTGCTCATTTAATATTATAATTTATAAGAAGTATGGGTAATAAAATTAATTATGTCGAAATACCTAATTAGAGCATTGGCGAGTAAACACACAGTTAAACTTAATTGTCTAATATTAACAGCATAAAAATCATTTTTAATTTAAACCCTTCATAATGTTGGAACAAATTTAAAGTAATATTTAAGCCTACACTTATTCTCAGCATTACTGATTCGACAGTATTATTTGAAGTAGAACTAGATTTAAAACCGGCAACCGTCGTCCATCTTTCAGTGTTTGTGACCTCAAGATCATCAGACCGAACACATAGCTCGTAGTTATTTGATAAACTTTTTGCGATATGTTTTTCTACTTAGGTATTTTGATACAAATTTTATTGTATTTTTATTTTGATACAAATATTACCACCTGTCTTCCGCACATAGGTTTTTTCAGGTCTGTTTACTTCGTAGATATGTTAAAACAAAAAACAAAAAGAAAAAAGAGCGGAATTTTATGGTTCACGTGTTATTTACGTCACTACTTACATGTACATATATGTAAATACTGAAGATTTTATGATTAATAACATTAAGCGGAAGTGGTGGCGGACTTGTAAATGAGTATTCATAAACTAAAATCTGCTGTAGCATGTAGTAGGTGTGTATTTATTAGTATTCAACTGCGCGCTACGGCGCTGCACACCCGGAGGTCCTGGGTTCGAGTCCCGGGTCGGGCCAAGTTTAGTTATTGAGTCTTTCTGTAAAGTAAGCCTCAGTAACAGCCCGGAGTTGGGAAGTTGGCGGTGTTTCACCCCCGTGCCTCGGAGAGCACGTAAAGCCGTCGGTCACTGGTCAGCTCACTGCTCACTGGTCGTGTCTCGTGTCGTCCCACCGGAGTATGAGAGTGACAGGAATAGAGAGTGCACGTTGTGTCTGCGCGTACACTTGAGCACTATAATATCTCCTGCGCAGTTCGCTAGTCTCAATGAGATTGGCCGCCGTGGCCGGAATCGGTCAGGAGAACATCACATCATTAGTACTGTTGTTAACTTAATTTTTAACGAGTTTAAAACATAAATGTGGACATTGTTATAACGTATCTATGCATATTAGCTATATATGTACACTGCGCTGGATTACATGGACGCTAGGGGCACTCGGGGCTAGTGCCCAGGGCGGCAAATTGTCAGGGGCAGCAAAATTTAGAGAGTGAAAAAAAATCTTATTTATTTGTTATCAAAAATCCTTTTTGTATTTCTCAAAAAATAAATCATTAAAAAAATACTAGTACGTTTTTTGAAAAATTGAAATCATTTGTAAATCAATTTTTTGCATTAAAAAAAATAATTAAAAGAAATTAAACTTTATCGAAACTTTATCCATTTTATGCTAAATTTCCATATTTGGGCGGCATGTTTAGTGCCCAGGGGCGGCATTGTTGAATTCGGCACTGTATGGAAATTAAATTTTACGTTTTAATCGGTAGTAGTAGAATATCTAGTGAGCCTTCACATAAGTACCTACCTATATACTAGTATAGTATTATATGATCTGCGACACTTGTAAATATGCGTTAATATCGGAAACTCTCAAAAGTGCTAAACTTGCTAAATATCTCGTTTTACATTATAATTAAGGTAAAATCTGTAAACTAATTCAATTCCGTCCAGTTGTTTCAGCACGAAGGAGTAACATTACATACGTCCATACACAACATTCGCAAAAAAAACAGTAGTGTGATGACATAATTTTATTTTCAATAACGAAGCATAGGAATATGTACATAGAGTTTATTTCTATCGTAAACCAAACTGATTCTTAATTGGATTCTTAATTAGGCAATAGAAGAAAACCATATTTTTATAAATAGTTTATATGAGTTAGTTTATGTTACAGTGTAGGTAAATTGTAATGAATAATTAAAAGACGTAATAACTGCTCAAGGTCTGTTGACTGTAATAAAAAAATAAAATAAAAACACTACTTAATGTTATCACTATCAGTTAAACGTAATTTTTCTTAAACGATTTCGATATTAATAAGTCTGTAATATCCTTGGCACTTTCGAAAGTGGGCGATTCTACCAAACTTAGCCGACTGACGGAACTATATACAGAGTTAGGATAAATATCCGTTTCACTAAATAGACTACAAGGACTCCACGGGTAAAACACTTTGATAGTGTTAGATGCTGAATACTTCACGGGACTGGTGAATGATTCAAGACTCCACGAGCTTATTGTGCCTGATCTAGACTTTAAAATGGATAGCGGAGGGATTTTCTTAGTTTTATAGAAGAAAGAGTTAGATTTTAGCAATGTTTTTGTATTTCTACTATCCGAGCCCAAGTCCAGTGTAATATAACTAAAGGATGACGATGTTATCGGGTTAATAGATAACGAAACAACTGTGGTACTACGGGAATAGTTATACTCAAGATTGCGAGAAGACCAAGATTCAGTAGTCCAGGGTGTTGTTATCATATTTAAAGTATCGTCGTTGCTGAAAAAGGAACTACCTTCGGAAGATTCTTCGCCCGACGACGTTGAATAGCTAGTTGATGATGAACTCTCCGTTATTGACAGAATGCTGAAAGATTGTATTGGAGATACCAATCGATTCTTGGCTTTGATTACAACTTGCTCTTTTATGTTTATTCCAGCTACCATAGTGTCAGGCTGTATGTATTCGCGACATGGTGACGATGGGATAGCACGCCGTCGCCGCTTCCACGATCCACCTGTATTCTTGGAGATTTTCTACTAATATTTGTATATATTCTATGGGGTTCATCTTGTTTTAGGACTTGAACCCGTAGTTAAACTATTTTATTTTATATTTTCATCGTATTTTTTTTTTGTTGTTTTTAAATTATTTTTACGATGAAAGTTCACAGCGTGTCATTGTTTTGTCAAATTGACGTCAAAAAACAAATTTGAAAGGAAGTTTGTTAAAAAAGTTCACATTTTATTTACATCGCAATTTGAACATTTAATGATATACAGTCAGTTAACATTTACAGATTATGTACCTACACAATAGAAAAAAAAGGATTTACATAAAAACAAAAGAATTAAATTACGATAATAACCTACTATCACTAAACAACACGGTTTTGATATACAATATGGTGGTACTAACAAACATTTCATATGTATGGAATCACGTATAAAAGTTAATTAATATAGTAACACCTGATTTTGTTACATAAACTTTTCGTCTTCTCTCTTTTTTTGTACATATTTAATTACGTTTTAACGGTTAGCTCAGAGATGAGATATTTTCCCGCGGTAAAAAGTATCCTATATGTTCACCCGGATAACCAGCTATCATCATACAAAATTTCATCAAAATCTATCTAGTGGTTTTTTCGTGATGCGGTCAGACACAGACAGACAGACAGAAATTCTAAAATCTATAGATTCAGCCTCTGTATCGATAATAATTATGTAATATCTATTTCAATAAGATTTTCCAAAAAATATTTATTGTACAGATTCGGCTTAGTTAGAATTTTATTATATGTATAGATTAGCTTAATAGCATTTTATTATTAATTATTTACATTTTCAGGATATAAATATATCGACATTAGGTCAAAGTAACATTTCTTCAAATAATTCCTCTAATATCGGCGGTTTTTTAACGATACGTGTGTGACGACGGCTTTTAACAATGTTAATTTGGCCATGAAAATATTTTAATATTTTTTTAACTTAATAGCTATAATTCAAAGTTCCCATTGCCTCATCGATAAATACTTCAAGATCAGCAAATAATCAGTTTATCACATCGAGTATCGATAATAGTTGGCCGATAGCATCTACTTGTACTATCATATATGTACATAAGCCGTGTGACTTATGTTATATACATACGTAATAGGTAAGTACTACTCTAAATAGAAACACAGAAACTGGGAGTTTTATTTAACAATTTATCCTAAATTATTTTTAATCATACCTATCTACTTCTACAAAATTTTTGTTAATTACTTCTTAAAATCTTTATTTTGATTTCCCATCCATTTTCATATTCAACTTAGCGACATATTCTCATTTCGCTTGGATGCGACACTAAGTAGGTACTTTTTTTTAGCGGAATTTTATTTTTCTCTAAAATTAAAGTAGTCCAAGTTAATCCTTATAACATCAGCTATCTGCCAGTGAAAGTTCCGTCAAAATCAGTCTAGCCGTTTCGGAGATTAGCCAAAGCAAACAGACAGACATACAAAAAAGTTAAAAATGGTGTTTTTCTTATAAATACCGTATATAATTTCATATGCATTCATTAAAAAGCTGTTATTTGGACATTACAAACAGACACTTCAATTTTATTTATCTGTATAGATAACATCCATATCCCATATGGTCATATCGGGCAGGAAAGGCGGTTCTCAAGTCAAGTAGGCAGCTTCCGGTTTTGATGTATCTTTTTTTATTGGAAGGATATAGCTCGATTTAGTCCCATTTCAATTTTAAAAAGTACTTATATATCCGCTTAGTTTTTAAAGCATTAATTATTAATTCTTATAATTCAGTAATATCTTAATAAATAAAAGAGAACAAAAAAAATTACCGAAAAAAAGTGCTTGTTTTGCACTCACCTAATAAATTACCTAGATTTCTAAAGTAGGTATTACAAGGTTTAATTTAATATTTGAAGTTTTTTTGCTATATTATATTATAGTTTAAGTGACTTTTTGTATAGTTTAATGTCCTTCTGGAACTATTTAGTAGTTCCGGGAAAAAATAGTCTACATGATATGCATCTATGTAAATTAGTCTTACAGTTGAGTTAACGACGACGAACCGATTAACACTTTTTATTGTAATTTTTATATTATATTAGTTTATCTATACATATAATAAAATTCTAACAGTCCAATCTATACTTACATAAAATATTTTTTGGAAAATCTTATTGAAATAGACATTATTAACGATACAGAGGCCGAATATATAGTTTTTTAGAATTCTTGTATGTCTGTCTGTATGGAAAAGTAACGAGAAAACCACTGGACAGATTTTGATGAAATTTGGTACGACCATAGTTGGTTATCTCAACATATAAGGTACTTTTTACTGCTCGAAAATATCTCATCTCTGAGAAATCTATACTAAACGTTAAAATGTAAGCGAGGGTGAGTTATATATATATATACATATCACCTAGTATCTATTTAATAGGCACTTGTATAGAGATAATAACAAGCTAGTCATTGAATCAATATCGTGTTAACTGGAGGTGATTGATTTACACCGTTCAATGTGACATTGGTAGAGTAAATGAACCTTTGACGCACCTATATTTTAGTATTAATAATGATTACTTTGTATATAAAAACGATCAAGAAAATACTAGATGCACAATCAGCGACAAAAAATGTCCTCACAATTTTATTTAATTACATTCGAATCGAGTTTGTACATTAAATATTTTTTGGAAAATCTTATTGAAATAGACATTATTAACGATACAGAGGCCGAATCTATAGTTTTTAGAATTTTTGTCTGTCTGTCTGTGACCGCATCATGGAAAAACCACTGGAGGGACTTTGATGAAATTTGGAGCATATAATTATAACCGGTTATCCGGGTCAACATGATGTTCTCTTAGCCGATTCCGGCCACGGCGGCCGGTCTCATTGAGATTAGCCAACTGCGCAGGAGATATTATAGTGCACAAGTGTACGCGCAGACACAACGTGCACTCTCTATTCCTGTCACTCTCATATCTCATTTCTCTATTCCTGTCACTCTCATCGTCCAGTGGGACGACTGATCGACACGACCAGTGAGAGTTAAGGCGCAGGACCGACGGCTTTACGTGCTCTCCGAGGCACGGGGGTGAAACACCGCCAACTTCCCAACTCCGGGCTGTTACTGAGGCTCACTATTCAGAAAGACTCAATAACTAAACCTGACCCGACCCGAGACTCGAACCCAGGACCTCTGAGTGTGCAGCCGTACATGCTAGCCACAATACCACCGAGGCAGTTAAATCTCAATATCTTTCAGAAATCTATTAAAACTAAACGTTAAAACTTAAGTTTAGCTATAAACTACAACGTCAAGGAGTTTTCGAGTTTCGATTTACCTATATAGGTAAATATACTCAGGTTGAGATTGGCTTAATTTTTTTGCTATGCGAATTTCCTGGGTCGCCTCTAATCCTGAGATCTTGGAATTTATGTGGAGCATTGTTTTTACTATAGAGGCCCATTTTTTAACTAATGTATAATAATATTGCCTTTAAATAAAAACACACAATAACGATTTTATAATAATTACTACGCCTTATACTTCCCAATCTTTGGAAAATGGACAGCACAAAGAGGTTGTAAATTATACAAAATTCAATTTCAAAAATATGTACAAACAAATTTTCATGCTATATTTTTTTCCTTTTCTTTGTTACGTTTTAATAATTCTATATCTAACAACGCTTTTCCCAACTCGCCGGTCCGAAAAGCCTTTATCATCATCTTAGCTACTTCTGTGATGTCGGGGACTTCCCGGGTTTGATTGTCGTAGTCACGGGTACGTCGGACCCTGTTATATTTTATGGCACCTGTTATAAGTACCTGGAACAATAAATACAATGACTCGCTTAATTTTTTTTGTTATTTGGCAATTCTATTAGGTACATTTGTTATTTAATTATTTTAATTTATGTTATCTACACTAATCATTAATTATTTGTGAAAGCTTGATAGGTAAATGTATGTATTTTAATATAAATTTTATATGTTACAACATATTGATTCCCTAAAAACAAATAAATTACTCGTTTTTTGTTCTTCGCAAGAATCAAAAATTAAATTCTGCTTTTATTTATATACAAAGTTATTACTTATAGGTCATATTATAAAAACCTAATAGTACATAAGTAATATGCGCAATGTGCATGCAAGTTTAGTATACAGTCTTTACTAATGCATTATCGAACATTACCGATTGCGACGATATTATTACATATTTTCGAACATTTCTATCACCAGAACATAATATAAGAATGCTTTTAGACTTTATGTCCGTTAATGAGAATTTAAATAATATACAAGTTAAATAATTTAAATAGTTATTTGATATATATATATATATATATATATATATATATATATATATATATATATATATCAAATAACTATCTTATTTTTGAATCTTTAATAGGGAATATGCGTGTGATTTATATGAAGGTAAAACATTGTTTTTTAATCTTTATTGCTCCTGAATTAAGCCATGTCAATATAAGTAATTACTCTTTCATAAATAAAATAATTATTGAAAAGTGCAAAAATAGGTGGAAAATTCAAAGTAGTTCAAAACCCAACGTCATTGATCGGACCGAACGTGACGTCAAATCTAGACCGGATTATTCGTTGATTGCAATGATGTCATAGACTTTGACGTCATGCCTAAATGATTGGTGTTTAAATTATACTATTTTTAATATGCGAGTTGGATAGTTTCGTATTTGCTATTGCAGGTATTTTAATTCTCAACAGTATTCTCAGTAGTCTAGGTACTGAATTACAGTAATAGAAATGTCAAATGACACGTTTTTTTTTATTTCTGAACTAGAATACATCTTTATACAGCCTATTGAAATGTTAACAAAGTTTTTAAGTAATACAACTAAAAACTTTCTACGAACGCGCAAATGAGACATACTCAGATTGTTTTGTTATTTATGAACAAACAATACATTTTCAAAATAAACACTATAAGAATGAGATTGTTACACTATTATCAAGTCATTTAAGTTCACAAAGTACTTTAAAATAACGGATATTTAAAGTTTAAACACACTGTAAATAGCATGTGCATCGTGTGAATGACTCGACAATTCGGATAACGACCCGACTTCGAGTCAAGATGTCAGCGGTAATTTAGAAACACGAAATGAGACCGGTTCGGGTTTCGAAAATATTTTTTTAATATTGTATTTTTAGCCTAACCTAATCGTTATATTATCACTCTAAATATTAATATAGCGGTTTAAAGTTTGGTCCATTCGCTGTAGAGATCGATTAAGGTTTTGACGTTTTTGTAGAAAACAAATGAAAAATAATTGAATGTTCACTTTTATAAAAAAATATAATTTATACCTATATAATTAATTAACCTAACAGTATTATATTTAAGAATTCAAGATGTTAAAATTAATCCTTTATGAGGATTTAAATGAAATTCCTTTCAAACTTGAATATTTTCATACACACACACGCGCATGCACGCACGCACACTTTCACACACTTAAAATTTTAGAAACATAATAATTTGACAACTCATTGTCTCAATGCTCATTTGTTCAAACAACCAATTTACCTAAAGAGTTTTTAATACGGAATCATTGACTTTTAAATGTCAATTCTATTGATATTAAATACATATTTTACTTCAAAACACAACAGTAACATGTTCCTTGGTTCACATAAGACACCTACTTTACATTAAAGCGACAACTATAATAGTTTCCCAGTAAAATGCCTGTTACATACGGACAGATTGACAGAGGTGAAGACAAAAACATAAGGATTCAGATTTTATCTATTGCTTACAGGCTCATTATTTTACTAACAGCCAGCAATGTAGCTTCGCAGGCTATGCTTTGTTGGATAAGTAACCCATACAATAAACATACATTTAACTTATACTCTGATATATTATTTTTCTTAAAAGCTCAATGACAAACAACATACCTTATTTATATCATCACATGGTTCTTCCAACCCCATGTAGTCCACATATTTAAAGTTGCCATGTTTATTCAACCAGAATAAAAGATAATCTGCTATAATCTCTTCACCCACTAAGTGATCTTGGAGGGACGCACAGAGAGCTAGCTTTAAGCCCATCTCAATATCGGTAACAGACGGTTCCAGAATACCTAAAAGTAGTATTTATAATTTTAATCAATGATTAAATAAACTTATTTGTTTTAGTTGCTAGATTGCATTTTTGATGTTTTTGATACATTTTTTACAGAGACTCGTCCCTAGGTGATTATTTAAATTGACATACCCTTTTCATTTATGAACCGATTGAAATAATACAAATATGTACTATATGTTAAGCCACCACCATTACCACATAACATTAGTGAAAACAACACCCAAATCGGTTAAATCGTTTCTGAGATTAGCATGGACAAATGCACAGACAGACAAATATTCTAAAAATCATTGTCTTGGGTTTTACTGTGGTAATAAAGACCCCCAATAATAGTTTTCCTCAAATATTTTCCACATACAGTTACACTTTTATTATATGTATAGATTTCAAAATGTATTTTTTGTGATGAACAATAACGGTCTATTACTAATGACATATTAATATTTTGCAAATTTATTTTTCATTTATGTACCTGGTTTTTGGAATAAGATTGGATAGGTAATTTTGGAGTGCATCCCAGACCAATATCATGACAAGGGAATTTTATATATTAATATTCATATATCAGATGTGGTATATAGCAAAATATTTTAACATCTATCCTAACAAAATATAAACAAAATTAAGTCTTCCAAATATATAACAATGATTACCTGGTGTATCAAACATAAAAATCTTAGGATCATTATGTATTCTTATCTTTGTCATTACACTTCTTGTGATCCCGGCCACAGCTCCAACTGGTAGAGCATGCTTGATATTCATATGCCTACTTCTTAACATGTTGATAAGAGATGATTTACCCACATTGGGCACTCCTATTATCATTATATTATAGTCTAGTTCTTCACTTCTATTATATCTGTAATAAAATAAGAGATTTGAATGATAGGTAAAAAATTTAAGATTTTATATATTTCAACAATACATAAAAATATATTTACCTGTTCGAGTCTTTAATAAGATTCACCATGAGAGGTCGCAAGGTTTTTAAACCTTGACAATGTTGATCTTTTGAATTTGTAAAGACTACATTCTGTACACCTTCTTCAGCAGCAAGTTGGTCTTTAATTTTAGGTATTAATGATTGAATAGTCAAATCTCTCTTGTTTAAAACTAAAATATGAGGTTTGGCTCCTGTTAAAGTATTGGTGAAAATAGGATTTCTACCAGTAAATGGTATTCTGGCATCATGAACTTCAATAACACAATCTACCGACTTCAGTTTTCGCTGCATTTGCTTTAAGCCCTTATTCATGTGGCCGGGAAACCAGCGAAGAAGATCTTTGCTTACATAAGGGCATTTTTTACGAAAGCTATAAGCAGCTATATCGAACTTTGTAGCCATGATTTTGTTTGTTGTTGTTTTGAGGTTATATTTAATAAATAAATTTGTGAGACTCACTTATAATTCTTTTTAGCATTATTTTAATTGTTAGCTTTCTTATAGTTTAATTATTATGTGGTAAGTAATAAATAATAGCAAGCAAGAAATGCATTTATTTAGTTTATAAAAAATGTTTATGCAATTTTGACATATATTATGATTTTTGACATTGACAGTTGGAATGACATACACATAAACATGGAGCATTCATGATTCACGTTTAGGAATCGAGTATTAATTTCAATTCCTTTGTTTAGTGGCGGTAGGAATGCCGTTTGGGTATAATTTACTTCAGAAATAAAATATTAATAAATGAATATTATAAATAATAGGAGAATAAATAAAAAAATAATAGTTTATGATTATTGAACCCTATTCATTGATTGTACTGATTTGAGAAAGTATTTTCAACACTTATCCGTTCAATAAACAATACCAAGAATTATACTTAAAGAGATGATACTTAAACCTGCTGGGCACTTTTGTGTAGTGGCCTTTTTCCAAAAGGCACATCGTGCTACGTGTATTGAACAAAAAGATTTTCCTATGGTTATTTAGTAAAATTTATTTTTTGTTAAATTTAATTTTCATTATTTAGTAAAAGTTCTTATTAAGAACTTTATAAATATTAAATAATTATTATAAAGCCACTAAATTATAAAAAAAAAACTGACATAATTGATAAGTCACTATTATCTATAAACTCAATGTATTGCAAAAATATAATTATAATATTAATATAAAATATCTTAAAATATAAACATGTCTCAAACATTTATGTTAGAGTCGGATATTATAGCAGCGGCTGAAAATGTTATGCCAGATCTGAATAATGATTTGGTTCTCGCGAAAAATTTCTTGAAGCAACAAAGTGCTGCTACGGGCGATACATTGTATATTTGTTTCTATCAATACTTAGAAAAACTATATATTTGATTACATAATGCCATTAATTCTTTGCTATATATCTTTTGAAAGAGAGATTTCTCTTTTAAAAGAAATAATTTCTTTTCACCTTAAATAGGTATGATCATCTCGTCGACGTTGTACACAAAATATTGTCACAAAGACCCCCAGATGTGGTGGATAATTTTGAACAGTACTCATGGCAGGTGAAACAAGAAAAATTTCGGCCTAACTTTGATCTTTTAAATGATATTTATATATCTCCTCCTCAACTCACTCTTGTTAGAAGGGTGGATGAAATGTTTCGGGTTATTATCTTTTCAAATAAATATAGATTTATAGACTTGTATTCCATTTAGTAAAATTGAAATTTACATTGCGATATTTCAGCCGAATTATCAGTTTGAATGCGTGATAATATATTACATTTTTTTTTCATTTTTCCCACATACCTCATGCTTACGCAAACTACATAATATGTAGTATGCTACGGTCTACCGGTTATATTTCAATCCAAATTCATTAAACCAAATAAACAAAATAAGTGCTTGCAAAGCCATAGTTATGATGTAATTAAAAAGGTAGTTGTAGTGTAGTTGATATGTTTTAGCTTGTTGAAAGTAAGGCGCAGAAAATGGAGGATATTGGGGAAGAAGAACACGAACTAGATCTTGAAGAGGAGTCAATAAGACCTAGGATTTTAGATCTTATAGATCACAACCATTATTTTCGTGAGGTATAGCTATTAATAAAATATCGACGTTACATTTAATAAATGCCATTCATAAGTAAAATAAAGTTAAATTTACCAATGAAATACGTGTAGGTATACATAGATGTACAATTATTATGTAGTCTACTTAGGAAGAAAATCATGACGGTATCGATATACTATCAAATGCTCCTTATATAAATATTAACGAGATTAACACCACACAAGGTCTATTAAGGAGTAAACCGAGTATGGAGTAGTAAGAAAAGAAATAGAAGCATTCATTTGTTGTCTCCTTTATTTCGACATTTTTACGCTAGTAAAAAAGTTAGGATTTTAATTTTTTAGGGTGGTTTCGGTTTACCTGAGAGTGAATGCTATGCCCTTTACATAGCTCTTAATATGCTTGGTATAAAGGAACCTGTGGCTAACGTCCGGTAAGTGAGTTAGAATTTTTTTATTAAAAATATTAAAGTAATGCATTTTTACGTCCATCTGCTGGACACAGACCTCGTCCTATCATGCGAGGAGACCCTGTCATAGTCCACCACGTTTGCCCAGTGCGAGTTGTTCGACTTCGAGATTATCACGATGTTTTGATAAATGAATAGAAAAATAAATAAATTCGAATCTTACTCAGTTGGTCATTTTTCCATACAGATTTTTTGGCAAGATTTTTGGAACCAAGGCTAATTACTATGTAGCTGAGGCTGACCTTACTATAGAAGAATTGGATAGAAGAATAAGAGTCAGTATAATTTTTTATTGATGAATTATCTAGACTGGACTCACTCACATCACAAATACAATCACGTTTTGCACATATATTTCGGAAATAATTTTATTCATCGCGAAATCTATTTTCATTATTTAATATCTACCAGTAAAAACACAGTAGTACATGACTTTAGTCATAATTTATATTTAGAATTTTTAATTTTTGTCATAATAATATATTTTCTAATAGAACAACGACTCTAAATTTTTTTCTGATTAGGAGTTCGAAATGAAAGATATGCCCGGTGAGGGCGAGGGCTTAGATGAAGATCGCGCTCAGGAATTAGAAGAAAATAAAGAATTAAGTAAGTAAAAGAGAAGATGCTCAAAATGAACCAAAAAATATAATTTATAGAATAGTAATAATAATTAATTATGTATAAAGTGATTTTAAGTCGGCTGTATTTCTGTCAAAGTAATGCAAATGCTTAAAACTTGAAAGCTTTTTCATTCCTAAAAATATTTGCGATTAGTGGGTGAAGGTGAAGCTAAAGAAGAGAAACCCAAGGAACCCGTTCCTCCAAAACTACCCCCTATCCCAGAGTCCACGTGGCAGCCTCCTCCCGTCATACCTGTCGAAAGACCTGGACAGGGTGTCAATAAGAAGGTAAATACTACGGTAGACTTTGCATAGCCTAGTCCATGTTACCCCTTGGAGTCCATTTTCATTTTTTGTTAGTATTTATTTAGAATCATCGAGACACTTACTTTTATTTGTATTAGAATTATTTGGATTAGAATGTAATGTAAGCACATGGGCGTCGAGATGACGTGCGCAAAGGGGTGTACTTGCACTTGCTGTTTAAATTTAATATCTGTGAAAAAAAGATAATAAATAAGATATTAATAACAATTATAAAGTCAATCATTTAATGATTAGTTAGTAATTTATTGTGGAGAAGCCTATACCGGGGAAATAATTCTGCCTTCGACCATATGTAAAGAACTAGAATGTTTCCTTGTTAGTATAAATGGGAAAATGTGTTTGTTGCTGTATTTTTGGTTCATACAGATAGATGATGATAAGATTTTTTGCAAAAAGATAAATTAATTATCTTTATATTATTAAAGTTTCTAGTCCATGTCGGAGTTTCATGGGGTCTTATAGTATACATAGCATAGGTATGTATACTCTAAGCATGGGGTACTTTTATCCTGATAGACATATCAAGTGGCTTATTGTAAAATAAAATATGTCTTTAACGCTAACTTCTAAATCATGAACTTATGAGGGCTATAGTTTTCGTTGCCACCAGTTGGCGCCACTGGCGAGTAAGGTTTTAACGCTGTCGTTAAAAAAGGATTTGCTAGTGCATTAATAGTAAATTATTTTATTTTATTATAATAATTCTTTGTTAGCATTGAAATAGTTTATTAGAATTTTATGTTAAATAATTAATTATAACCGAACAATAAAATATTGAATTTTTTTAAAGCCCTTTTAAAATAGGTACCAACATTCTTTAAATCGTAACGCATGTCTGTCAAAATTATTCAGGAACGGCACAATAATTATAAATAATTAGTGAAAATCCGCGATAAAAGCGCCTCTCGCGGCGAATTCAAGCGCGGTAGCGTTAATTGTAAGAAATCATAACATGCTCGTATATTTCTATAGTTAACAATGGACATTCTTATATAGGTGTACTATGTTTGCAATCAATTGGGGGATCCCTGGATTTGTCTGCCCGATGTTACCCCGGACCAGATAAGAGTAGCTCGTCTATCAGTAAGGTGCATGACGGGCGACTTAGATGCTGAGGTGATACATTATTTATCAATATTTGATATTTGAAAAGCCACTTTATCAATTGAAAAAGCGTGTAAGGAAAATAAAAATAAATGTAGTTTGCCATTTTGATATATAACGCATTCTATAGGCGTTGGTATCCAGTTTTTTTTAAACTATCGTTCTATACTTATCGCTCAATAGTCTCTAACATTAAAAAAATCTTATTTTAAATTCAAAACTACTATAAAGGATATTAGAAATGCGAAATTAACTTTGTCTGCTAATATTTCACAACAAAACCGTTGAAGAGATTTTCATCAGATTTGGTACGGACATAGATTGCATTGTGGAAACGACATAGGCTACCTTGCATCTCCGTCGTCCATGTGAACGAAGCCGTAGCGTAAAACGAGTCAAATATATTTTAAGTACTTATTTTCTTAGGTAATTACATTTCCGCCATTTAATGGCACCGAGCGTAACTTTCTTCGTGCACAAATAGCGAGAATTCAAGCCTCTACATCTATTTCACCGCAAGGGTTTTACACTTTCGGCTCGGGTGAAGAAGAAGAGGATATTGACTTGGAAGAGGGAGCAGGTGTTGTCAAATTTTGCTTTTAATACGAAATTAATTACATTTTAAAATGAGAATGAATTACAGACTGTTTAATGCTGTAAAAAATTCGGTACAAATTCAGCTGTGTAATACAGCTGAAATCGCATTGATCTTTTTCTAGATAGTATTTAGTAAGGAATAATTTCGTATTAAAATGCCATTAAAATTCTTGTTAATATCTTGATGTAGCTAAATTGTAATATAAGTTAATGTATTATTTATATATTTATTAATTGTAAAGGTTTTATGCCAAAGACGTATACGTTACTTGCCGTAACTAAGCTGTAAAATAAACACAAACTAAAAAAGCTATTTAAATAAGGAACAGTCTCGAGCTTTATCGACCCAACATATTGATAAATGTTAATCATATTATTAGTTGCATTTATTCTTTTTGAAGTTATACTTCTTTTGGCGCGTTATGAAAAAAATTATGAGTGTGGATTTTTTACGATGCGACAGATTTAGACTACAATATGAAGTTAGTTGTTATTGGCTACAATGTGAAGTTAGTCGTTAAATCTCCCTTTACTCCCTTTAGTATAGTGAGATGTCTATATTCAAGATATTCATTTTGTTTTAGGAGACTTGGCTTTTAACCCAAATCCGTTCTATCAAGGCCACACAATTAAAGATTTACTTGACCCCAATCTGACGTATTGGGTGCATCATGGAAGACATATTCTGAAGCAGGGCAGGACGATCTGGTGGAATCCAAACGCTGACATGGTATAAAAGAACAGCGACCAAATAGTCTAATATAAACTTAGATAGAAATTACAATAGGTATGTATTAATATCACATTTATGGAATATTGAAAATTCAATTTCTTTTTTGTCAGTGAACTAGGTTGCTATCTACAATATTATAGGTACATGTTTTAATATAAAAATCGAAGAGTTTTTTTTACTGGTTGAATAAATTATGGTAACAAAGCAACAAACACACATTTAGTCTGCTATTATAATATTGCTGGCATATATTGTATACGTATTTAGTTTTCTTCTTACAGGATGAAGCAGTAGAAGAAGAAGAAGACGAAGGGGCACCACCAATGGAACCGGAATCAGGCCCTTCACTTTTCAGTCCCCTATCAGAAGACAATAGGCTCGAGGGTCAGAACGCGTGGACTGCTCGCATCAGCTCGATCCTCACCCAAGATCGGGCTATCGCAATCCTAAGAAGTAATATATGGCCAGGAGCTGTCGCCTATTCTACGACTGGAAAGTAAGTTTGAAAAGTCCATTTTAATCATCGTTCAAAAAGTACTAGATACATAATCCCATGCAAAAGTTCACTTAAAACTGTCACCAATTGTGTTTAGATAATTATTCTAATTGAAATAAATATACAACAATGTAAATTGAATCTTAACTGCAATGTTTATAGTAGTTTTTACAAAAAAAGAATTAAATTAAAAGCGCGCTCATATGTTCTAATGAGCGCTCATTCCCTGAGGACATTTTTTTCGTTGATTCTGTGTTGAAGCGTATATAGTACTTTTTTGACCGATGATTTTAATTGTTAATGTATTCTTAAAATTCACTATTTAGTTGGTTAGAATTAGTTAAAATGCCGGATTTTGCATATTACGTGTACTTATGGCGAGTGACGACTTTGTTACATTAAAATAATGATGAATATTCTGCGTACTCATTGTTCTTTCAAAAGTTTACTGAATTTTGATATATATTGTTTTGACCTTAAAATAACCTCTGCATTCAGAGAGGGTTCTATAAAAATCGATCTTTTTCTATAATTTATTCCGAATAGTGTTTTTGTCTCTAAGAATAGAAAGTAATTTAATTTAAATGTATACATTCACTAGTGAGAGCTCCATCAAAAACGGTTTAGTACAGAGGTAAGCGGGGCAAAAAAACTAGAAAACTTACCGAAAAAAAGCATTGGTTACTGGCCAACCATAATATGCTCTAATGGAAGTGGATCAGAGTGCAAAAACTATTTTTTATGACAAATTGCTTGCAATCCAGTTTATTAGGTGTCAGTTATGTTTGTACCAAATGGATGTGAGCATTTTGTAAATAATAATAAATCAATATTTGGTCTTCTCCGTTTTACGAGACATTGGCGAAGTAACACCAGTAGTAGAGAATTAAATAAATACTTGGTTCGTTATGTTCCCTATGGAATAATTTATTTTGAAAAATAAAAACAAATAGCCACTTTAATTGTTATTTAGACAACAAGTTTGGCTCAGTTTGCAGTAACCCTACTTGCTGTGCCAGTGATCACGGGTTCGAATCCTCCTGGAGGCATTCATTTGTGAGATGAGCACTATTGTTTGTATTCCAGTCATGGGTGTTTATATTTATAATATGTGTGTATTCAAAATTTTATATGTGCATTGTATCAAATATTTTGTATCCATAACACAAGCCTCGTAGCTTACCATGGAACTAGATGGCGCTGTGTGATAATGTCAAAAAAAAAAGAATTATAAGAATTTACTAGTTTATAAATTACTTGTACATAGAAAATCAGAGTGCATGTACGTTGGTTGGGGACTCAAGAACCAACCTCCGAACTTTACTCCGCTACAACTCGCAAAACCTCAGCAAGAATATGCTATAGGTCCTGAGGTCATGGAAATGGCTGACCCTACTTTCGCTGATGAAGAGGTTAGCTACATTTTGCCATACTTTTTATTAGGTTGCATTACAGGAAACTTGGAAAGATCTTGGACTTTTACGCTCGGTATCAACGGTTTCACTTGCTGCCTATACTGCGATACAGTGTGCCGCACAAAAGCCGTTTCCCGACTGTCATATAAAAGTATGTATAATAGTCGGGTGCACCTCATTCGCCTCTCACCCTATAGGTACACAGACATATAGACACATATATATATATTATCTACCTTCGGTAGACGATTGTATGGATTAGTAGATTGTGTAAATACTTTATCTAAAACAATAAAGAAGTCTCCACATTATAAAAGTTCATATTATACTTCGACGACACGTTTGGCTCAGTTGGTAGTGACCCTACTTGACGTGCTAACGGTCGCGGGTTCGAGTCCCGCTGGGGGCATTCATTTGTGTGGTGAGCACGAATGTTAGGTCTCCAGTCATGGGTGTTTATATTTATAATATGTATGTATTTAAAGTTATATATGTGTAGTGTATCAACTATCTGGTATCCATAACACAGGCCTCGTAGCTTACCATGGAACTAGATGGCGCTGTGTGTTAATGTCCCAACATTTATACTTACGTAATCGTACAATAATAATATTATGCAATTTTCAAGGCCTATCGCATAGCCCACCTTCCCCCTCCACCCCCACCAGAACTGCCCGGAGAAGAGGAGGGTTTCCCAGAAGAAGAGGAAGAAGAAGATGAATAAATGTCATATTAAGAAAACGTTATTTGATTACCTATTAAATTATTGTTATTAGACATATATTTTTGTTTTCATAAATTATTTTTAATTAATCTGCCATATTAAATATTAGCTGTAATAATTACTAATAGGCTTTCATCAGGAAGGAGTATTTTTTCATGTCCATGCTTTTATTTCAATAGTTATTTATGTAAAAATACAATATCGGAGGTATAAAAACGTAAGTACGAGTAGGTATAATATATGAAACGTGGTCAAGGTCTGCTAAGCAACGCAATAAATACAGTAATTATGAGGTTTTATTACCACAAACTTTGTTAAATTTATACATTTACTAGCATTGCCCGCGGCTCCGACCGCGTTCAGATGACCAAAAATCTAATTCTTAGGTTTTACATATTAGTATACTCTTACATTGCTGTTTTTGTTTTTTTTTCTCAAAAATGAGATATTTTGCCGCGGTAAAAAGTATCCTATATTTTGACCCGGATAACCAGCTATCATCATAACAAATTTTATCAAAATCCTTCCAGTGGTTTCTCTGTGATGCGGTAACAGACAGACAGACAGACAAAAATTCTAAAAACTATAGATTCGGCGTCTGTATCGATAGTAATGTCTATTGCAATAAGATTTTTCAAAAAATATTTAATGTACACATTCGGCTTAGTTAGAATTTTATTATATGTATAGATGTAAAGTATAGTTTCAAAATAACTTTCAAAATAAATAGAGTAAATACGTACAAAATAAAACTCAAAATAACGTTGTAATATATTTAATAAACTTAAATACTTATTATAGACAGAAACGATAATATCACTGACATGAGCTGGACAAAAAATTAATAATTAAAACTTTAATTGAAAATGACAACTTTTGAAAAATAAATTACTCGTAGCAAATTAGAAATTACTGCAATATTTTTTAAATATACTTTACTTTAATTCAGTATTATTGTCAAAAAATATACATGTCTTCAAAAACATAAGCCCTATGGTTTCAAATCAAACCCACTGTTACCTAAATTTAACAGATAGAAAAATATATGAGAAAACGTTTTTTAATTCATTTTACAGTAAAAAAAATACCAAAAAAATTAAAATTACATTTATTTCTTATGTTTATGTAACTGAGGTGCGGACAGTTTCACTTTGCCGGGGAAATTTCTCGCAATATTTTCTTCTTTCACAGCTTTTAGAAGATCTTTCTCTCGGTTGGAACTATTTTTGTCTTTCAGGAACACTTGCACTGCCGTTTTGGCTGCTTTTCCCCTTTTATTGCTACCGGGTGTCAGTTTTACTTTGAATCTGAAAAGAAAATGTTTTGTTTAGAAATATAAATAAATAATCGTTTCTTATAAATGATTGAATAGTCTCGGCTATTCAATCTATAAATATAATAAAATTCTAACTGAGCCGAATCTGTACATTAAATATTTTTTGGAAAATCTTATTGGTTTAGTCATTAATATAGATACAGAGGCTAAATCTATAGCTTTTAGAATTTTTGTCTGTCTGTCTGCCAGAACTCACCACGAGAAAACCACTAGACAGATTTGATATGACGATAGCCGGTTATCTGGGTCAACATATAGGATACTTTTTTACTGCAGGAAAATATCTCATCTCTGAGAAATCTATACTAATCTTAAAACGTAGGAAGAACCCGAGCGAATCGAGGGTGAGTCGCTAGTTCGCTACTCATGTAATAAATATCTAGCGGACCGACAGACGTTGTCCTGCCAAATGTTGGTTTTGCGTTAAGCATTCAAAGTATTTAAAAAAAAAACCTGGCGCCCTATTGCAGCGCCATCTACCAGGTCTAATTGTGAATCTAAGTAAATAAATATTAATAAACAAAAATAGCTATCTCATCTCTGAGAAATCCATACTAAATTTTAAAATAAACACGACTTACTTATAATTAAGTACAGCAGAATACGGTGCGACGACCGGGACTGCAAACAAAAGTTCATCTTCCGGGAATGGATTTCCGGTCAGTTGGCACAACATTTCCGTGTCCGCATCTTGAGCCGAGGGGTCCACCTGAATATAACACATAATATATTATTTATTTATTTTATTTTTGAAGTGAAACTTCTTTAGAACCGTTGTGATTTGAAACTAGATGAAACGTAAATGCGACACGAGAAAGAGACAAACACATAAGTATATAGGATTAAGAGAATGAGATAGAATACATTACCATGTTGCCATGGTAACCGTTGTTATTGTCTGACTGTTTGGGCAACAAGGAAAACTTCAAATTTCTTCCAACAAAATAGTTTATTACGTTTACAATTATTGCTTATAAGATAACGTGCGCGTGCGCCGGCTCGTATCGTCTCGTAAGGAAGTGTAAAAGTAATGACGGCTGCCGGGGTCCACCCTGCCCCCCGCGGATCGATCTATCGCCCCACCTGAGCGTTAGACGCGTGAACACTGACAAATATATAATATTAAGTTTCACTTCTCCTTGTGCGAATTGCACACACACTTTGTTTATTTACTTTACTTTCTTTTATTTCACAATTGTTAAATTTACTTTAATTAAAAAAAAACACTAATAACAAAAGTAAAATTTAACATAATGAAATTTTACTCTATTAATATTTGTTTATAAATTCACTTATACAGACAACAAATTGAACTTAGACTTTTTTCGCTTAGCTTCCATTACCCTTCACCAAAAAACTTTTCCAGTCCCCAGTATGTTGGCGATATATTTACCAATAGTTAGCAAATTTTTATAGGGATTTTTTTTTTAATATAACCTTCAAAGTGATTTTCAAATTATCTTTTCTAGTATAGTAGTAGTAGTATAAAACGCAATACAATAAATAATGTTAAAAATACATAGATCAAAATAGTACTAGATACACAATCAGCGACAGAAAATGTTCTCACTGAATGAGCGCTCATTTGAACATTTGAGCGCGCTTTTAATAATTTTTTTTGTGAAAACAACTTTAAGCATTGCATTTTAAGGTTCAATTGACATTATTGTATATTTATTTCAACTAGAATAATTACCTAAACACAATTGGTGACAGATTTAAGAGAACTTTTGTATGGGATTGTGTATCTTGTATTTTTTTGATCAATGCCTTCAAAGTAATTTTCAAATTATCTTTTGCATTTATGATATACAATACAATAAATAATATTAAAAATAAATCAAATCCTACACAAAATAAAACTTTTGCAATTTACAGTTTAAAGAAACATAAAGGAACCTGTTCTCTCACCTCTTGTTCAGGCTCTGGTTCCTCAGCATCAGACTCCGCCTCCAATATAATAGGGGCAGGTTGAGGGATCTTGGGGGCCTTCGGACCTGATTTACTCTTGCCTTTGACCGCTTGCTTTTGTGCCTTCTTAGATTCCTTCGCGCTTTTGTTTGGCTGTGGGTTTATGTACATAATTATTTACAAATAATAATATATTATTATGATATTGTTATTTGTTATATCATTGAGATTGTAGTGGCATATTTGTTTAAGGATAGGACTATTTTGCTTTAGTCCGACATTTTACTGAATCATTTATTTCGTAATTAAATCGTTATAAATAAAATTTATCAACAGCTTGATTGTTTTCATTGACAGCTTATAAAAAAAATGATATATAAAAAAATTACAAATTACAAAACAAGGTATTAAAAATATGTTTAACTTTAATACTCTTATGACCAATTTTACCAACATCCCATAAGCTACCACCTACGTATGGGATCCCTAGCTTAAAAGTTCCCCTAAACTAGCCCCTAAATTAAATTTTGTTTTACCATCGTCAGAGCTCGTATTTCTAGGTACATTTAGGTGACCCCTAACTGTCGGTGAAACAGAAACTGTCCCCTAAAACAGCCCCCTAACCATGCTTAGGGGATCCCTTAAACTTAGGTGAGGTTGGTGAAATCGGCCATTAATATATCATCATAACGATGTATACCTGTAACAACTCCATTATTATGGCTCTATCTTCTTCATCTTGGTCCTTATACTTCTCTTTTATCTTCTTCATTTTGCTCTTCTGTCCGCGTTTTAGGCCCGGCTTCTCTTCTTTTTTGGGCTGCTGTTCTTTTTTAATTTGTTCTTTTTGAGGCTTCTTATTACCTTTTTTCGGTAACGCGGGGAACGATAGAGGTCTGTCTTCACCTGAGAAGATGTAAAAATATGTAATATGGAAAATATTTTATTGTATATAATATAACACTACTGTACAGTAGATATCCCATACAAAGTTTCATCCCCATTTTCATCCCCTTAAGAGTTGTTTTCCGGGATAGAAACTATCCTACTCTCTTCTTACCTGTCACAACAGTCTTCTTATCAAATTTCATCTAAATCGGTTCAATAGTTCCAGAGATTATTTCCTATAAACAAACAAATTTTACCTGTTTCTAATTTTAGTAGTATTATATATTTACAATTACATGATACGTATCAGGAATTCATCTAATAAAAGAAAAAAAAATACAATTCGCATATTTGGCTTACTTTTGTCTGACATTTCTGACATTGTTCTTGTTTTTGACTCAATAGTAACTTTTCCGGTTCCGTGGTCCACCTGAAAATCACAATCTCCTATAATTTTTATGTTTTAAAACAATGTAAACTCAAAAAACCCTCTATACAAATAAAGAAAAAAAAACAATGTAAATGTTTTAGCCAAATCTTTACGCGAGCTACCTGCTATAAAACTTGGAACTCGAACCTTGGACCTTTTTAGTCAAGCAGACTAGCCACTAGATACACGTACTCGTAGTAGTCATTATTTGACGACACGTTTGGCTCAGTTTGTAGTGACACTACTTGCTGTGCCAGCGGTCGCGGGTTCGAGTCCCGCTGGGGGCAATCATTTGTGTGATGACCACAAATGTTTGTACTCCAGTCATGGGTGTTTATATTTATAATATGTATGTATTAAAAGTTATATATGTGTAGTGTATCAACAATCAGGTATCCATAACACAAGCGTCGTGGCTTACCATAGAACTAGACGGTGCTGTGTGTTAATGTCGCAAAATATTTATTTATATTTATTATTATGCAATTAAAGTTAGTAAAAAAAAGTCAAGTGGCATCATGGGACACCCGGTAGGAACGAAGTTCCTTTTGCAGTCTACCTTGGCTTATAAATTAGGTTATAAAAATTATATCGTATATTAAACACCAAGAGCATCTCTCTTAGTAAACAATAAAGTGTCGTGACGGTGTAAATATTACACTTGTTTACGTTACGTCATTCGCCAAGTGTGCCGAGTGACGTGCGATAAGGAATTTCATTCAAAAAACGTATCGATCAAATAAGTACTAGACACACAATCACATGCAAAGTTCTCTTAAAATTGTCACTGATTTTGTTTAGGTAATTATTCTAGTTGAAATAAATATACAGTAATGTAAATCGAACCTTAAATACAATGCTTAAAGTTGTTTTCACAAAAAAAATTAGAATCGCGCTTAAATGTTCAAATGAGCGCTCATTCGGTAAAGACATTTTTTGACGCTGATTGTGTATCTAGTACTTTTTTGATCGATGCAAAAACGTAATAAAAAACCCCGTTTGCATAATTTACCTTAATGTGGGTATCAAGAATCCCATCATCAGAACTATCACTGTCCGAATGGCCTTCTTCTTTCTTATCCTCTTTCTCTGTTATATTTTCTTTTATTTCTTCTTTAATTTCTGATTGTTTATCTTCTTTTATTTTATTTACATTCTTATTATCTTTATTCAGTTTTTTCACGTAAGCTTCTTCGGTAATTGTCTCTAGAGTGTGCTTTTGTTTAGATTCTTCTTTATCAGAAGCTTCATCTACAAAGATTTTTTTTTAATTTTATAAAGTATAAAAACTATTCTATGTCCTTCCCAAGTCTCAAACTTCATACCCAATTTCAATTGGATTATTAGTTTAAGCAACAGTTTAGTAGTGTTTACAAACATAGATTTTTTTTATATTTATAATATTGGTATAAACTAGAGACAGTTCTTCTATATATAGCGACTCATCCTCGCTTCGCTCGCGTTCGTCCCTAGTTACGTTTTAACGTTTAGCTCAGGGATGAGATATTTTCCCGCAAAAAAAGTACCCTTTTTGGTGAACCGGATAACCAGCTATCATCATACAAAATTTCATCAAAATCTGTCCAGTGGTTTTTTTACACAGACAGTCAGACAGACAAAATATCTAAAAACTATTGATTCGGCCTCTGTATTGATAACAAAATTAAAAATATATATATAATGTACAGATTCGGCTTAGTTACAATTTTTATATATGCATAGATATAGATTCCATACCATCATCAGAAACAACGATCTCCTGTTCCTCCTCAGTATCCTGTGTAGAAGTGACTTCAGAGGTGGAGTCCTCCGCCACAATGGCTTTCCTCTCGTCGCGGTGTTTCTCTATACAACTGTCTTCTAGCTGTTGAGTTAAATTAATGAAAACACCTTTTAGCAAGTTTAATTATTAATCATATTATTGTTATAAATGCGAAAGTTTGTGAGGATGTATGGATGTATAGATGTATGTATGTTTGTCACTGTTTCACGCAAAAACTACCGAATGGATTTTAATGAAACTTTACAATAATATAGCTCATATATGAAAATAACACATAGGCTACTTTTTATCCCGGAAAAATGTACGGTTTCCATGGGATAATTTGTTTTGCTTTTTCCACGTTCAAATTTCCAATCGCTTTCTCTAAAAATTTCATTAAAATACATACATACACACATCGATGTTTATATATATACATATTATACGAGTATATACTCCCACTTACCCGAAACATAAAGCTGAATCCAAACTGCAGATGTTCTGGCAGCAAATAATTCTTCTTCCCCCGGATCATGAAAGAGCCGGTAGTGAGGTACTCCCCGGTGGGGGCTGACTTGGACACTTGGTGCCCGTAGACCCACCACGCTCTGGTTAGCACCTTAGCCTCCCAGGCAACACTGCAATTGGTATTATTTATTAAAGTCATTAAAAATATATTTGTATCTGTATTGAATTATAATACTTAATACAAATATTTTAAGATGGTTTCAGTTTTGAAATCATTTTTGTGAAATTGTGGGTAGGCACTGTTTGTAACAAGTTCCTATATAACGGCTTTGAGCCGTCTAAAACCTTAGTCTCTCCCGTGACCGTGATTGCTGTAAAACATTAGAAACGTCGTTAACCAAAATAAATCGAAATAATCCGAAAAGACAGTTTTATTTAAAACTAGCAGAACCCACAACTTCTAAAATTGCAAACAATCTCATAAAAGGTGGTTCATACAAAATTCCATCCCCTATTTAACCCATTATGATGAATTTCGAAAAATACCAAAACACGTATTTATTTAATTTTTTTGAAGAGCACTTATACCAAGTTTCAAGTAATTCTGATTATAAATATTTTTTTGGATTGTATTATAATCTGTATTCCGGTGGGAATTAGATAATATCACGCGGTAAAAAGTATAAGCCTATGTCACTCTCCAGCCCTCCAACTATCTCCACACAAAAATCACGCCAATCCGTCACTCCATTTTGACGTGAAAGAAGGACAAATAAACACACGTTCACATTTATAATATTAGTATGGATGTCAAATATTCGCATAAATCTAAGAATGTATTAAAGTTATTAAAGTTTGAAACATCGGGAATCGTGAATAAAAAAAAAGGAAAAGAAAATCAAAATAAATTCGCAAAAAAATCCGAAAAGATTAAAAATCTTTAAATCCAAGTTACCTGTACGCGACGGCGGCCTGCCCCGCCTCGCTGAGGGTCCTGGGGGGCGGAGCGCTGGGGCACTTGACGAGCACGGAGGAGGCGCCGGTCACCTCCGCGTGCACGTACACGTCCGTGGCGCGCATGTAGCGCTTCACCAGCAGCTCGTTCTGTTGCTGGTCGCGACCCGCTATCACCTGTTAGGTGAATGAATGAATGCTTGAATATATGAACAAATGAGTGAATGACAATTAACTTTATTCAATTGGACTTATTACAAGTACTTTTGATATTAGTTTGTGCTATATAAGGTATGTAGCGACTGCTAAATTAATAAGTAATAAAATTTTCTGGGACCCTAGAAATATAATATTTTCATTAAAAAATAATTATTACGATAAACTCATAATTGCCAGAGATAATAAATAAAGACCGAATTGAGTCCCTTTTTTTGAAGTTGATAAAAAGTAAGATTTTATTTTTAGCTACCATCCAAAAAATTACTTATACACAAACATACGTTTAACTTACTTTGCTATATAACATACTGTTTACTTATACTTTTTATAACACCACTGCACTTAAATTGTGAATGTCATCAGATATTCTAAACTTAATTTTTTTTATTGAAATTATTTTTTTTTAACATTTTCTGAACTTACCAAGAAATTATCAGAAGATATAAACCAATAGAACTTCTCGAACCAATACGTTTTCCTAGCCTTGGTAATACTGCTGATAGTGTGCGCTTCTTTCAACGTTTGTTTCGTTTTCCTTTCAGCACTTTTAAGAGCTTTGTCCGCTGACTCCAGAGTCTTCTGTTGTTTCTTTGCAGCGTGACGCTTTTGGTCATAATATCTTAAAAACAATTAATCGAATAAAAACACATGTATATTATCCCTAAAGAAAATTCTAATTTCTAAGACCTTTTTCAATTATTAATAAAAATTATGATATTTTATTTAATCTATACTAATATTATAAAGTTTCTTTCTTTGTTTGAATGCGCTAATCTCAGGAACTACTAATCCGCAAAATTGAAAAATTCTTTTTGCATTAGATTGCCCGTTTATTGAGGAAGGCTATAATAGGCTATATATCATTATGCTACTACGCAAGGGAACAGAGCAGTAATCATAAATGTATACAAATTGGGCAGACATCCATACATTATTGTATAACTGATGTTTATAATCAAACAAATTTAATGCCGGTAAAACTGCGGAGCAAAGCTAGTATTGAATAATTCTGAATTAAAAATATTAAAAAAAAATGTTAATATTTTTAGGCATATGGAAAGTAGCAATATTTAAACACTTTTTTAAGAATAGAACAATTTAAAAAAACTACAACTACCTTCGAGCATTAGCGAAAGCTGTCAACGACAAGTCGATGTCAACCATCATCGGCTTCAGTCTATTAGCACGGTCATCACCATCACCATCACTATCATCATCATCATCATATGGATCTTTCAGCAGCATTGTGATATGATTGGTGTTAAGTTTGAGTTGCTTAATCGAAGAAGCTATGGGATCATTGTTGTCTTGCGCCGTTTTTACTAACAATTGGATATCGTCCCAAGACATCTAAAATGAAACGAAAACTATATCGAAAATTTGTATTTAGCTGTTTTCTTAACGTCCCACAGCTGGGCACGGGCCTTCCTTCAATACGAGGGGGATCTCTCAGACATGCAGGTTTTGTCACGACATTTTCCTTCACAAGTAAATATCAGAAAAAAATATCAGAGGTGCGAGACCCGGGATTTGAACCCGCTTCACTCGGTTTCTCATGGGAGGCTCATTAGCGTCCAGCAATCCAGCCAGGCGTGAAGCCAAGAGAGGAGGAGAACTACAATATGTGTAAATTTTACAATTGGTAAAGGTTGTTCTACTTAAAGGCTACCACGACAAGCGAAAACATAAACATAAAATTTACTATTTACATGCAAGAATATGATGTGTTTATTATAATAATACCTGATTTGCTAAAGCAGCCTGTATGGCCATCCTGGCTTGTTCCACCAGCGGTTCATTTCTGGATATCATTTCAGCCGCCTTCCTATCTTCCAACTGAACTTTCTCCAGCTCTGTGATGCGTTTATCGTGGTCTATCCTTACATTTTGCAATTTTTTCATTGCTTCTTTTTCTACTTGAATGGTCTGAAGTAAAGAATTTTACACATTTAAATATACGTAGAATAATTATAGTATAAAATATATTATTAAAAATAGATATAAAAATATATATGAGTTTTTCAATTAAAATTTGTCAAACTATACAAAATATTTTTTTATCTCAGCAACAAGTATTAGCATAGAATACAGATGCAAAAATACCATATTAATAATTATATTAATTCAATGAATTCCAATCCAAACCATTTCTTAATGTAAATATCTCATTAAAACAAACATTATCTATGAATACGTCAAACAAACTTTACATGACGGATTTTTTAGTCCTCAGTAAAATGACGGAAATTTAACATTTGTCCCATTTTCCTTAATTTAGAGTCATTTTTAAACACAAAATATACCTTTAACATGAATAACCAATCAATAAATATCTATTGAATTTTTTTGAAACTAATTTTTGTTTCTGCGGTGGTATTAGTCAATAGTATCCAGTATATTTTAATCAAAAAAATCAATATAAATAATAAATGAATTTACCTTTAAGTCAATCTTTTGTCCTTCTAACGCAGAATAGAACTCATCGACTGCTCGGTCAAAAGTTTCATACTCTGTGTGAGGCAGATCTTTGGTTTGCGCATATAACATTGGATGGAAATCTTGATTTGTAAAAAAGAATGTGGGACCACCGCCTTCTGGGTTTGGTCGCTCTTCCTTCTTTTGAATTATGTAACCCTGGTAGGAACGGAAACATGACAGGGATTAAATCAACCTTGAGAAATGGCACTGTTTTTTTTAATACAAACCAAATGTACAATGTATTTAATTATTATTGGTTAATAATATTTTTCTTGAACATTCTCCTATATTTTGTATATTTTCTTTTCTCCTTTGGGGTGTTCAATAATGGATTTATTATTATTTTATTACTAGCAACGCACCCTCGCTTCGTTCTGGTTCGTCCCTGGGTTGATTCCCCATACAAACTTTCATCTCCATTTTCATCCCCTTAAAGCATGATTTCCAGAATAAAAAATATTCTATGTCCTTCACAGTCTCAAACTATCTTCTTACCAAATTTCATCTAAATCGGTCCAATAGTTTTTGAATTTATTCGTTACAAAAATACAAATCTTTTCTCTTTATAATAGTAGTGTAGACTAATTTAAATATAGTTCTATATAACAGTTATTCAATGAACAGTGGTATCCTTGTAAGCTAGTGATGCCCTGGACATACTAATTAATATCTTTTTAAAAGTATAATTAAATCAATCTATACAAAATAATAAACAGAACGTTTGATGTAAGTTAATACACCTATATCAAAACTAGCAGAATCAGCAGCTTCATTCGCACTAAAACTACAAAAAGAACTCAAAAAGGGTAGATTTCTTAAAAACTTGCATCTCCTATTTAACCCTCTTAAGGGTTGAATTTTGGAAAACGCTGAAATACAAACTCATTATTTTTGCCATACTCAATTCATACGAAATTTAATGCAAATATGTCTAAGGAATAAAAAGTTTCATACAAACTCCTTTATCCCCCATTTCACACCCTTGGGTGTTGAATTTTGAAAAATTCTTCCTTAGTGGATGCCTTCATCATATGAGGAATATGTGTGCGAAATTTTAACTTTCTAGCCTTAAGGGTTTGGCCTGTGCGTTAATACATCATTCAATCACTTTTGCCTATTATATAGAATATAGAAAGATAGATAGATTACCTTTGACACCTGATTTTGTCCACTTTCAATCAACATTTCAGCCTGCTTTAATGCTGTATACAGTTTGTCTATGTCTCTTTCCACAAAAAAACCTTTATTTGCATCTTGAGTTACTTTCATGTTGCCTGATAACCCATTCTCTAATAAGACATGGTCTATTACAGCTGCACCATATTCTGTAAAATAATATATTTTCATGTGTATTTTATACACATAAGATTAAATACTGTGATACACATGTAAATGTGTATATTTGAACTAGATGGTGCTGTGTGTTAATGTCCCAACATATTTAATATTAATTTAATACTTAATTTGGGTATATATTTTTGACATGTAATTTTATGATTGGGGTGCATTGGTTATGAGATGTGAAATACTACATAATAAACTATATTTGTATGTAAATATTCAAAAGCAAGTATAAAAAATTCTCACCTAAATTTGGATTTAATATCTTTTTGAGATTGTCTCCAGGTTTGCTTTTTCCAAGTATTTCCTTTAAGGTATCAACATTTGGTGCTTCGTAGGTTGTTTTAGCTCTATCTAAAGGATATTTCTCTTTTACTGCAAATCTGTTAGAAAAATATAAATATAATTAGAGCTGTCTCTGACATTGAGTGAAGTAATCTGTGCTCAACTTTGAAACCGTTAATAAGAAAATTGAATAGAAAAACAATTCATTTTTACAAAATGTGGACATACCAACAATATATCTTAAATAAAATGCTATAAAAAAGTTTTAGCCACATACTGTTTTTAAGTGTTTATTCAAAGATGTTTGAATTATAAATTTTCTAAGTCAGATTAGAATCTCACCTTACTTTATCTCCTTCTACATGTGGCCTCAAAACATTTAATATGGTCCATTCATAGTCTGTTAGTACAATATTACCTCTGTCATACAGTTCCAGTATAACATGATATGCAGCTTCTCCACTACCAAATTGGAGATCCACTATTCTGTCTATACCGAGCTGAGAAAGTTTCTCGAGACGCTTGTTTTTGAGATGTTTACGAAGCTGGAGAAAATATTTTTTTGTAATAGTTTAAAAGATATCATTTTTTCTAAGAACATTAAACAAAGCCAAAAAAATCTGTTTTATGTCTTCTTTCTTAAATTAAGCAACAATCTAATATTATTGAAAAAATAATTGTTGGATTAAAAGAGTTTCTTTTCCATTGGACGTTCCAGAATTCTATTGAATATACCTTCATAGTAAATCCTGATGGTGCAACATTCTTTGGCCATTCAAACTGTGTAGTATGAAATCTATTACCAGATTCTAATAATAAAACTGACTTTTCTTCAGACCTTTGCAGGCGAATAACATAAGTTTTATTGTCTATATCATAAACTTGATTAACCCTCATGCCAACCAGCCTTAAAAAAGGAATATTTAATGAAAAACTATAAAGTATTATATATTTTTTATCCTGGCTACTAATAAATAATTAAATAAATATGACACTTGGTTATAACTTAGAGAATACAATACATATATTATGAAATATGCAAAACTTTTGTGAAATAATATTTTAAATAATATGGAATTACCAAAATTAAAACTTTAATGAAAGTAAAACTAACATTAATTATAGTTATGATTTATTTAAGGAATAACAATTAATTAAAAATCAGATAAAAAGGCAATATATGAATATGAAAAAGTGCATACCTTTGCAATTCGGCCACCATGCACACAATATCATAAGTATTAAATCTGGTCTTCATTTTGAATTGTCTTTTTATTTCTATAGCAAATAATTAATTCGACATATTTTATTGAATTTTTGATGTATTTTATGTTTCTTTTGCAATTTTGGCGATAACCAAAGCAAAACGTATATATGACGTATTTTCTGTCAAATGTCAATTGTCATTTGTCATCGTATTGACATACACGGTACACTAATAACATCATTAAATGGCAACCCTGCCAGGCCAAATTATTATAATATGAGACAACCTTAATGTTCCAAGTCCTGTTTATTACTAACTTATATTAGTGGAAACCATGAGCCACACTACACTGGTTTTTGCTTCTATTGTGTTCGCATCTTACGTGATATCTGTGCAATGTATTGTACCTGGAAGTTAGACCAACTGAAGGAAGAATTGAAAAGTAGAGGTGCATCCTGTGGTGATCTGGACTGACTGATAGATCAACATACACCCTAAACAGATGGTCGTAGAAACGTGAAATTTGGAGGACGTATTCCTTATATGATATAGGCATCCGATAAAAAAGAAATTTTCAAAGTTCAACCCTTAAGGGGGTAAAATGGGGAAATAAATATTGTATGAAACTCTGTTATTCTTAATGTGAAATACACAGAAAGTGGTGTTTAGTTAAAAAATAAGAAATATATTTATTTGATTTTTTCGAAATTCATCCCTTAAGGAGGTAAAAGGGGATAATAAAGTTTGTACGAGTATAGGCAAAGAATTATTAATGATCAGAATTATTTGAAACAGAATTATTTGAATATTGTTAATGCTCTCCAATACAATTAAATAAATTCGTGCTTAAGCATTTTTCTAAATTAAATTCCATAAAGGGTTAAATATGTTTCAACTTTATTTCTTTTCTTTAGTTATGTTATATTTTATTTTACCTTTTTTTTTTATTTTGATGTATTGATTTTTTCATTGGCAACAATTTTATTGTTTTGAGTTCGGCTGTCACATATTACAATTTTGAAATTTTAGGTTATTTTAAAATTTAAATTAATTGACCATATTACCTACCTCAAAATTACTATACAATAATATACATTATTGTAGACAAAATAATCAAAATGGGAGTAGAAGAAGTGAAGGATTTTAAAATCCGGCCAATGAAGTGTGAACTTAACTTTCTAAGTAAATCTGATGGATCGGCAATATTGTCACAAGGTAAACTGAAAACTCTTTACTTGAAGATAATTTTCTTGCTCAAGACGTATCCAATATTGCATATTAAAAAAATATAGTTTTATATATAAAATTTATTGCATATTTCTTTGTTTAATTGTTGCAGTACTATAGTATAACCCATACATGTTTTATGTAAACAGGAGAAACTGTAGTACTAGCGAGTGTAAATGGTCCTTTGGATATTAAAACAACTAGCCAGAGTATTGAAAAAGCCACTCTAGAAGTACTATTTTGCAGTAAAGGAGGTAAACCATCAGTAGCTGACAGGTAAGTAGCACACATCATCACAATTTTTACTGTTTTTCATATATTTTTATCTACATTATGTATGTCAAATATTACATTTCTTTTTTCAGATTCAAAGAAAATATAATTAGGCAAACATGTGAGACAGCTATTTTAGGTTGTTTATATCCTAGAACTGGTATATCTCTAACTATTCAAGAATTAGAAGATTATGGAGGGGTAAAAACTTTATAAAATGTGTAAAATATTTAAATTAGAGTATAGTGAAATTTTGTTGTAATATTGAAATCAAAATTAAACCTTACAAACATAAAAAAAAATCATAAATAGTTTTTGTCTTGTGCAAAATCTCATCATTGTTGTCATTTTCAGCTTCTCACTTGTGCAGTAAACAGTGCATGTTTAGCACTACTCAACTCAGGTGTAGGAATGCGACATGTAGTTGCAGCTGTTGGATGTGCGGTTGACGAAGTGGGAAACTTATTATTAGAACCATCATATAATGAAGTCCAAAATGCTAAAGCCATGTTATATTTTGTTTTTGACAACCGAGAAAAGAAGTTAGTTTCAGGTAAGTGCAAACATTGTGGTACAAAGAAAAATGCTATTAGAATTGCTGAGATCTGATAGAATCCGCCATATAGCACTAGATGTATCTATAAAAAAATAAGTGATCCTGTATCATTTAACTCATCAAACTATGTAAAAAAAGTTGGCCGTCACAGGACACCCAGCAGATGTGAAACATCTATGTTAATATTAAAATTCATAATTATAATAAAAACCAAAATAGTGAAATATGGTAATGGTACAAGAAAGTTTGTGTGAAACCTACCTTTTTAGTTTTTTTGTAGTTTTAGCGCGATCGAAGCCGCGGGTTCTGCTGATATATTTATAAATAGAATAGAAAATATATACGTATTTTTAATAGATGCTGTTTTACAATGGAGTGTGAATAGTATATGCATGCACAAGGGAGTTGAGAGCGATGGTTTAGAAGTAGCATGATGGCATGACAGCGTCACGCCGTTTGCCATCACGGCATATGAGTCGGATTTACAGTCAAGGCGCGCCATTAGATGTTTCCCATCAAAAAAAATTATTTTACTTGTATATTTTAGAATAATATACAGTAAACAGTAAATGTTTTTGTTTCAGGTTTTACTGAAGGCTGTTTCAGTGAGGACACATATGAAGAAGCTCTGGCTAGATGTCGCATTGCAAGTGATATCATATTTCAGTTCTATAGAGACATAGTTAAACAATATTCTAAAGTTATTTGACAGTGATGTATTAATAAATAATAATTCATACATAAAAACCTGTTAGCTTTGGACTCCATAGACATAGAGAATGCACTGAGCGATATGAAATAATATATGAAATTGACCACTCTTTAGAAAGAGAACGAAAGCGAACATTCGGCCAATAACTGTCTTTTTGCTAATAAATTTGAATTTATAAATAGAATGTAAAAAATTAAAATATTATAATGGAATGTAAAATGGCTATCTTCATTATGCTATCTTCATTAATTGCATTTTAATGACTACATAAGACTTCAGTGGCCGCACATTTGTTTTGTCTCTGTCGTGCCTTTCAGCCATTTTTAGTTGGCTGCAAAGAAACTCTATATCTATGGTGGACTTTAAATTTACACATTCTTCAATGTTGTATTTTCATATGTTATAAAAATGGCCACAGTGGCATAAATGTTATTCAAAACATAATTAATGATTTATATATTGAGTGAATGGATTGGATATGTCTGAACTTTTTGTTCTAAAGGTAATATTTATAACTTAGTTATAATTGAAGCATATTTTAAATAAAACTGTCTCTTCAGTTTATTTCGCGGATTTATTTAGATTTTTGGTTCCCGACGTTTCGAATGCTTTACAGCAATCATGGTCACGACAGATACTAAGGTTTTAGACGTCTAAAAATAATCCGAAAAGATAGTTTTATTTAAAATGTCAAATATTCGCGTAAATCTAAGAAAGTATTAAGAAGAATATTTAATAATAATTGAGATGAATATTTTGCAATTAACTTTATTCCCCAAAAGACTCATCAGGAACAAAAAAAAATGTATTGTATTCAGGCCTTATTAAAGTCCCAATGTTGTGTTTTAATAGCAGAGTGATCAGGCCGATAGTCCACGGTTGGTGGATTTCACATGTCTTTCGAAAATTTATTTAGAAAATAATATTAGAGATACAAGACGAGACCCAGGATTTGAACCCGTTTCACTTGATTTCCCAATTGATCACACTATTACAGGTAAATACTGTATTACAGTACTGCCTAAATAAAAATTAATTTAAATTTCAATAAATGGTGTTATATGTGCTGTTTAAAATTATAACAGATCATAAATTATATATTCTAATTTAAAAAAATGATCTGCTATTTTGCATGATTGTACAATTTTACTGGTGATTGAAAATTAACTAAGTACTTTAGTCAATAAGTTTGTGCTGCATATATTCATAGATAGCGCTATATTTATTTTCATTTTTCTGTGTTGTTTATCTGGTTTTTAAATTACAAATTCCTTTTATTATTATCCTTTCCTTTTAATATTTTGACTAATTTTAGAGCACACATTTTTATTTTTTATAACAATATGGTCATGCTTTAGGGCATGCGCCATCTATCGTCTACTCTGTTAAAACTAATAGCCTAAATTGGGATATTATATCATCTGTGTAACTTTTGCTGTGTAGTTTTTAGAAATTGTCAATAAATATATTTTTACATGCAAGTTTATTTATTTCAAACCTATATTAGTTAAGATGTTTAATAATTCAAGTAAGTTGACAAACATGAAAAATAACTTGAATATATATTCAAGACAGTGATTTTAAATAAGATAATATAATAAAATATAAGTTAGACGCCCAGAAAATTATTACTACATAATATAATGTATATTTGAAGCACTTTTAACGTGATTTAATTTTTTTTATCTCACAAGATCGAGCGTTCCATTGATTTTGGCAAAGTGCGGTGGATGCTTGTGTGTATTGAAAGTCAAATAATGTCTTGACAATTTCTGAGATATTACAGTATACGCGAAGATACATATATACTTTCTATTCTTTAAACTCGCATATTTTGGTAGGATGATAATTCCACACGACCCGTAAAAGATAAGGTGGAGCACCGATAACTACGTGCTCTCTGAGGCACGGGGGTGAAACGTACAACTTACCTAATCTGGGTTTTTAATGAGATTTTTTAAAGAAAAAAACTCAGTAACTCAATTCGGCACTCGAACCCAATATCTCCGGATCTGCAGCCGCACCTGCTAACCATTACACCACCGGGGCAGTTAAAAGCTAGATAATTTGTATTTGTTAGCTCAATAAAACATGATTATTGATCTATATGTACATAAGTGGCAAGTTATGGGTTCGACATCAGTATTAACTATTAATATTTATATAATCCATATCAGAAAGTGATTTCTGTCGCATGCCATTAATTTTAAAAGAAATTTTTAATTTAGTCCAGAATCGAACCCTGGTGTTAACTAAAAGGTCTCTGAGTAGAATCAGTCAGCTCAGACAGGTTGTCTAATTAGGTGTACGCTATATCTGGTTGCAAGGAGTTAGTTTAAAACAAAAGTATTACGTTGAATAATCGTCCTTTGTGATGCCGCTCCCAAATATAAAAGACACGGCAGAACGTATTATAAATTGTTTTTCTGTTAAGTCTGCGACACACTCAGCCTAAATTGCGTCTATCTATGATTGATTTTTATAATACTTTCCACTTTCTTTTTTTATATCGCATTTTATTTAAAGCATTTTAAAATCTTTTTCAACTAAACTGTCTCTAATTTTTTTTTAGAGATGTGCTGAATTTTATTCAAATTTAAAGTCTATTTGAACAAAGTACCTATATTTTGATTTGATATGACGAATATTCGAACAAAAATTCGTTCTTAATTGTACCGAACCAAATATTCGATTCATTTTCAAGACGTAAACAGGTTTATATAGATTGAACAATTTTTTTATTTTTATAATTTTGTTACACAAAGTAGTGTTTGTTTCATTTACAAATCTTAGGTACGGTTCTTAAAATAGAGGTTTTATCCTGAGAACCGTACATAGAATTTGTAGATGATAGATATTAATCTTAAAATAGTATTTAAATATGCGGTAATTATTCGACAATCTAATCGAAAATTCGACCAAATACGAACATAAAAAATACATGCTTCTGCGTTATATATGTCTATTTGGACACAAATAGACTACCTACTACTCGTATTCTTATTGTGCTAACATTCAAACTATGCTTATCAACCATTGATCGAATGATGATTTTCGTATATGCCAATAATTATTTTGGTATAGCAGTTTCAGGAATACTATAATTTTAAAATAATTACGCCAGTGTAATCTACGCCTTACAACAGCAACGCATTGGCGGGAAAAAAACGAGCAAGATGGCCGATCGACGCGATCTCGGATGCAAATGGTGGACGTAAAAGAGCCGCCGCATTTAAATGTCGCCGCTGATGGCCATTCCGCGACGTCATTTTTGCTCTATTTACCGGGTAAGAGTCAACTTTGAAATAGCGTATTCAAATGTAAGTGGATTCCGTAAAAGTTGTTTTTAATGAATTTCTTATTTTCTTAAGATGTGTGCGTTGGTACTGTTTATGAGCTATTTACATATACTAACTTTTCATCTTAATTTTTCATTGCATGTATGGCGTGCTTTCATAAATTATTTAAGTAGGTATATAATTATTTAACATGTTGACGCACGCCTCGATTTTGTTTCCTTTATCTATCCAATATTTTAAGGTAAGCGATTTTCTGTCTACCTTTATTTACGAATTTATGAAAATTCTAAAATCAGTCCACCCAGTTTAAAGGTGACAAAGTCACAAACAGTCTAAGCATGATTCGGAACTCATGGGAAATCCTTATTGCTGTAGTAGGACGCCTTCGGTGACACTACCCGCACGAAAAGGGTTGTTTTGCAGACGATGTTACGTTCATAGTGATGTTAGGATGCTTCTAGTAAATATTGAAGAGCATCATATTTCTTTAATTAGCTTACGTCATAGATATATTTATACCCTGATATTTTGAGAGTTTTTTGTAATGGCTCGATTGAAAGAGTTATTTATAAACAATAATTTTAATTTACTGAATGGAATATTTTATTACAACATGTTTTTTTAATAAAAGGATATCTACACATATAATAAAATTGTAACTAAGCCTAATCTGTAAATTAAATATTTTTTGGAAAATCTTTTTGAAATAAACATTATTATCGATACAGAGACCGAATCTATAGTTTTTAGAATTTTTGCCTGTCTGCCTGTCTGTCTGTTACCGTATCACAGAAAACCACTAGAGGGATTTTGATGAAATTTTGTATGGTTATAGCTGGTTATCCGGGTCAACATATAGGATTTTACCGCGGAAAAATGTCTAATTTCTCAGAAAAAATACAAAAACTGCAATGTAAGAGTATACTATTAGATACTATTTATTACTGGCTCATCCGATAAACATCCAGTCTCATTTTCCTTCTGGTGTATGATAATTTTTGAGGTGGTACGAATATTCTATAGCAAAAAGCACTTTCAGTTTCTCCCGAATTTCCTTCTATTTTTTTTCTAGCAACTTTAAAAAAAAATCCAAGAAAAATTTATTCGAAATATTATAATGAATATTAAAATAAAACTATAGCCAACTCGATTTGGTCGTTCTCAAATCTCAAGTGATATTCACCAACGCACACCATTACATATAAAAATATGAAGAGTTTACACAATTATTTTTCCGTAACAGCAATTATTTCTACCGTACACTAGAAGTTTAAAATGCAGAAAACATCCAAACAATTTAGGTGAAATCACCACTGTGCGCAATTTACGTATAGCTAAATGCAAATCAGATCTGTTCGTGATAACAGTAATTGAATACGGTTTAAGTGACCATTTTGCCGCCAATTAAAACGTCCTCGGGAACTGTACCTTTACGCCTTTCGAATGCTCACCTTGTAAGTCAGGACCTTAGATGGAGTGATAACTTATTTACTATAAATATTCTGAATAAATGACTTTATTGTTCCGTTAGAATTTCTTATAATCTCATAATTTCTTTATGAAATACTGAAGTTACCTAGAGTCTGTATTTTTGAAGTAAAATTTCTTCAGGCGTGACTGAGGGGTGCCTAAGTCAATACGTTGGAAAATGAGTGGATAAATCATAATGATTCTAAGGAAGTTTCATTTCAAAAA